TTACAGGAAATCACAAAGAAACAAGACAGAGACTGAACTGGTGACGCCTTCTCAAGTTCGTTAATTCAATTTTGTCAATATAAGAAACCATAGTAAACAGGGTAAATTTACAACTTTTGAAGGTCGTTGGAGTAAAAATAGAGGCACAACACAACAGTCTTTGGAAAACGGAAAATTAGATCTCACGAGGGAAGTATGTATACGCCGCATTTGCGAGTAACAGATTTTCTTAAAATTTTGCACACGCTTTGGGCATAGGCCATATACTAATGTCTGAAAATTAAAAAAATTAAAGCTTGCGCTTTGCAGACACAACCGAAATATTCGACAATTTTTTACAGCCAAAAGATTACGCGAAACGCGGATAGCGGTTAGAGCAACACTTTTTGGCCGCGCTCTTGCCGGCCCCGTGCGGAACAAAGTGTTTTTTTTTGCGTAAACATTACCCTTGTAGGAATAGGCGTAAACTTTTCATGCCTAAAATTCGTAAACGTAACGATATTTCAACCTTCGATCTACAGATCTCGATTGTTTCTGCACAGCACGAGCTTGGAATGTGGCTTGAAAGAATAAATCTGTTGCACTAAAATCTGAGCGTCGCACTTGTAAAAATGAAAAAAAAACAAAGAAGCCTCTGTACAAGGCACCAAAAAATGGCTCGTTATAAAAGGGCTTCGTTCTAAGCTTTCTTCTTGCTCTTTTCACAAAAAAAAGCATCTCTTGAGACCTCCAAAATGGGATCACAATAACGCTAACAAGTTATCTTTGTAAGGGGAGCAAAGATTCCGCTGTATTTCTTCGGCTATCCGCCAAAACCTGACCGACGATTTGATCGGTTTTGTTATCCCTCTCCCTGTACGCAAATCGCACGGGCTCCAGAGATCAAGAAACTGGCTCCCTGAGAAGCGGAAAATAAGGTTGTGCGGCGCTAAATCTGATAAAGCGTCGAGATTTCGCACCAGATCCCAAGTGATAGCGTCGCAAATTAAGCGGTGTCAAAACAGTTAAAGGCACAGTTTGTGCGAGGCTGGGGGGCAATTTCAAGGCCGAAAAGAGGTTGGAGACCAATCGCCGCCTTCCTGGGAGACAATTATCAGTCCGACGGGAAAATAGTGATCAATCGTCGCTGCAGAATGCTTCACCTCGTCGAAAAAAGGATGGAATCGCGCAAAAAATCTACAGCTGCGGCTATGGATAACGCTTATAACCAGAGATTGCCACGGTCAAAATTTCGGCTCCGGCTCCCGGCTCCCATGAAAAGCTTAAAAAGGTTTGCGGCTCCGAATCTCGGCTCCCGTGCAAAGAATTTTTAAAAAATATTTTCCTAAAAATAAACGTTGCTAGTGCCAGAGGTCATACAGCCATGGTTTTTGCAGCCAAGTCATACGCAACGCATCACGGCAACGCAAAATAGAACAAGAATATCTCCCGCCCACTTTTGAATTTCGTCCAAGCGAAGTGTCAAAATTCACAAAAGAAATAAAATAATTCCGAGAAAAATATTTTTCGGTCCGAAAATCCCACGAAAAATTCATTTTTGACATTTCGTTTGAATTCAACCGATACTAGGTGGGCGAAGTGCCGAAAGGAGGCGGGAGACTCTCTGGGTTGCCGTGCGCATTCTCCGTAGTATTTTTTGAGCAATTTGGTTTAACAAGATCACGAAATTTTTACTTTTTTGAACGCTGAGAAGCCTGGCTCCGACTTTTGGCTCGGGAGCCGGAGCCGCACCCAAAATTTCCGACTCCGGCTCTGGCTCCCTGCTCGGAGCCGGAGCCGCTCAGAGCCGGAGCCAAGAGCCGGCTCCGGAGCCGTGGCAATCTCTGCTTATAACCATGTCAGGCTTTGGTCTTGATAACAGCTTGTCCAGAAAATCTCTTTGCGAACGAACTACCAGTCTGTCGGGAAAATAATAATAAGCATTCTGTAGCATCGAAAATTGCCTCGCTGCAAACAGAATAAATAGCGTCGCGGCAAAATCAAATTGTTCTTCGATAAAGAGGATATTATCCTCATTATTTTCTCGACAGCCTGATAAAGTCGCTGGAGTGATCTTGGCGTTTACAGCGTAACCCGGGATCCAAAGAAAAAATGTTGAAAGGGCCAGGGTAAATTTCCTCGAAAATTCGAAATTTCTGGACATGGTGACCTCCCCCTATCAGGATTTTTGTTCAGCTACGCCGGGCTTTGTAATAAGATGTAATTTTCAAAAGAAGACATCAAATGTTTCCGCCAAAAAATGGTCCCTCCGCCGACAACGAAAAAAATCTTTAGCGTATTTGAAAAGTCCACGGTTTCGCATTTTATAACTCAAAAGGGCACAAAGATATTTGGCGGATACTTTTGGAACATTTACACCCTCTTCAAAAAAGAGTAATAAGTCTTATCCTCCCAAAATTTCACTTCCAATGATCTCGATTATAAGTCATTAATAAACCTTATCTGTTTTCCGTATTCCAGAAAATCAAGATCTGAAACAGAAGCCATAAATTTTCCAAATCTTTTGAATCTTTATCGAGTTTTGTTCATCCGCTTCTTAATTTTTGAAAAGCCAGTTTTACATGGATTGCGCGTCCTGCCTTATGAAGTCGACAATAGCTCAGGTCAACACAAAATCGTACGAGACGTAGGACAGACGGAGGCTCAGAAAAACGCCATTTTCAGAGGAAGAAATTCCACAAAGTTTATGAAATTCTTGAGTGAAATGCGCAGTAAAAAATGCTGTTTTTTGTGAGCGGCGCATTACGAAAAATGTCCATGTGCTTCATGAATAGCGTCGTATTTTGGACCTTCATTCCTTCAGCTCGAAAAGATCAAATGCCAATGTGTGGAAAGACAAAAAATCTGAACGCCGATATCAAAAAACTCTCTTCTCGTTTTCAAAACAAAAAATTCTTTTGGCCTTGAGGAGAAAAAAGAAAGGGATATCAAAGTTTTTGATTTCGGCCTTTCAACTTTTATCCAATTTTTGCTTTGTGTGTTTTTTTATACTTCAGTTACTTAGAGGTATCCTTTCTAATGCGATGAAAAGTGGCAAAAGTTCAGATTGTCTGTTTCCGATACATATGCATGTCTATTTACTAGTCCGCGCTTTGCAGAAAACCGAAATTTTGGTTGGCAAGCCGGCAATAAGTCGACGCGCATTTGAGAGTTCATGCAGTCAGCCAGTAATAGAGGCCTGACAAATTCTACACCTATTTCCACCGTAGAGAGTAGTGCTTTCCCAAGAAAATCACCTTTTTCCACACCAAATTTAAGCATTTTTTCTTTCGTGCCGCTTTATGCGTTTCGCGTAATCTCTCGGCCGCAAAAATAGGGAAATTTCTCGGCCGTTCCTGAAAAGCGGCAGCTAAAACTTTCAAGAATTCATATGTGAATTTTACAAAGACCTGAGCGTCCCAGGGGTTCTTCTATAGCTATCAGTCTGTCGGGAAAATAATGAGCGATTTCAAGGACGAATCTACATTACTTTTACCGACAGACTGACAATCTCTTCTACGTGTGACAATCATTTTCGTCAAAGCTTCTTTAAAGGCTCAGCTTTGATTTTGCGGCTTCCGGGCCTCGAGGGCAACCTCTGCTGTTCTCTGTACGTCGCTAAAAAGGCCATTGTTCCATTGCAATTTGCAACGCAAAGCGTATTCATACCGTAGCTTGTAATCCTTCTGTTATTGACCCAAAAAAACTTCAATCCCGTTGTGCATACGCTTCCGATTCAAAGAATGACCTGTTAAAGCAAAAAAAAAACTCCGCTATTATAATCCTGTCGACTCCTCAAACAGATGTTTCCACGAATTTGGAGGGCTTGTCCCAACGAACTCGACAGTTTTAATTCACGTGGAAGGGGGTTTAAACGCGTCTCTGGTAAGCCGCAGAATTTCAAGGAATGAACTGTATGTGATATGATATGCACAATGATAGCAGTGGGATGGATTGACATATATAAATATATATAGAAGCGATGGCAAGGCTAAGCATGTAACTTTTCTCCAGAGCTGCTTCTATCATTAGTCTGTCGGCAAATAATGCGGACAATGTTGCTGGAGTGCCAATATTGTGTCGCTCGCACCCTTCGCTTTTTTCTGCGCAGTGCAAGTGCCAAAAATCGTTCCAACAACTTCCCAGATGCAGTATCGGTCTGTCGGTAAAATTATGAGAGCAATGTCGTTGCGCCGATTGCGTCACTGAAGTGAAAAGCAATTTAATTTTGTCGCGACACAATTCATTTTCTCGGCGGCGATGCGGTTTTCAATGCCGCGGAGATTTCGTTATTTTCCCGACAGATCGATAAAATATATGTCGGCCTCGACTAATTAATGCAGAGTCCGCTTCCACAATCTAGGCCATGCATATCGGTGCCTTTCCGCGAAAAACGGAGCGACTTTGACTTTGTTATGTACAAAAATGCGATGTGTTGTTCTACTGCAGTAAACAGAATATGCTTAAGAATCTGCAATGCCTTTTTCGTCAAAAGCGCCTTCATCACTACAGGATAAGTTATACCAGTCCTTTCGCAAGTTGCTAGAGTCCGTTGGTAAAGTCGCAGCGATTTTCGATGCGACGTTGCGCTCATTATTTTCCCGACAGACCGGTTAGAAAAACCCGCTAAGTCTTCCAATAACAAATTAATTTTTCTTGTGGCCATTTACGATTCGTTAAACCATATATTCCTGTAATGGAAGGAAAATTCGAGGCCTGAAACAGAATGCCAAGATTTTTAATTTTGACGGAAAATTCAAATTAATTTTGAAAAAAAAATGTTTGGGTGTCGCGCTTCGTTCCACGAACTGATTAAAATTCCGAAGTCGGAACAAATCTCGTCTCACAACCTTTCTCAGAATTTGTTGTTTATTCCGCTCTCTAATGCTATTCAAATCCCCCAAACAAATAGAACGTATTTAACGTAAAATGCTTGGCTTGAAACTGACACCTTCAACTGAAAATTTACTACTATAAAATTGACCCTTCCATAGAAGAAATCACTCAAAATTGAGGACTTGATGGAATATTCCGCGTCTTTTTACATCCCGATTTGTAAAATGTAATTTTCTTCTTTCAAAATGCATCAGTTATCAAAATCTGAGCTTGTTATACCTTCTCGGTTATATAGATAAAAGACGGACTTGTTTATTTCAGGATGAACCACGACCTCGATTCCAATGCTTCCACGGACTCAACGGCACCAAATCTGGACCGAAAGCCGAGAAGGTTGCCGATTTTGAGGGTCACGTTTGATGTGGCGTTGCTGGCCATTGTCTGTAAGTCCCCACTTCTTGTTTTCTGTTTTCCCAAATTAGTAATATGATAAAGGAAGACCAAGGCGGACCTTTTTTAAATATAGTATGTTTTTTTGGCAAGGCAATAACAAATTTTTTAAAAATATTTTAAAAAACGCCTTGGTCCCGTTATAGCGTCGATTTTCACCTATGGTTTCTTCGAACAAAATCCACATTTTGAAGCCGGTAATCCGCTCCTTTTTCAGACTTCGTCTCCAAGGTTGTCTGCGAGACTTTTGGGCCGGTGAAGTTTGGCTTTTTCTGCCATGATCAGCGAATCTCATTCCCTTATAAAGAGAGCACAGTGCCGCTGAGCATGCTGATCATTTATTGCGTCAGCATTCCTCTGACTTTTGTAAGTGTCCCTTTTTTCAATCTTCATATCCTTTTGCTTTACGGGATTGGCGCAGCGACACTGTACTCGCTATTTTCTCTACAGACCATATTTTCAGATCCTCGCCATCGAGATAATCCTTCTCGGAATCAACCCACACGAGCGCTACAGCGTCTACGAATACCACCGTTGCAGGAGCGCTCGGTTTTTGATCCGTCTCGCAATCTTCTTCGGATATTATTGTGCGTTTGAGTTGTTCATCCTGCTGATCACAATGTACACCAAGAATTCGGTGGGCCGACTGCGCCCCTACTTTTTGTCGGTCTGTCAGCCGCTCTACGACGTGGACGAGTGCCGAATTCCCGGCGCATATATCGCAAACTACACGTGCACGGGTGGCTCGCGTGAACGAATTAACGAGGCCAGGTTGTCCTTCTTCAGTGGGCATTCGAGTCTTGCGTTTGGCACGGCTGTTTTTACTGTGGTAAGTGTTGGAATAACGGGGAAAAGGGTGGTCTTGAACGATCGTAAATATGACACCGGGTTGTGGGTAGATACTGACCGTAGACCTTGAGTTCTCAATCGCTGAAAATCTTGTACAATCCAAAGGCGTTTGTATTCAGTACTTTTTTGAGGCGCAGCGACATTGTGCTCATTACTTTCCCGACAGACCAATAACGGCTGATTTTAGCTCTACCTCCAACACCGCCTGGTAGGCCACATCCGTTCCCGAATTGTCGTTCCGCTAATTCAAACCCTCATCATTTCCACCGCCCTTTTCGTCGCTTTCACCCGAATCTTCGACTTCAAGCATCACTGGACGGACGTCAGCGTCGGAATCGCCGTCGGCGTCTTCTCGATGCTGCTTCTATGCAGATTTGTCGCCGGATTCAGATATCGCGCGCCGCGCGAAGTCGAAGCCGAGCTGGTGGCGTTGGATTTGGAGGCCGAAAGGAAGCACGGAGAGAAACTGAACTTGAACAACTCGCTGAGGAAGCCTCAGCAAGCGACGAGCTTGGCCTCGAACAGGTCCTTCCAATGGGCTGAGGCTTATTCGTAGATTTGAGATCGTAGATCTAAGAGGAAAGAAGTATTTAGATAAAGTGTGTATCTAATGTAGATATTGTGATAAAAATGAATCATTAATACAGACACAAATGGTACAACGTATTTTATTTATATGCTTACAAGGGAATGGTCTGAACTTCCCCCAGCGTTAAGGAAAATGACTAATTACAGGTGGATAGAGCAGGTCGACTTTGGTAGAAAAAGGCAATTTCCAGCTGCACAATAAGCACCGCCGACGAGAAAAATCGACCGAAAGTTCCGAAAAAATTTCCTCTTTCTCTTCCCTCGGAAAAGAAGAGGGGCATCCAGTGATTCGGTTGGTCGAGTGGATCCTCTCGATATCCTTTTGGGGGTTGGTTCGATGGTTCGATCATTATTTTCCCGACATCCTGACACCGACGATTCACATCACTGATCAATTTTCACTGACCACGTCTCCTGACGATTACAGACGGCTCAAAACAGTTTGATTCCTTGCAAGTCTATAACTTTGTTTACCTCATTCTTATTCCAAAACAACGTAAAACTGCAATTTTGAGAAAAACGCTCTCCTCTTCAGATCCCCTTTTTGCAATAAAACAGTGATAAAAAGTTGTTTTCCTCACCATCAACGTTCTTTGCTGCGATTTATCAGCTTGTAAAAACGCGAGCTTGCCCATGATAATTGCGGAATTTCCTGCGCTGTTCGAGTATTTTTTCTGATTCCGGCGCAGAGTTTGTGATAAACAAAAGTCCGTGAAGGGTGATTATCAGGCAATTGTGGAATTTGAAACAAACAAAAAAATAGAAAACGCTATTTGTGTAAGAGTACGCTTGTAAACGCTTAGGTACGTATAAAAAGGAGAGAAAATGAAGAATAAAGGCATTTTGTCTCTTTTTCATTGTGTCAAGCATCTTCTAGAACGGACTACGTCTTGATAACCAACTATCTTTCCGGTCTCAAGGGTCAATTTGACACCAAAATTCATCTGCGTACAGCTCAACCCGTCTACAGTGAAGAAGCTTTTTGAGTCGTTGCCATTCGTTGTGCAGGTGTGACTGTTATAGTCCGTTCATAAAGTCGCTGGAGTGATTTTTGACGTTTGCACTGTGCACAAAGCGTCAGGGTGTGAGTGACAGCCGAAAAAAGCCATTTGCTGAAGTCTTCGCAGTGCATGAGCCAAAATCATTCCAGCGGTTTTCCAGCGGACTGGTAAATAGAAACAGTGGCGACATTACAGTCTTCGCATCGCGTCCGCCGAGAATATAACGGCTTTTCCAGGCATCGTAGGCACTTTCTTTCTATATACACACAATGCGAAATTACAAGGGAAGTTATCTGGCAAAGGGCAAGGGCATCTCAGGTAGTTGAAAAACCTTGTGCCCGGTGATTTTTCAATTGCAAAAGGTCAACTGAAAAGTGAGGAAAGCTTGCGATAAAAAGTCTGCGCACCTTTGCAAAGACGTAAAAATCAAAACTTTACAGTGGAGGACCTGATCCAGTGGCAAAAAACATACCATTTTGTATCCGGAAAGTGTCAAAAATATGTCAAAATGCTTCCCTCTCCAAGTGAAAAAACTTCGTTTTGAAGGGCGCGCCCTTTCCCTCACAAAACGAGCGCGCGCGCTTTTGAAATCAGAGTTTTTTTCGCTTGGAGAGGGAGGCATTTTGCCACATTTTTTAATGCGCGCGAGAAAAGCAAACTGCACAGTTCAAATGTCCGCGCACTTCTTGAAAATGCTAATAATCGCCCCATTTTTCGCTTCAAATTTTCAACTCTCTTTTGCACGTCCGCTTTCGCAAGAAGTTCCGATAAAAATATTTAATCTAAATAACCGATCCCTCTCTTGTTCCATCTGCATTTTTCCTCTAAGTAAGCGCTTAGTTGACTGCTCTTTTTACAAGTTTTGATAAAAAATATTTTGCAATATTCGATGGCATGATGATACTTGTTGATATTGAGCTTGTTTGTCAACGGAATTCTAATAAATTTTGCGATGTTTGATTCATTTTGAGAGGAAGAGTGCACTGATTGTCTCTCGAGGCTTATGTTTCCAAGTTGTTTATTAAAAGGACGATAATTTCGGTGGTCACAGCTCAGTTTTTGGTTTTGCATGCATTTATGGCTTAAGAGTAAAGTGCTCAACGCGGAGTCGCATAGCTTGCGGTGAAATTAATAGGCAAAATCTTCAAGGTAAAACGCCGAGGTTCTAACAAAAGCTGGCGCAAGCTTCGGTTATTTTTTCTACTAGTCTGCCCGGAAAGTCGCCGGACTGATTTTTGGCGTCTGCACTGTGCGAAAAAGCACAGGGTGTGAGCGACAGCCCCAAAATCCCACTGCATTGTGCAAAAAGTCGAAATATCACAGTGCAAAATGAACTTTCGTTTTCGTAGAGCGCGTGTCGGCAATTTCAGTCCGGCGACTTTCCGGGCGGACTAGTAAAACGTATGCGAGATTTCTATACCGCGTTTTGCAGAAACGACCAGAATTTTACGTCGACAGTAAAAAAAACAGTTTTAAACACAAAGCCTCAAAGGAAGCTTGAGCTTTCCCAAATTTTGGCACAGATCCCCTCGATACTATCAGTCTGTCGGGAAAATAACGTGGCGGTGTCGTCATCGCTTTGCGACGGTAAGCCACGGTTGGTGATTTGGTGCGCGACTACACCCTTTCTCCGACGAAAACAAATATTTTAGAAATTCAGGAGGAGGAGATCGCCTGGGGGATCGCCATGTAAAAATTTAATTTATCTTGGTCCCCGTTACCATTTTTTCGAATACTCCACCCACCTATTTACGTATGTCCTCCTCCCCGTGCCTCAAACTTTTGGCAAGCATCGGCAAAGTCGAAGATCGTTTTTTCCGCAGCCAGAACTTTCTCCGCACTTTTTTCACCTGATAATGTGATGCGAGGAGGAGAAAAAATTATTTCTTTGACCTCAAACCTTTTTTTGCACCCCAAGCTTTTTCTGGTTATTTAAAGACGTGTTTTTCTATTTTCCGGAGAATTTTTGCGTGTTATCAGGGCAAATTCCGCCGTAGTGGCCGCGAGCTTGAAGAAGTGTTTGTAGTTTAGACGTGGTTTGCCCTTTATTCCCGATTTTTTTGATTGATTGAATTATGCAAATCCCTGTTGTGACGGTCGGAAATAGAACCTTTTCAGAGGGGCTTTGAAACGCAGAGCTAACTCTCGGGTGATTCATCGGACTTTCTGCGGGGCACAATGGTGTTTTTAGTATTTATAAAAGTCAAGAGGAAAGATTGTTTTGAACGTGGATGTTTTTGATTTTTTAAGCGCGAGTGTCCTTATTATCAGTTTGTCGGGAAAATAATGAGCACTCTGTCGCATCGAAAATCGCATCGCCGCCGAGAAAATGAATTGTGCTGCGACACAATCAATTTTTTAGGATCTTGTTTTGCGTTTTACTCTTTTATACATATATACTTTCTCCGTAGATGCCGAATAGCGGTTTAGAGTAACCGATGGGGTGGAATTCATCAATTCAACCCATTTTTCCTTTTTTTTTATTTTTTCGTGTATGCATTAGGAGATCTGATCCAGTGGCAAAAAAGGTACCATTTTGTATCCGAGAAGTATCAAAAATGCAGCAAAATACCTCCTCTCCAAGTAAAAAAACTCAAAAGCGCCCCCACTTTTTTTGTGAGATAAAGGGCGCGCAGTTCAAAAAGGAGTAGTACTTACTGTAAAGTTGTAGTACTTACTCACTGTAATACTTACTGTAAAGAAGTAATTTTTCTATATAAACCCACTTTCCATTTATAAAATAGCCGAAACTTTACTAATCTACAGTACTGCTTAAGAAAAAAAGAAAAAATCATAAAAAAATCGATCGGATTTTCTGAATCAGCACGGTCTATTACCCTCGGCCCTTCTAATCTCACTGAGCTTACTCAGAGAAATCTTTCTCTCCGCGGACCTCTTTGTAATAATCCCGATCAACTCGCCTCCAATTCCAGGGTAGAATGGACCGCGAACACGCCGAGCCCGAGTTTCAGACCGACCTGGAAGCAAGTCAGGATTTGCAGGAGGTCGCGCAATGCGAACCTCTCCCATTGCAAAGGTATTTCACGGATGGGGCGCTTGTGCTCGCAATGGCCGGAGGGCTGGAGCTGTTTTGCCGCATCTACGGCCCATATGAGCGAGGGTTTTTCTGCGATGACGAGAGTATTCGATACGCGTATAAGGAGAATACTATCAGCTGGTTCACATTGGCAATCTTTGTAACACTACCGAATATTTTGCTGGTGAGTTTTGAGGGATTCTGGGATTATTTGGGGATCCCAATTTGATTCCACGTTTTTTAAAATAAAAAAAAACTGTCTTTTAAACAATTTTTAGAAAAAGTAAAGTGCTCCATGTGCGAAAAACGACAATTTCCAATATTTGTTTTCAGATTTGTGCCGTTGAAAGCTTCAGAATGCACCGAAGTGGCACTGTCCACGAATTCTATTCTACGTACGAGAATGGCAGGTCCCATTCAGCGAGATTGTTGATTCGACTAGCCATTTTTCATGGTAAGTTCAAAAACATCTAAGTTTATGTGTGCAAATATTACAATTTTAAATATAAAAAAAATTTGCAAACACAGTGGAAAACCAGTTCAATGCCTCTCACATAGCGAGAAAATCAAAAAAAAATCTCGTTTCCATTTCCCCTTACGTCGTCTCGCTAAAATCTCTCTCGTTTTGAAGCGCTTTCGAAACGCGGCTCAGTGGTCTAGTGGTATGATTCTCGCTTTGGGTGCGAGAGGCCCCGGTTTCGATCACCGGCTGAGCCCAAACTTTTTTTTTGATTTTTACATTGGACATGTTGAAAAATACATTGTTTACGGTGACAAGATAGCATTTAGGACCTTCTCACAAGGGATCGGCAAATAGTTGCACCCTGCTTTCTTAACGAAACATATACCGTTTGAAAGAGCATTAAAAATAGTGTACAACACAAGAAAAATTAGCTGCCCAATTTATGTTTGGGCAACGTTATGGCCGTTTTATGATAGGGGTTATATGCGGCCAAAACGCCGGTTTCTCATATTAGAGTAATCCTGACGGATTGCAATTGTCTCCATTGTCTTACTAGTATCCCGAAACGTCTATCACGGTCGTTTCATGGCTTTATCAATCGTTGGCTATGAGTTATTAGACATTATAATGTCGCATTACTGCCATTTACAAAAAATTGTAAATAAAACTAGGTTAATGGGAAAACTGGAGCAAAAAACTTTGGAAATACATTTGTATGATCGTCGTGGCCATTTACAAACAAAAATCTCAAAATCAAAAATTTCTTATGTCCTAGCCTTACCGACGGTTAGGCCACTGTGTCAGCAATAGTGTTTTAGCCGCTTTTGTAATTTTCTCTTCGTATTTTTTTGGAAAAAATTATATTTATAGGCCCTTGTAAATTGAATTATCGTCCAGTAATCATAATCAATCAGGCTAAAAGCATGACACCCTTGTAATTATACGATAGGCATCCCCACTCTCATCACCATCAAATTTGTGGTGATTGCAAAAAAAACCGAAAACTCGAAAAAATCCAGTAAAAATGTATTTTGACTGCGAAGGAACAAAAATTATTTAAAAATATCAACATACCATGGTTTTGTGGCATATAAGAGACGAAATGCAAAAGACATTGCAGAGCCCGGATTCGAAACCAGGACCTGTTTCGCCGGAAGTGGGGTCACTACCACTCGGCCAACTAGACACAGCTCTGTCGTCGTTCCAAGAGCTTATAAATTGCCGCGGAAATTAGGCTAAAATACGTATTTTAGCCATAACTTTGCCCAAACATATATTGGGCAGCTAATTTTTTTTGCGCTGTGCACTATTTTTAATGCTCTTTTAAATGATATAGGTTTCGTTAAGAAAGCAGGGTGCAACTATTTGCCGATCCCTTGTCAGTCATTTTTTTGGGCCTGAACTCAGGAAAAATGGGTGGATTTGTTCATTTTTTAAAGTTTTTTGCCCTTTTCCCCCTTTTTTCCTCTAAAAAAACTAAAAACCATATTTTATCCTTGTTTCAGGCTACTACATCTGTTGTATCGCAGTGATTTTCACTCTCACTTCCGCCACAAAATATCCAGTTGGCCGGCTACGTCCGCATTTTATGGACATTTGCCGGCCAAACGTTGGTTATGACACCTGCAATACGACTTCTGAAATTATTGACTATTATTGCACAACTGGATGGAATGCCGCCATTCTGGAGGCCCGTCTCTCTTTCTTCAGTGGGCATACCAGTTTGTCCATTGGGAGTGCAACTTTTGCTGTGGTACGTTATAAAATATTAGTTGTTTTGCGGGAAAGTGAAGTGCTCCAAGTGCGACGCTTAGAGCTTAATGAAATACGGCAAAAAATACATTATTTCAGATCTACCTCCAAGACAGACTGTACGGTCTACTCCATAGTCGAGTATTCGTCCCGATCTGTCAAACTCTCTACTTTTCCTTGGCCCTTTATATAAGTTATACTCGGATATTCGACCATTTCCATCATTGGTCCGACGTTCTTGTGGGATGTGTTGTTGGAATCGTTGTAATGGCGGTCTTGGTGAGTTTATTTTTTTAGCATGCTTATCAGTCTTTCTGAAAAATAATGAGCACTCTGTAGCATCGAAAATCGCATCGCCGCTGAGAAAAATGAGCTCGTTGTAGAGAGGTTTTTCTACTAGTCGCGACATAAAGTCCTGACACATTTTCACAGTGCATTTTGTTTTTCTTTCGGACCCGTCGCGGCAATTCCTCGTTTTTGCACTAGCGACATGCACTTTCGCGCGAACTTGCCACTTTTCTCGCGCGACACCCGCGACAAAATGTGTCAGGACTTTATGTCGCGACTAGTATAACGATTTATGATTTCTTTATTCTAAAATTTTGAATTTTTTTTGTAAAAAATCAAAAAAATTGTCGCGCAAGATTTTACGAGCGACTGAAATCAACCCCGCAGGGCTTCAGAATCTCGGGTTTTCTCATGCCTTTCAATTTTGCATTTATGTACAGCCGAATGGAAGTATTCCGCACGAGGGCGCGGACTTCTCCGGTGTAAGGAAATGCGTGCGGCGCCGAACTCGGGTCCGTTCGAGTAAAAAGCGCGCTCTTTAGCCACTCCACTATTTCGACACGCGGAGCGGAGTGGGCAGGAAAGGATGGGAATTGAAAGGGGAATGGGGTTGGAGGACATGGTTAATATGTGCAGTACTGCAATTGCGACACTGAAACGTGACAAAAATTTTGAATAATTTTTTTCTAACATATTTCCGGGAGTCCCAGCTCGCAATTTACGCAAACGACCAAGATTTTTTGGGCGAATGTCTGAAAAAATGAGATACTTTTTTGGCGAACTTCGGTACGAAAAGTTTTATACGTATTTCCACCGCAGAGAGTAACATTTCCACAAAAAATCAATTTTTTCCGCACAAAAATAGGAAAGATACGGCCAAAAAATCCTCTCCTCTCTGACCAGTCCGCTTTTGCGCACTCTCTCCGCCGTAAAGACCGTTGAATATCTCAGCTTGTCCTGAAAAGCTCGAGCTACTAATAATTTTAACTTTAGGGCAAAAAGCTTGATGTTACATACAGCATCATGATAATAATAATCCATTTTTTCCAGTGCCATTACTTTGTCGGTTTGAAGCCTCAATTCAAGCCCAATCCGCATGAAAAAATCTACCTGCTCAGCCACCACGGAACTGCCAACGACATTTCCACGTTGACCATTACCGCTAGTGACCTTCGACCGAATTATGGGTCTGCCACTGTAAATACTGTGTAAATATTAATGAAAAATGAAAAAACCAGGTGTTTTTTGCATCGACGAGTAATAAAGATATGTTATTATAACGATCGGTCTGCAAAAGCACAAAGTAAAGGTTGATGGCTCACAAGGGCAGGCTGCCAAGTGCGGCGCTCAGATTTTCTGTAAACTTTACACACACTACGGCCGTAGGCCACATATCATTTCCTAAAACTAAAATAGATTTTTGAGGAAAGAAACTTCTCTGCGAGACTTTGCCTGCTAAAAATAGTAGAAAGGTGTCATTTTTTGTCGACCTTAGACCTAAAAATATTGGTCATTTCTGCAAATACCGAGCTGCAAGCCTTGAATACGTCTTAGAAAAGTTTGTTCTAAATTTGTGCCAAGTTTCGGTAAGATTTGAGCGTCGCGCTTGGAGTGGTTCCCTTCTCAATGAGATTGGGATTTGCACTTGCAAAAAAGTATAATTTTGCAGGGAAGTAACAAAAATGTAGCAAAAAACCTCCCTCTCCAAGCGAACGGTCCCCGATTTCTAAAGCGCGACCAGTTTGAATGGAGAGGGCACGCTCTTCAAAACGGATTCTTTTTTCGTTTGGGAAGGAGGTATTTTGCAGTTTTTTTGATACTTCCCAGATGCTAATGGTACGTTTTTCGCCACTGGATCTGTCCGACAACGTACGACTTGAGCTGAAAACAAACACTGTTCCGAATTCATTGACTGATTGCACTACATAGCTTATAGTTTCTGAAACTTTGAATGCAAATCCCTTTGTTTGAAAGAGTTTAGAGCGATTCAAAGGTTGAATCGAATGTAAGCCGAAATCCCGCAAAAACATTATTGGAACAAATAGGATTCTGGACAAATAATAGTGTCTGTCTAATTGCGCTACTAACTATGGAGTCAACCGTTAAAAACAAGAAACTTCCACTTCCGTATATTCGCTATATAATCGACGCTATTATTGTGCTGGGAATTTCCTTGGGCACCGACTTCCTCGGCCGTCTAATCGGCCCGTCCGAGATAGGGTTCTACTGCAATGATCGCTCGATTCGCTACAAATATCAAGAGGAACGACTGGGCAATGGGTTCCTCGCATTTTACTCGCTGATTCCAAACTTTATTTTAGTTTTTATCGTGGAAACCTATAGGATATTGCGGATTGATGGGATAGAAGAGTTCTCAAAGTATGAAGTCGGAAGGTCAAAGGCGCAGAGGATTTTTGTTAGAGTCGCTACGATTTATGGTAAGTACACAATGTTTTAGAGGAGTATGGAGTTACAGGTCGGGATATATATCAAAAAATTCGCAAAAATTTTCTGACTCAGAATAAATAAAAATAAGCTGTCTAAGTTTGGTCTATCAACGAGTTTTATCAATAAATGTATTTCTCGAGGAAAAAAAATGGCGGTGACAATCTCGACATATATCTCGACCTGTAACTCCGTAGTACCATATAAGTACTTTACTTGTAAAATGTGGACATATATCTCAACCAATAACTCCGTACCCTATATAAGTACTTTCCTTGTAAAATGGGAAATTCTAGCTTGGCTGGACCCGGCCCGCCAAGATCTGATCGTAAGACCTGGTTGGTGGGCCACAGGGAAGTACTCCAAGTACGACGCTAAGATTTGGATAGACATAACAGAAATTTGGATTACTTTTCTTCTATGACGTACTTCTGCTTTCAGGCTATCACACAGCCTCCATCGCGGCTGTTGGCTTTATTTGTAATACTGTAAAGTACCCCCTCGGCATTCTTCGACCGCATTTCCTGGACATTTGTCGTCCCAACATTGGCTATGATCACTGCAATACCACGGAGCTAATTACCGACTACCACTGCACATCCGGCTTGACAGGCCAAATAAGGGAGGCCCGGCTGTCCTTTTTCAGCGCTCATGCGTGTCTATGCATCGGATCCGCTACTTTTGCTGTTGTAAGCCGAAAAAAGGCGCTTGCAAGCTATTGAATTTTCTGGCTTTCAGATCTATCTTCAAGACCGACTATATGGATGCCTTTACAGTGACGTCATTTTGCTGCTGATCCAATCCGCGTACTTCTGCTCTTCTTTGGCCGTGGCGTGCACTCGGATTCTCGACCATTATCATCATCCTTACGATGTCATTGTCGGAGCGTTGGTTGGGATTGTTGTGGTCACGATTTGCGTGAGTTTTATAGATCTATAGACCTTCCACTCCTAAACTTTGACCGCCGCTGCGATAGTGATATGACTCCTATTGGGCTAGAACACGTGGATTGAGGGTGCTTGTTCTAGGTTCTATCTAAGATACCAAGCCAAAATGATACAATAACAAACTACAAAGACCCTAGCTGAAAGACACATAGGGCGGTCAAGATGCAAATCCGCACACGAAGTCGTGGCAATTTTATGCCAGTTTTTTTCCAAGAAAATTTAACGGGCTTAACGATGGCAAGAAGATGACATTTGCACGGCAACCAGAAATAGAATAAAAATGTTTCCCGCCCTCTTTTGAGTTTCGTCCAAACGAAGTGTCAAAATTGACAAAAGAAATAAAATAATTCCGAGAAAAAATGTTTTTTGGTCGGAAAATCCCACAAAAAATTCTTTTGTGACATTTCGTTTGATTTCAACCAATACAAAATCGGCGAAGTGTCGAAAGGAGCCAGGAAACACTTCGGGTTGCCGTGCGTTTGCGGCTTTTTATTGTCATCTTCAAGTGCATCAGCTCTCAAGTACAGGGTCTTACAAAAAACGTGAAGGAGAGTCGGAGGCTATAACTTCAGGCGGAGGCGGCGCAGAGACTTCGTATTTGTAATATGCATTTTTAAACGACATTAATTTTTGTCTATGAAATAACAAGATTTTAAAGTGCAAAACTGAGGTCGCTATAACCTTTTGAAGTAGGGGCTTTCTAGCCTTCGAATTTTCTTCACGTTTTTCGTAAGTCACTGTATTTTGTATAAAAAATATCTATGTCAACATGACCGTGTCTACGCCCCCACACCTGAGTATTTCGACCAAAAATATTAATTAATACTAATCATAAATTCTCTTAGTCCCATTACTTTGTTGGGCTGGACCCCAAACGTAATCGCATTTGTAACAAGAAGACGTACATGGCTTGTACGGAGAACGCGATACCATCCTCTGCACTTACTACAAACACCGGTTCCAACAACCGCGGTGTCAGTTCTGTGTACTTGTAAACTGTACATATATTGTCGCTAAATTGTGTTTATTTCGTAGTTTAAAATAAAAATTTTATGAATCTTTAAGGTTAGGTTAGTTTGAGTCCGTTTTAATGAATAAAAGAGGATCTGAAATCGGATTTATATTTGGCCCATAAAACATTGGCCTTTTCGTAAAATTGAGTCTTTTGACACAGAGAAAGTCTTTGACGTTGCTGGTTTATTTTGCTCGCTGTATTTTTTATAGACCTGTGAACCATGTGTCAGATTTTTTGGACCGCATATTACGTTACAATACGTCATCAGAAATTCAATTTACATACCTTCGAAAAGGTGTGGACGTCTTAATTGCTCTCCCTTTTCACACTGAACCCAGTGGAACAAAATTGGCCAGGGATTGTAAAAACGGCTTTCCATGGGGATTTAAGGCTGCTTTTAGTATAAATTCCAGTATTTTTTCGCCCCGGTACCACAAAATGAATGTATTCAATCATCTTTTTTGTTTTGTGGAGAGGTTGCAATTGTTTTCTGTGGCAAATTCTAAAGACGTGCGTTTCAACGGAAAACCAATGTTTATTTTGGGCGCAATAACATCTGTATTCGGGGAAATAATGAGCACAATGTCACTATTTGTCGCAGAAATAAAAAGAAATTTGATTTTGTAGCGACACACGATACACCAAATTGATTTTCTCAGCAGCGATACGATCTTCGGTGCTTCAGAGTGCTCATTATTTTCCCGACAATCTGATAAAGTAACGCTTTTCTTTTCACACATTACATCTAATTTGTACCTCTATTACAGTATGCCATTCTCTAACCAAATTTTCTTATTTTAGGGTTGTTGCATCTACTGAGATTGTCACACCTTCCCACACCTTCCGTATACTGAACAGAATGTGCCGTCTAAAGTAAGTTTACAACTTTTTATTTTCTTTTTACTTTAGCATCAAAAGAATGTAAATAAATGTGAACGTTCCTTGGGAAATTTGCCATGGAAACATTTTTGATAACAAACTTTTCTTGTATTCCAACTTCATAGTTTATTCGAGGAACAGACGTGCGAAGGTTTGAGTGTTCAGTTGTTACTTGAACTGCATCATTACCGTAGGCTAAATTACAAGGGAAGTGAGTCTGGTAAATGGCGTTTCAGGTAGTTGAAAAACCTTGCGCCCGGTGATATTTAAATTGCACAGGGTAAAAGGTCAACTGAAAGGTGCGGAAAGCTTGCGGTAAAAAGTCTACGCACTTTGCAAAGACGTAAAAACCAAAACTTTACAGTGGGGAACCTGATCCATGGGCAAAAGACGTACGATTTTGCATCCAGGAAGTATCAAAAATGTGGCAAAATGCTTCCCTCTCCAAGTGAAAAAACTCAGATTTCGAAAGCGCGCCCGCTCATTTTGTGAGGCGCGCCCTTCGAAGCGAAGTTTTTTCACTTCGGGAGGGAAGCGTTTTGCAACATTTTTGATGCTTCCCGGATGCAAAATGGTACGTTTTCTGGATAGGGTTTGTCACTGTAGTTTGCATTTTCTTGCTTTTTGCATCGTGAGTATGTTTTTTTCGGGCTGTCGCTCGCCCCATGACTATTTTCGAACAGTGCAAACGCCAAAAATTATTACGTCAACGGCAGTCGAACCTCAGCATAACGAATTGCAATAGAAATAAGGCTTGATTCGTTGTAAAGGGATTAGTTTAGGAAAGGTTAATTTTTGCGCAGTATTGATTGTTAGGACCTCTGGAATTGATCGTAGACAGTTGTCTTTGGCAAAAAAAATCCGCAGAATTGGATTTTTTCTTGGCATTCTGTTTCAACCCTGGTATAACTTCCTTTGACTGTGATGACATTCACGCCATTTTAAAGTTATTTTCTTTCACATTTTCCCAATTCTCCACCCTCATGACCTGCGGGCACATCGCGGAATTTCCATTGTTTCGGTTCCTCTTTTTTCGATAGCCGATTTGAATAAAATTAAAAGCTCCGTTTGAACCAAATGGTTGATATTTGACATGCACAAAAAATGCTGAAGGTCAAATGTTGAGGGTGTCTAGAGGGTGGGAAACAAATAAAAAAGTTTTTATTGATACGCATTTGTGTCATTGCTTTCAAAATTTCTCATTCAGAGTACTGTATGCTCTATAAAATCGAGATTTATTGTGAAACATCTTCCTATTTACAAGCTCTCTTTCAGAAACCTCCCAAAATGTCGGTCGATTTCAAAGCCGCGTACGCGGCATTAGTCCAAGGCCTGCAGAACCAGACCAGACTCCCGTCGTATATGCAATCCGACGATGACTTTGATGATGCGTGCTCGCTACAAGTTGGCTGGAGTCGGGAACGTAAGTTCGGCGAAAGAGATACAGCGTCGCCACAAAAGTTCTCCGCATTTTTCAAAATGAACGTTAAAATAAAACAATCTTACTTTTTCAGAGTCCTGCAACTACGTCACCACACACTATGACAACTGTGAAGGTGGTGGCTATCTTCCCTGGACCCAAATAATATACTGTCAGCCAACGGAGTTGACCGAGGTTCTGCTGCTGCTTGTCTCAATTTTCTGGCTGTTACAGCTGTTTATTTTGCTGGCGGTCAGTGCTGATGAGTTCCTGTCGACGAACATTACAACGATTGCCGATAAGTTTGGAATCTCGCAGAGCGTAGCGGTGAGTGTTGACATGGTTTGGACTGTTTTTTTTTTTGTTTGGATTTGAAGAGGGAATTTCGGCGAAGAGAGCACCTTGACGAAGAAAATAATATGGTAAAGAGGGACCAAGGCGAAATTTACAGATGACTCTAAAACATTTCGCTTTGGTCCCCTTTTACCATACCATTTCTTGGCAAGCGAAACAATCATTTAGAAGATCCGCATTGGTCCCTTCTTACCTTGCCACTTTTTTGGCAAGCCAAAAAGAAGAAAGAAAAAAATCATTCAAAAAATCCGCCTTGATCCTCCCTTATCATATCATTTTTCCAAAAGGTACCTCTTCCGTCAAGTGCCTTCTTCAAGGCCTCCTCTCGGGATCAGATCGTTATTTGTTTTTTGCAAGACAGAGGTTTACTTGCCAACTTGTTATGTAGTCATCTTCAGGGAGTAACGTTGGTGGCGTTCGGTAACGGAGCGCCGGACATTTTCTCGGCTATCGCTTCAGCTGTCAGCGACGAAAGCCCCAAAGCGGGCTTGGCCATTGGCCAGCTGTTAGGTAAGTAAGGCAACCACTTCTCTGTAGAGCATTAGATATGAATCTGCCGGAAAAATAATGAAGACAATGCTGCTGTCACGTCGCTGAAGTTAAAAGCAAATTGATTTAGCCGCGACACAGTCTATTTTCCCCGCGGCAACGCGATTTTCTGTGCGACAGAGTGCTCATTATTTTCCCGACAGGCTTAAATATGTTGCTTCAGGTGGTGGAATGTTCATAACAACGATCGTGGTGCCGGTTGTGATTTTCATTGCGCCAATTCAAATGGATCCAATTCCAACCCTACGAAATTTGGGATTTTACGTAGTTGCGTTGCTGTGGTTGGGGATGATTCTGTTCTTGAGAAACACGCTGATGATCTGGCAGTCCGTTGGTAGGTTTGTCGCCCTTGAAAACGTAACTTCTCGTGGCTATATCACGCTACTCTTTGCAGGTTTTCTTTTTATCTACATTGTCTATGCGCTGACCGTGGTCTCGGGGCGGATGCTTTTGCGGCTTCAGAAATGGCGCGAAGCCAAGGATGCAATGTTTGTAAGGCCGTCAACTGGCCACCCGAATCGCCGTGAATCCCATCCCAACACGATTTCCGGCACGTTGGCGAACCTGGAGCGCAGCAATACTATTAAACCGGCCGCCAGTTCCGAAAGCAGCATGTATTCTCGGGCCGAAGATGACGCCTTGCCATGTCAGGATGTCAGCCTTCAAGGTATTGCGCTGGACTTTTTCAACCGACTGAATTGCATCAACGTTGAGGAATTTAAAAACGCCAGCATTTACTTGAAGATCTTCCAAATTTTTCAGGTAAGGTATAGGGAGGTTTTCGTGGTGGAAGTCAAAAAGTTGAGTCATGTTTTTTGTGGCGTGGAAAAGGAAATTTCCAAAAAATTTCTTTATCTACTGCACCAGTCCGTCTACAAAGTCTCTGGTGTGATTTTCGCGACATACAGGGTGGTTCAGCCGAAGCTTCCATCCTTATTTCAAGTATTTCTCCGCCGATGATGCACCAATTTTTATAAAATTTATATCAAATTGAAGCTGATGGTGCCCATTTTCTGTCCACAAAATATGACAGGCCCAAGTTGACGGGGGCTCCCGTACTGACCCTTGACATTTTCATTCCAAATTTTGCAGCCCGAAATCGGTGAAACTTGGAAAATTTTTGGAATGATTTTCAATTGAGTTTCTCGGACTTGAAAAATTTTTGGATTTCTGGCAAAAACAAAGTCGCCAAATTCGATGAAAATTTTAAAAAAAAAGTAAGGTTCAAAGAAGTAGCAAGTGCCTAAAAAGCATATTTCCATCCGGCGAGGTACCAAATCGAACGGCTGAAAACGAAACCTCTCTTCTCGGGCAATACAGGCCTTACAACTCGTTATTTATATTCAGGGTGGATTTCGTCATCCACATAGAAGTCTCGCCCATTTGTTCGTATTTTTTAAAGCCTGTTACCCCAGAACACAAGAACAATGCCTTCAAGATTAATTAGGAGTATTCCGTTGACTGCCGTCAATTTTTTCAGCAACTTCTGAAAGTCACATTTAGCCAAAGACTCGAATATTTTCCAAGTACGAGAATTTAATTGAAAATCATTGCAAAAATTTGCTAATTGTAAGTTTCACCGATTTCGGGCTCTAAAATTTGGAATGAAAATGTCAAAGGTCAGTACGCGGGCATCCTTGAACTTGGGCCTGTCATATTTGGTGGACAAAAAATGGGGAACCCCAGCTTCAATTTGATATAAATTTTATAAAAATTGGTGCATTATCGGCGGAGAAATACTTGAAATAAGGATGGAAGCTTCGGCTGAACCACCCTGTACACTGCGCAAAAACAAAAGTTGACTTTGCACTGTGCAACTTATTGCTTTTTGCACCGTGCAATACGCTTTTTTTCGGACGTAGCTTGAGTTGACTTTTTTGCACAGTGCAAACGCCAAAAATTACTCCAGCGACTTTACAGACGAGCTGGTACAATAAGGAAAAATTATGATGACATTTTACATGTTTGCCATTATTATTTTTGCTTTTTGACAATTCATTTCCCAGATCGTAAAATTGCAAAATTGAAAAGTTTGCCTGTCGGGAAAATAATGTGGACTTGTCGTGCCTTCTAAATCACCCATCTTCGCTTTGCGATGGTTCGCCGCGGCTGAAGATTTGGTACGCGACTGCGACGAGGCAAGACATTTTGCGACAAATACACATTACTTTCCCGACAGACTGATAGTTATACAAGCCCTTTATAAAACAATTATTCTGCATATTGTTTCATCTATTTCAGTTTCCCTGGATGATTTTGTTGACCTTATCAACCCCTCTAGCGCAACCGCCATGGTGTAAGGCACTAACATCACTTCATGTGGTTGTGTCGCCGCTCTTTCTTCTCTTTGCATTTCAGTGTAAGCAAGTCCAACCCATTTTTATATTATTTTTTTTTAAATTTTTCTACAAAGCTAACCATTAATTTTTCAGTGTTTGACTCGGATATCTTTGGAATTCAGTTTCCTCTATGGGCAATGTCCCTAATCCTCTCGGGTATCTTGCTGGCTTTCGTGTTGCTCTTTACCAAGGTGAACCAGGAGCCAAAGTATTATAAAGTAAGATGTGGTGCTTTGGTCTAGACAATTCCACGTTATTTTCCCGACAGACTGATTACCTTCTCTTTTAGCTGATCGCCTGTTGTTGCGGGTTTGTCGTCTCCGTTGGATGGGTGTACGTGGTCGCAGCGGAAGTGGTGAGCGCTGTGCAAATGCTTGGGGTCTTGTCGCATTTATCTCCCGAGGTAAGAGTTTGAAACCATCCAAAAAAGATTTTTTTATCTGTCTGTCGGCGAAATAATGTGGATTTGTCGCAGAAAAATGTGGCTTCTCGTCGTAGCCCCTCATCAAGTGTCCAGCTGCGGTTAGTCTTCGCGAAGCGATGAGAGGCGTCTCGAAGATCCACATTATTTTCCCTACAGTCCTTAATGCCCTAATTTTCAGTCCGTCTGGAAAATAATGAGCACAGTTTCGCTGGGGCAATCCGTCGCTTAAGTGAGAAGCAATTTGATTTTCTCGCGTCACAATTTTCATATTTTCTCGGCGGCAATGCGATTTTCGATGCGACTGAGTGCTCATTATTTCCCTGACAGATTGATAGTAAACAATTTTGGATTTCTACCTTCGTTCCAGATCCTCGGTGTCACAATCCTCGGCTGGACCAACAGTATTGGCGACCTGGTCGCCGACTCTTCACTTGCCCGACAAGGCTACTCCCACATGGCGTTGGCCGCCGCGTTCGGTGGCCCACTCTTCAATCTGCTCATCGGGTTCGGGCTTTCATTCACTATTGCCCTGCTTCAAGGGAAGACTGTGGAGATCGATGTGGACATTGAGAAGATCTTCATGTACGGGTTCATGTGCATCAGCGTGGTGGGGAGTCTGACAATCTTGGTTTTGTCCAGATTTCGGACTCACAAATTCTACGCCATGTTGCTGTTTTGCGTGTACTTTTTGTTTATGGTGGCGCTGATTTTGGCGGAGACCGTTTTTAGGGGTAGTTAAAAGTTGCCTAGTTTTCTTAACGTGTTCGTTCAGCCGTCTCGGTAGATTTCATCTGTGATCTCAAGTAATAATTTAGTAAAGTACTGCGTGTTACATGCGTGTTTTGAATAAAATTGAGTACTATGCGAACAAAAAAGATTCCGCGCTGCAGCGCTGAACCTTCACCGTGTAGTGAGGCATTTTACTAGGTCCTATCTAAGATCCCAAGCCCAAACACGACTACACAAAGCGGGAAAAGTCCTTATTCTGGCCACAACAAAGGTACTCCGCGAACTGCGCCCAAGCTTGGGAACTAAAGTTAGGAAAAAACGCTTCACCCAAACTGACGCTAAATTACCGTAATAGCTCTATAATTTTAAGGGTACAGCGATGAAGACTCATTTAGTTCTATACGGAGGCAATAAGTTTAGTTCCGGACATGTTTCATCGTATCAAATGAAAAATCGCAGGCTGCAACCGTTTTTGAAAGGTAAGGTGGTACGTAAAAAAGAAGGTACTTTACTAACTAAATCCGCTGTCCGGGCATTGACAACGATGAATTAAGCCTGCACACTAAATTTGGGCTAATTCTGACTAGTTTCCGTAAAGTTACAAGTTGTGGCCAGAATAAGGAACTTTTACCCACAAAGCAATGACACTGATCAACTGAAGTGTGACTGCTGATTCGACGGGATACGATGGGTTATCAGACTGTTCAACACAACACAGTAGAAAAATTAGGAATATTTTTATTGACCAAATCACAACCGCCGCAGTGGAAAAAACACAACCATAATAATTCACACTGATTAATTGGATGATTTCCATTGCTTTTACACCAGAGTTGGCAATCGGGTAAAAGCAAAAAAAGTGACCATGCACTTTATAAAAATACCAATAATATTAAATACCCTTATTAACAATGGGATCTCTCTTATACATGATCAATTCATCTTCGTCGCCATCAAGTAGCCCGACAGATGGATGTCCGTTGCGTTTGCGCTTAAAAATCGTGATAGTCTCCTCTTCAAAGTCGAGACAAACTCCGTTGCTGGAGAAGAAGCTGTTTCCCAGCACATACTCCGGAATCAGGGTCATTCCAATCTTCGTATAGCATCGCCCTTTATAGGGTACTGTCCATTCTTCAAACGGCACTTTCAATAGCTTACCGTTTATTCCCAAATTTACAGGGATTTTTCGACGACAATCGACATGATAACGCCGAGTATCTTCGTCGTGTGTGGCGTTAATTGCCTCGTTGATGGCAAAGAAAATTTCTCTTGGAACCGCGATCTGATCCAGCGTGGTGCTTAGAACGGCTGGAACGGTTAGCCGAACGCGATAGCGCCCAATGCTGATCAAGTCCAAGGGAACTTGCCATAGTCCCCGCTTATCTTTTTCGTCGTTGAGTGATTTGAAGGAAGTTATAACTTCGGCTTTGTTGTAGACAGGAGGTCCCAAGGAGACGTTGGACTTGAGCTGGCTGCAAGGAAGGCATTAAAATTGAGGTGATAATCGAAATAAGAAGGGTCGCGCGTCAAACTGAAGAGTCCGGTGACCGGAATTGACCTTTCGTTATTGGTTTTTGACACTTGTCTTGATTTTACAGAGAAGACAGAGAAAAAAACGTTCTCTCTCGCCCCAAAATTTCCCCATTTCTTCCCCGACATGCGACAAAACGTTTCTTTGCTCCTTTTTTCAGCGAATTGCCAATCCATTCACAGGACCGTTTTCGCTTATCTCAGTTTGACGTGGATCGCCCAGGTGACTTTTCGCACATTTCACAATGCAAAATGAGGGGTCTTCGTTTTCAGAGGTCCCTAGGATTCTACATAAGGCTCTGTGAAACCACCACTTTTTTTCAGCCTATCAGAAAAATAATGCTTATGCGCAGCGCCTCATTTTGCTGCGACAAATCCGCATTATCTCCCCGACAGACTGATACAACCACGTTGTTAATGCTCACCCTTTGTCATCATTAACCACTGACAAGCACAGGTTATTGCCACCGGCATTTCTCAAGAAATGGCCCTTCAAATCGATCTCTGTCACATTCTCTCGGGCAAACCCAATTCTCCCGGCCACGTAGCGACCAGACAGATCCTGCGCTGCACAGTCACTGTAGAGCATTGATCTAGTCGCTACCGCGAATGACGCATCTTTCACAACGTTACCATGAATTTTCACACGGTCTTGGCCGAGGATTCCGAGAACTGTTGAGATTTGTCGGTTGTATACAAGATTGTATGTGTTGGCGAAGCCGTAGAGTTTGAAAAAAGTATTTGAATACTTATTTGCGAACGTGTTGTTGATGCCGGTCTTCTCGAAGTAGAGGTCTCTGTCCACCACAAAACTGGCCCCGTCCGAAATGTCGACGACGAATTTGCGGTCGACTTCGGGGCCGAGATCGTCGAAGAACGAAGCCGTCAAGGTGAATAGAGGGTAATATCCATTGGCATGGCGGGAAAGTGATGTAAGAGCAGTGAAAAGTAGCAGCAACTTCATTTTGAACATTCCGGCAAAGAGAAAAACTCTTTGTTGATTAAGTTTAGTTAATAATGGCTCGCCTATTCTCGTTTTCAGTGCTGGGTTGAAACGCTCTTATCAGCGGTGAACAGACTATAACAAGTACTAATCTGCAGGGTATAAGCGGAAAGCTGATTTGCAAACTAGAGAACGTTGAGTTTAACACGCATAGGCTGCAACTATGGTTCTTTTTTTGGCGCAGAAAGTTCTTTGCTGTAAGTGTGGCTTTTCATAAAGCGCATGGACATTTTTTCTTCTTCGAAGAGTGCTTTTTAAACTTTTTTCAACGCTTGTTGCAGCATCCGTGATAAATTTACTTTATGGCCCGAACGATACAACAGTTTGCACGTCTAATATGTAATTTTTTTTCCTGTTCAATTTTGTATTCATCCCTCCAGTTCTTTTGAATGCCGGCTTTATTAAAATAAAAAATAATTGTTTGCAGTTAAATCTTCAAGTTCACAGAGTAATAGTACCCTCCAACGCGCCACGATTCGCCTTGTACAGAGTGACGGTCTCTTTCTCAAAATCCAAGCATATTCCCCTCTTCGTCAAGATGTTGGCTCCCAAAATGTAATATGGGGAATTGAACCGGGTAATCTTCAAGTAGCAAACTCCATCAACCTTTTTCGAATAGTCTTCGGCTGGGATCACAATCTCTGTGCCGTTAATATTCAGCTTCAACGGGACCTCGTTCTGGCAGTCCACAACAATACATGAGCTGTTCTTGTTGTATTTGGCCTTGAGGGCGGCGGCAATTCGCGGCAACAAGTTGAACGGCACCACAATCTCGTCCAAAGCGCTGCTAAAGATGGCCCTGGCGTTGACGGTGGCGCTGAAGTTGCCGATGGAAATCGAATTCAACGGGATTCTCCAGAGCCCATCCTTGTCGTTGTCCGCCTTGAAGCTGGTGATCAGGTCGGCCGGTGGAATACGGGGAGCTCCGAGCGAGACGGTTGGAGTGAAACTGCTGAAAGCGATAGAATTTTATCAATCTGTTGGGAAAATAATGAGCACTCTGCCGTGTCGAAAATAGCATTGCTCCCGAGAAAATAAATTTTGTCGCGGCAAAATCAAATTGTTTTTTCTTTACTTCAGCGACGCGATTGGCGGCACTGTGAACATTATTTTCCCGACAGACTGATAGTATATTGATAAAGTGCATGGACATTGTGGGCTATCAGTCTGTCGGAAAAATAACGACGGGTCGTCATGCCTTGGAATTGCCCATCATCGCTCTGCGACGGCTTAGCGACGACCCGCCAGTATCTTCTCTACGGAACGATACTTAGTTTATATTCCCAAAACCCCCTTTTTACTCACCCTTTGCCGTCCTGGAAAACAGCCAGACAGATAGACGACGTCTTGAATCTGTTGAGCAACTGGACCCGGAAGTTGGTCAATGGGTTATCTCCCCTGGCGAATCCGATTCTGCCAGCGACGTACTGTCCGTCAAAGTCCTTCAACGCCGAATCCGAGCTCTCCGCCGCCTGGGCAACCCCGAATTCCGGTCGAATTGTGTACCTTCCCACAAGAACGTTGTCTATTCCAAGATCTCCGCTCACCACCGAGTCCTTGTGAGGGCCTTGCAAGTCGTAGATGGTGGTGAAGCCGCCAGTTCGGCTGAAACTGCTTGATTTCGTCGGGTTAAACGTGTTGTTGTCGGTGGTCCGGTCGCCGAAAAACCGCTTGTCGAGCACAAAGCTCGTGGCTTCGGTGGTGTCGACGACCAATCGCCGGAGGAAGCGCTTGTCCATCTTGTCCGGAAAAGACATGCCGATCGAGAATTTGCCCACATAACAGTTTGCGACGCCGAAAACGGCGAATAAACCGAGGAATACGTGGATTGGCGACATTGTTGTCACTGTTGATGGTTGAAAAAATTTTCAACTTGGCTTATATAGCGCTGAACAATCCCTTTTCCCCCGACTGATATGAGTGTTTGCGGGGAGAAAGCGATAATTACCATTACTATTGTCCGTAGTGCGCACAAAGATAAGTAATCCTCCCCTTAACTCGCACGGAACACGACACAATTCCAGGATCAAGTGTTCGGAGAATACACAGAGGAGGTCATTGAACTTGATGGCCTGGAATTTTCCCCGTCTTTGTCGTACAAACACTAAAAGGCTAGCCCAATTGATAAACCCAGCCGCCTTCGCAATTCATACGCAGGCTCTCCAAGTGTTTCCAATATTGCTCTCGATATCAGTCTGCCGAGAAAATAACGGCGGGTCGTCGTGCATTGGGTCCCATGGATGTGGCCATTGGGCCGTGTCGTCACAGATTCCACCGAGTCGGTAATATATTTCGACCACTTATTCGGCTGAAGGAAATCTGTTGAGGAAAAAATATGATATATTGGCGTTTATTCGTGTGTGTATTGTGAATCTATGGGAAGTTGCCCCTTTTTAGTTCTTCCTGGAGAGCGGTGGGTTTTCCCTGTCCACCCATGGTGTTCCAGGCACAAAGGCGCAGATGCACGGAGACATTTTTTCTCCGACAAACCCACATTATTTTCCGGCAGGTTGACACAATCATATGTACTACCCGAGAGAAAGTTCTGATTAATTGTCGAGCGCAAAAACTTGTCACACCAATTTATCAATTTGTTCCGACAAATCCACATTATCTTCCCGACAGACTGACAATGTTTACTATAGAGCGGCTCAAAAGTTTAATGTCTCTTTTGGCGACACTACATTTATCAGTGTGTCGGGGAAATGATGAGCACTCTGTCGCATCGCATCGCCGCCGAGGAAATAAATTGTGTCACGGGAAAATCAAATTTGGTTTCAGTTTACGGATGCGACAGGTGCAGTGGGATTATACGAATCCACATTATTTTCCAGACAGACCGTTAACAACGAAACGTGGAAAAAATCTTTATTCTTTGACCATCTCAACACAAACCATCTCATGACAATCGCCGATCTTTGTGGCAATCTAAACCACGCCGTCCGAAACGGGCCCTACAAAGTTCATGAAGCAAGCAATGAAAACGCAAAGCGGGGCAGATATTGTTTCCTTTTGCGTTCAATTCCAACCACAACATTTATAGTCTCAGCTCGTGGGCAATGTATTTCGCTATAAAAACAAGCCATCCTCCCCGGTCAGACCACTGAACTTGTGTTATATGCAGCGATTCGCGTTGCGCGACTTTAAATTATTAAAAACAAAAAGTTTTTCTTGCCTGATTTCTTGAAGAATCAACGATGTGTGGTCGACGGTAGATATTTAAAAGGGCATGAAGACGCTGGCTTCTGCAGTGTATGTAGTGAAAGGGTGGTGGTGTGATAGGTTTGGACGTTATTGTTGACGATTTTTTAGGCACTACAACTTTCTGGGTTGCTGATACCGTGGGTGGAATTGATTTTTTGTTGTATGAATGGGGAGGCTAGAAGAAGGCTGAGTTGACAAAAATAGTAAGATTGAACAGCTCCAACGTAGCCTGCCGCCTATTTTAAGGTATTTTACATATCCTACTGCTTTGACACCAGAATAAAACTTACGGATCTTTGTTTTTTGGGGTAAATTTTGGTGTTTGCAATATTATAATAGCGCAGAGTCAAGAAAACAAGCTTAGCGATAGATAAGGCTAGAAAAAAGTTAACATTGCAAGTCTTCGCCAAGTCTGCGCTTCACCCAAGTCTCTACGTGGCTTCGCCTAGCCTTCGCCGAGCATCCAAGAGCTTTTCCATACCTTGTAGGCGCCTCTTACGGCTTTTTTTTGGATCTGCGTCTGTCCTATATACCCTCCGTGGGATAAATTTTTCGTTGGCCGGAGTTGCCGTTGACCCGAAAAGTCCGGAGGCTCCTATCCCTTCTACATTAATTTAAAATATAGTATCATTAACGTTACACAGTGGAATCTCGCACGACGAACTTCTATGCAGAACTCATCAAAAACAAACGGCTTCAAAGCTCCAGAAAATATTCCGACATGGACCGCTGTACAACGAGGCCTTTCTATAACGAGTAAACTTTAAATTCTGTTGTTATTTGAATTTGAGCCTCCACAGTAATTTTGGTTTTCCTACGGTTAGTATATGTAGGAACCAGACTGAGCAATTGCCTTTCCGATTCACTATCACCGCTGCTTCCGAAAATCAAAAACTTTATGTTTTGGTTAAGAAAAGCCCTTCTTCTTGTCGCGGTGTATTCCAACGACAAAGCAAATTTTGACTTTGTGAATTACCCCCTTTTCTTTTCAGCCAATCATGTCCAAGCCAAAAGTTTACGTAATCGGAGTGGGTATGACCCCATTCACCCGGCCCGGCTCTTCCGGCAAGGACTACCCGGAGCTGGTCAAAGATGCCGTCACCGACGCCCTCAACGACGCCGGACTTCAATACAAAGACGTGCAACAAGCGGCGGTTGGTTATCTGGTTGGCGGAACTTGTTGTGCTCAACGCGCCTTGTATGAGATCGGATTCACCGGTATTCCCATCTACAACGTGAACAACGCTTGTGCCAGTGGCTCCACGAGCCTGTTCCTGGCCAAACAGATCATCGAGTCCGGCAATGCGGACGTGTTTCTCGCCGCAGGATTCGAGAAAATGGCCGCCGGCAATTTAGACAAATTGCTGGCTCCGATTCCGGATGGCCGTGCCTTCTCGACCGACAACCATATGAAGGTAATTGAAAGGACGTTCGGTTTGACCAACTCGCCCAGTGCTTGTCAAATGTTTGGTGCAGCTGGTCTGGAGCACATGAAAAAATACGGCACAAAAAGAGAGCACTTCGCCAAGATTGGGTGGAAAAACCATCTTCATTCGGTCAATAATCCGTGAGTTTTTAAAATACGTTGGGCTACCGGCTCCCGGAATTTGCACTGTTCAAAAAATGTTTTTGGATTGCACATAATAGCATTTTTTTTATTTTCCCGATAGACCGATACCGTCGCCGAAAAATGCCCATTTTTTTATATGTCATCCTGTTTCAGGAAATCCCAATTCCAACAGAAATACACGCTGGACCAGGTGCTGAAGTCGCGTGAGATCTACAAAGGCCTCGGCCTTCTCGAATGCTCGCCCACCTCGGACGGAGCGGCCGCTGCCATCCTGGTCAGCGAGAACTGGCTCCGCCGCAACCCCCATCTCTACCCGCAAGCCGTTGAGCTTGTGGGAATGGAGCTGGCCACCGACCATCAAAGCGTCTTCAGCGACAGTTGCATCAAGATGATCGGGTTTGACATGGTTCAAGCGGCGGCGCAGCGTCTCTTTAAGAAGACGGGAGTTGCGGTAACGGACGTGCAGGTCATTGAGTTGCACGATTGCTTCGCGCCAAACGAGCTGATCACCTACGAAGCGTTGGGAATGTGTCCAATTGGGAAGGGAGGAGAGATTGTGGACAGAGCAGACAATACCTATGGTGGGAAATGGGTGGTCAACCCAAGTGGAGGGCTGATCTCGAAGGGACATCCAATTGGTGCTACTGGTAAGCGGATAGCTACTATAATATAATACTAGTCCTTCCGTGAAATCCACGCTGAACTGAAAATCAACTTGATTTTGCCATGTTAAACGACTTTTCTTTCAGGCGTCGCCCAATGCGTTGAACTCTGCAACCAGCTCCGTGGTCGGTGTGGAAAACGACAGGTCGATAATGTGCGGCATGCTCTTCAACACAACATTGGTATTGGTGGAGCGATAGCGTTGGCAATTTATCGACGAGCTGATGGAAAGAGCAGCCCAAAGGTTGAGGGCAGCCGAATTTAAATCGCTCTTAAAGATTTTTTAACGCGAAAAATAAACCTTTAAATTTTGAAATTGTCTTTTCCTGTGAACGGCTATTAGTATCTTAATAAAGCAGATACATTTTCCCGACATAGTGATACTATACATAGTGCCTTCGAAAATAAGCTAGAACAATTTCTTCGGCGAAGCAATATTTATACGGATCGTATTTTACTCTGCGCTCTTTGAACCCAGGTTTTTTATTCAGCTCTATTTGCCAGTTGTTGCGAACACAAAAATGTTGCGGTTACGTGGAAAGCGAAAATTGTTATGTTGTTTTTTGTTGTAGCTTATTTGTCTTTTCCATTTAGTCGGACATAAGCCGTAACACCAGTTTAGTTGGAAATGTTTAACACTTGGTATAAAAGGAAGCTGACCGGTGATTGAAGCGACTTTAGTTTTTCTTCATTGCTTTCTGTTTTTATCAGGTACATGGAAGTCAAGTTGGCGTGCTTTTTGTCTATAAGTTTACAAAAAAATTTGCTAAAAGACACACCACCGAGAAAAGTTTAGGACACCCTTAGGACACATTGTAATTCTGTGGCGTCTTTTCAGGGGAAAACTTCCAAACGCGATGCTCAGATTTTCTTCACACTTTCCACGCTCTTCAGGTACATAGAGGCTGTATATCTTATACACCTGGAAGCTTAGATGGCAACATCCAACTTTGAAATTCATCTTTAGAATTTTCTGTGTAAGCAAATACTGGCTGATCTCCAAACACGCCCGCAGAATCTCCGCGATTCTTCTAACTGCCGGCAAAATGGTTGCCCATAAGTGTGGGCCCTTTTTTGCCACTGTCACTATTTTGCGTTTTTTTGCAGGTTTTGCAAAGGGGTTGTTATGTCGTCGACTTGACAGTAACGTTGTCAAAATGCCGCAGAATCTCCGTGGCTCTTCTAGATGCCAGCAAAGTGGTGTGCGCCCTCCCTGAACCCATAGCCCGACCCAAAATTCTTGGTCTTTTCCGCAAAGCGAACCAGCTCACCTAGGGCTTGGAAAAAATATTCTAAATTTGTGCCAAATTTCATCAAGGTCCCGGCGTCGCAGTTGAGGTGCTTCCTTTCTTCTGCAACTTTTTTCATTGCTCTGGGCGTTAAACTTCGAGGCACAAACAAGACGTTTATATGTCTTGATCCTACTACGGGCTAATTTTTGTGGCATACTTTCTCAGATACTGCCAAAACTTCCCGATCTCCCCACAATCTCACAACATTTGTATTGTGCATTGTAGCCCTCGTTACGCTAACTATAAAGTCCACCAACCTTTGCTGTAAAATTTTCCAAAATTTCCCATCCCCATGCGTTGTATCACGCCTTCCCCGCAACAACTAAGCCTCAAAAGACACTTAATGTTCGTATCTCGGGTTTGATTAGACGTTGAAACTATCAGTTTTGTAGTCAACGGCAGGAGAAGTCAACGAAAAACAACGCTTTGTGAATGAATCTCTATATAAAGGAGAAGACTCCGACTGTTTTCATTGCCGTTTTTCCCCAAAAATCGGTGTAAAACACAATAAAAATATGGTGGAAAATATTTTGGAGACCTTTTTTTAAATTGCTTAACAACTCTTGACGAACTTTCAGCTGAAAACTTTTTAATTCAGACCTTCAAATTAGACGATTCTGGGAAATTTGGTATTTTTTTTTTACTTTTTGCGACTTTTACAGTGTTTCCTTGAGCTTACTGCATTAAGAATTGCTCCTACTCTAGACCAGCCCGCATTTCTTGCTTTGTCAACATTTTTTGACAGCTTTAATTCAGTAAATTTTCTTGAACTCTCAGAAATGTTTGGTGATTTTTCCTTTAGTTAAAGTTGTAACTTTTTGTCGGCGGCCGATTTTAAGCTTTCACTGCTTGGTTTCCAAAAAAACAGGTAAATTTTTTCCAAAATGCAGACGATCCTTGGCCAGTTTATTGTAAGCTTGAGCGCCTTGAAAAGTCGAATGTTTTATTGCACAAGGTTCACAGTCAAGACAAGGTGCACGAAGTACCCGAAGTGCAACGGTCACATTTTCTTTAAATTCTGCGCAGCTGCATTTTCTAGTAACGGCCAAGATCAGTCAATTGCTTTTGCTGCCGAAGGAGTGTGCGAAGCCCAGAAAACGACCACAAAGAAGGCCACATTTTGACCGTATTTTTGTCAGCTTAGGGCAAAAAAAAACATAACATTTCTGAGGAAGCATTGGACTCTATTTCCACTCCAGAAAGAAACAGGGCGCATATTATGCAAAGGTTCTCAAAGAGATGCCCGCCAACGGTTCGCTAATTCCACATTTAAATTCCGTTTTGATATTTTTATTTCTCGCCAATATTCATGATCACTTCCGCTTTATTCGAGCATCGCGGCAGAAGATCTCCCAGCACCGTAAAATCCCCTTCTCTTTCAGCCAATCATGTCCAAGCCAAAGGTCTACGTAGTCGGAGTGGGTATGACCCCGTTCACAAAGCCCGGCTCCACCGGCAAAGACTACCCCGAGCTGGTCAAAGATGCCGTCACCGACGCCCTCAACGATGCCGGACTTCAGTACAAGGACATTCAACAAGCTTTCGTCGGCTACTTGTTCGGCGGAACTTGTTGCGGACAACGCGCCTTGTATGAGATCGGATTCACCGGCATTCCCATCTACAACGTGAACAACGCGTGCTGCTCCGGCTCCACAGGCATCTTCTTGGCCAAGCAGGTCATCGAAGGCGGCAATGCTGACGTGTGTTTGGCCGTGGGATTCGAGAAAATGGCCGCCGGCTCCTTGGATAAAATGCACAACAACCCCGACAATCGCGCTCAATCCAACGACTTCCATCTGAAAGTCGCGCAGAATGCATATGGCGTCTCCAATGCTCCAGTAAACTGTCAACTTTTCGGTACGGCCGCGATGGAGCATATGGAGAAATATGGGACGAAAAGAGAGCATTTCGCCAAGATTGGGTGGAAAAACCATCTTCATTCGGTCAATAATCCGTAAGTTTGTAAAATACGATGGGCCACAGTAAAGCTGTCTGACGTTACACTGTTTATAACAAAAATTTCTTTTTTAATGGATTGCACAGTGCAAAGTTTTCCTTCTCATGAAACTGCACTGTGCAAAATTTGTTACTCCAAAAAGTTGCACGGTGCGAATTTTTCCTTCCCGAAAAATTGCGCTGTGCAAAATTTTCTTTCTCGAAAAACTGCACTGTGCAAAATTTCTTCTTTCCAAAAAATTGCACTGTGCAAACATTTGCTATCCAAAAAACTTCACTGTGCAAAAATGTTTTCTTCCCAAAAAATTGCATTGTGCAAAATTTCTGTTTCCCAAAAATAGCACTGTGCAAAAAAATCTCTAATTCAAAAATCCGAACTGTGAAAAATTCAAAATTTGTCAAACTTGCACAGTGCGAAATTTAGAAGTTCAGACAATTAAACTTTTACTCAAACCGCTTTTTGCAGAAAATCCCAATTCACCAAGATGTACACATTGGATGAGGTGCTCAAATCGCGCAAGATCTTCGGCCCCTTGGGGCTTTTGGAATGTTCGCCCACGTCCGACGGCTCCGCCGCCGTGGTTGTGGTCAGTGAGCGTTGGCTCAACCAAAACCCCCATCTGCGCACCCAAGCCGTCGAGATTGTGGGCATGGAGCTGGGAACGGACCTGCCCGGTGCCTTCGAGAAGTCGTGTATTGACATGATCGGCTTTGGGATGTGTCAAGCGGCGGCCAAGCGCCTGTTCAGCAAGTCTGGATACACTCCGAACGATGTGCAGGCCATTGAATTGCACGATTGTTTCGCACCAAACGAGTTGATCACGTACGAAGCGCTGGGGTTGTGTCCAGTTGGAAAGGCGGGAGAACTGATCGATAGAGGTGACAATACGTATGGCGGGAAGTGGGTGATCAACCCGAGTGGAGGGCTGATCTCAAAGGGACATCCTATTGGTGCTACTGGTAAGGGGTTCTCTGAAATTGTCAAAGAAAATAGCCGAAGGTTAAAAAAATAAGTTTTGATGAAACCAAAGGATCAAAAAGGAGTCCAATGGTTAAGATTGTTTTGAAAAAACACATGGAACATCAGAAGCAGAGTCAATTTTCAACTAGCCCGTTTGCAAAGTCGCTGGAGTGATTTCGGCCACATTGGGTTCGAGTGACAGCCCGAAAAAGCCTATTAATCCGTGCAGAATGTGGCTGGACAGACTTTGACGATATGCACTGTGCGAAAACAAAAGTTCACTTTGCACCGTGCAAAAGGGCTCTGCCACTCGCACTGCCACTCGCACTCTGACTTTTCTTGCTCTGTGAAAGTGCCAGAAATCATTCCGGCGCCTTCTTTGCCAGACTAGTAGCTTTTATAATGACTTTTTTATATCATAAGCTATGCGATAGCTCCAAATTTTCAATTTCTCGTCTTTTTTTTCTTTGTAACTAAAAATTTTTAAAAAATCATTGGATAAGTATCAATCTCTAATAATTCACTTCATTTTCAGGCGTCGCTCAATGCGTTGAGATCTCCAACCAGCTGCGTGGACGTTGTGGAAAGCGTCAAGTGCCAAACATGCGTCTGGGACTTCAGCACAACCTGGGAATCGGCGGGGCCGTCGTCTTGGGGCTGTATCGTCGTGCGGATGGTGGAGTGGCACCAACCAACGGGGGATTTGCAACAAGTCGTTTGTAGAGCGACATTTTATATCATAAATAGTGTTTAACAGTTTTTTATTTTTTTCGAAATATTTTTGTATATTCAAATTATTTGATCAATAAAATTTATTATTTAGCGCATGTAGATTTTAATATTCAGGGTAAAATTCAATCCTCTGAAATCTGATATTTAACTTGAATATTAAAAATCTTGCAAAACAACATTTTGTATTTTGTGCCTAGAAGTCGGCGGTATTTGCCCTCAAGCGTAATGAACACGACTCTTCATCTTGGTTTGATTGCGGTTGTTTTTTCTCTCCTCGATCGATGAAGAAAGTCGCTTCAACGCTACACAATTTATAGCGCACGGCATAGACAAAGAAAGCGTTGAGACGCGTTTTAAGGGAAAAGAAAAGAGACCAGTGTCCAGTTGAGGTTTTGAGGAGTTGATTAGAGGGGAATATGTGATATTAATGTTGTTTTTATTGTAAAGTTGTTGGTTTCGGGGACAAGTGGTAAAATATCCAACAAATATTGCTGTGATGCAAAGACGATGTCATTTAGGACCTTTTTGACGCCGATATGTCCAACGGTTTCTTCGATCTGACAACAACATTTTTATTTTTATATGAGCTCACAAATGAAACACTTTTTGTATCTTGACCTTTTATAATCTTTTTTGAGCAGCTGATTTCAACGCATTTCTCGACAGAGACAAGTAAATCTCCAAAAAGATCATTTCCTCTCCTTCCAGCCAATCATGTCCAAGCCAAAAGTCTACATTGTCGGAGTCGGTATGACCCCATTCACAAAGCCCGGCTCCACCGGCAAAGACTACCCGGAGCTGGTCAAAGACGCCGTCACCGACGCCCTCAACGACTGTGGACTCCAATACAAGGACGTTCAACAAGCCACCGTCGGCTACTTGTACGGCGGAACTTGTTGTGGTCAGCGCGCCTTGTACGAGATCGGTTTCACCGGCATTCCCATTTACAATGTGAACAATGCGTGCGCCAGTGGCTCGTCGGGTGTGTTTTTGTGCAAACAAATCATCGAAGGCGGCAATGCGGACGTTTGTTTGGCCGTGGGATTCGAGAAAATGGCACCGGGATCGTTGGAGAAGATGCAGCCATTAATGGAGGATCGGACTTTTTCGACCGAAAAACATATCCAGGTAAAGAGATTAACGGCAGAGCACTGTTAAAAGTGATCTGAAAAGGCCTTTAACCCTTTCCGGACGAGTCGGCACGTACTGGTAAAAATGAAAGAGGGTACCCTACTGAGTAACGGCATAATAGTGGTTCAGCCCATCGAAGCGTTATTTGTTACTTATGACAAAAATATCACTTTTAAAATTTTTGCGACAAGCTGTAGATCGGAAACTACCCCTAAATTAAAGTCGAGGAGTCCTAGTATTGTTACATCCAAGAACTGTCCAAATAGGAGCACTATGTGATTTGTTATCGATTTTTGGAAATTGAATTTTTAATTTTGGTCAATTTTGGACCTAAAATCAAGTATATCTTCCGCCGGTATCAACCATTTCGTTCCAACTGTGGTTTTTCCGAATCTATTGTGATGCTAGCTTCTTCCTAGAATATTTCCAGAAAAAACCTACGAGGCGTATTTCTGTAAAACGCGGAAACGTTGAAAGTTTAAAGGTTTGATCGTATAAAATGTCGCCGCGAGCCGCGAAGGGACGGGCGCAGCTTGAAACGAGAAAATAATAATTTTTTCTTCGAGAAATATTATTTTAGTGTCGAAAAGCTGATTTCAACACGAAATACAGGCAGAAATAGCACGCAAACATTACATAAATGTCATTTTTATATTTTTACTCTGTTTTCAGGCAATTTCAATCGATTTTAATTTGGTTTCACGCTAAAATCAAACTTCCCGAAAAATTTAAAAATGTTTTCTGGTTTCGAGCTGCGCCCGTCCCTTCTCGGCTCGCGGCGACATTTTATACGATCAAACCTTTACACTTTCAACATTTCCGCGTTTTACAGAAATATGCCTCGTAGGTTTTTTCTGGAAATATTCTAGTAAGAAGCTAGCATCACAATAGATTCGGAAAAACCACAGTTGGAACGAAATGGTTGATACCGGCGGAAGATATACTTGATTTTAGGTCCAAAATTGACCAAAATTAAAAATTCAATTTCCAAAAATCGATAACAAATCACATAGTGCTCCATTTGGACAGTTCTTGGATGTAACAATACTAGGACTCCTCGACCTTAATTTAGGGGTAGTTTCCGATCTATAGCTTGTCGCAAAAATTTTCAAAGTGATATGTCAAATGGGGGTACTTTTTAGGACATTTTTTGTCATAAGTCCCAAATAACGTTTCGATGGGCTGAACCACTATTATGCCGTTACTCAGTAGGGTACCCTCTTTCATTTTTACCAGTACGTGCCGACTAGTCCGGAAAGGGTTAAACAATTTCGAATAAATTTGGGACAAAATGTCAAAATGACGAAATGTCACAAATTCTTTGACATTTGGTAACAGCAAAAAGATTGCTAGAATTCGCAAAAAGCACATATCTTTATCAAAATAGATTCTTCACAGACTGAAATTACTACTTGCAAAAAAAAATTTGGCAAAATGTCAAAATCGACGAAATGTCACAAAATTTTTGACATTTCGCAACATCAAAAAAATCTCAGAATTGTCAAAAAAAACGTAATTTCATTAACATCCTTCTGAAAGACTGAATTTGCGACTTGTTAGCAAATTTTGTACAAATGTCAAAAAACGACGAAATGTCACAAAATTTTTGACATTTCGCAACATTACTGGTTCCTTCTAAATTACCAAAAAATAATATCTTGTTGTCTCTTTTAGGTCATGAACGATACCTATGGCATTGGTCCCACTCCAATTCTCTGCCAAATGTTCGGCCACGCCGGCAAAGAGCATATGGAGAAATACGGTACAAAAAGAGAGCACTTCGCCAAGATTGGGTGGAAAAATCATCTTCATTCCGTGAATAATCCGTGAGTTTTTAAAATACGCCATACGCTACCTTGCTTCCAAGATGCTTTAGTGGATGCACAGTGCAAAAAAAAATTTTTTTAAAATTGCACCGTGCAAAAAGTCGATCATTAAAAAATGTGGATTGTGGAAAGCACAGTGCAAAAAATTTTTTCGTCATAAAAATTATTTTGCGCAGTGCAGAATATTTTTTTTTCACTGTGCAAAATATAAGAAAATTGTGCACAAAAAATCAAAAAGAAATACAATTTTGTGTTTAAAATACGGTTACCATATTGTTCTCATCTTTTCACGCAAATCTTCATACAAAATTTTCCTTCAAAAAAATTCAAAAAAAAAAATCCAATTCTCATCCAATTTTCAGAAAATCCCAATTCCAAAAGTACTATCCTTTGGAGCAGGTTCTCAAAGCCCGCTCGATGCACGAATGCTTGGGGCTTCTGGAGTGTTCACCCACCTCTGACGGCTCTGCCGCGGCGGTGTTGGTCTCCGAAAGATGGCTGGCCAAGAATCCGCATTTGAGAGAGCAAGCGGTCGAAATTGTCGGTAAGAAAATGGGAAATCAATGTTAAAGTGTTGTGTTATCGTTTTTTCTCATTTTTTTTAGGAATGGAATTGGCCACAGATGAGCCAAGTGTTTTCGCCGAGAACTCAAATCTGAAAATGACTGGATTTGACATGGCCAAGAAAGCGGCTGATCGTTTGTATCAGAAGACCGGCAAGTGTCCAAATGATGTTCAGGTATGCAAAAGCAATGTCCGACGTATTTTACACAAAAAATTGCAAAAATTTAATTTTTCAAAAAACCATAAAAAATGCACGGTGCAGGAAAATAAACAAAATGCATCGCGCAAAATCTATGCATAGACGTTTTAGAGTCCAATTTACACAGTAAATAAAAAATTACACCTTTAAAAATATTAAAAAATCTCCTTTTTCCCCAAAAAATCAAGTTTCTTATTTCAGGTAATCGAGCTGCATGACTGCTTCGCTTCCAACGAGTTGGTGACCTACGAGGCGATCGGCCTGTGCCCCATCGGGAAGGGCGGCGAAATTGTCGATCGCGGCGACAATACCTACGGCGGGAAGTGGGTCATCAACCCGTCCGGCGGGCTCATCAGCAAGGGGCATCCCATTGGCGCCACTGGTAAGGAGTTTGGGGAGAAATTCTGTGTGAACTTAAGAAATCTGCCTGTCGGGAAAATAGCGAGCGTTCTGTCGGAGCAAAAATCGCATCGATCCTCTTAATTTGCCCAGTGCGGTTTTTGCGGATCGCTGCGGAAACCGCAAAAAATTGTTAACGCTTTTTGCAATATTGCCGCTCATGTTCTGCTCATTTTCAGCACGATGATTTTTTTCGCGAGAAATTATCGCAATCTTTTATTTCTGGTATATTAGAGTGTCTTCTTTTTTGGTTCCGTCGGGAAAATAATGTGGATTCGTCGCACTTTTGAATCGCCCATCATCGCTTTGCGACGGCAAGCCGCGGCTAGGGATTTGAAGCACCCGACCAAGCATGACATTTCGCTGCGACAAATCCACATTATTTTCCAGACGGACTGATAATTTGGTTTTTCATAGCCCCTAACACTTGTATAATACATTTCTTGCGACCTCGTGACTGCTCCATTTTTTAGCAGACGGGCATTTTTTGCCTTCCAAAATTCGCTCTTATCAGAACTATTAGTAATAAATATGTTCTCTTTATCAAATGCGGAGACAGAAAGCGCCGACTAGATGACCATTAAAGTTTTGGTTTTTGGCTATATAACCAATTTTTGACATGCTGATTGAACTTTCGATCAACGCTTTGACCATCAAACAGATAACTTTTCTTTAGGCGTCGCGCAGATCGTCGAGCTCTCCAACCAGCTCCGAGGCCGTTGTGGGAAACGTCAAGTTCCCAAAGTCAGACTGGCTATGCAACACAACCTCGGAATCGGCGGAGCCGTCGTTGTTGGGCTCTATCAACGAGCGGATGGCGGAGTTTCGCCTGGCCAAGGGACCCTCTCGTTGGCCGGACTTGGAGTGGAGGGTGTTGGAGGAGGAGCGGGAGGAAACTCGGGAGGCTCCGGAGGCAATTCGGAGTTCAAGTCGGATGTGATTTTTGAGGAAATCAAGAGCAGAGCTGGAGAGGCGAGTTAGCGAGGAGGTTTTTAAAAGTGGTTGATTTTTAGGGGAAACTTTAGTAATCTTTTCGCAAGCTCGTTGGAGTGATTTCTGCGATGTTCACTACAAACAAAAATACTGTAGTTTTTGCCCTTACAAACCAAAATTAAGCAGCTAATTTTAACATATTCTGAAGCAAAAAAAGTTTACGATTTTTTAATATATGTCTCTACCTATAACTCCGTACCCCATAGAAGTGCTTTCCTTGTGAAAAAGCGTAATTTTCTGCACAGTGCAAGCCGCAAAAAATCACTCCAGCGGCTTTGCGAGCGCTGGGATTCCTGTTGTGAAAAGTGGTCGTATTGTAAGACCACTTTTTCACCGAGTCTCCGCGAATCGTCCGACCTTTCCAATACTCGTAGGCTTTCCTAACCGAAGAAATCTCGGTCCTTTCTGCAAAGCGCGAGCTAGCTGTCACACATATGTCCTAGAAGAAATTTGTCTAAATTTTGACCAATTTCTTCAAAATCTGAGCGTCGCATTCAAATTTTGGACGATTTTTTGATCGAAAAATATGCTCATTTCTCTTGTAGGAGCCCGACCTCGCCAAACAAGTGAAGGGTTCGTTCCGATTCACCATCACCGCCGACTCGGGCAATAAGAAGTCCTGGACGGTGGATATGAAGAAGCCAACGCCCTACATTGGCACCGACTCCCAGGACAAAGCGGACGTCGAGATTCTGGTCAAAGACTCCGACTTCATCCTGATCAGTCAAGGCAAATTGAAGCCCGACCAAGCGTTTATGAGCGGAAAAATGAAAATCAAAGGCAACATCATGATGGCCATGAAGCTGAAGGCCATCTTGGACCCCAGCAAGCTCAAAGCAAAGTTGTAAATTTTGGAAAGAACTACATTTTATTAATAATGACGGCTATGTTTACATGATTTTTTGAAAAACTGTCATTTTAATCCGAATAAAATTTATATTATTTTTTGCTTTTTTTGACGTTTTTTGGCCAAACATTTTTTAGAATACCCTTGGCCAATTTTCTTGAAACTTTCAGAATTTGCTCTAACTAAACCATAAACCTATTCCAAAAAGTTTTACCTTTCAATTTGCACTGATAGCAAAGAAAAACGGATTTTTACGAGAGAGCACGCAAAATGAGGAGATAAAACTTGAATTTTCCCCTTTTTCGCCATTTTTTGACATTTTTCTTCGTTTCTACTACCTCTTGCTCATTAAAAAGGGCAAAAAATATGTCTATCCGAATTTATTCAATTTTTAAAACACTAGTTTAACATTATTTTTATTCAAAATTATCAAAAAATCCAAGTTCACGCTAATTTTTTCTCATCTTTGGTCGCTCCCTTCTTGCTGCCGGCCTTGCCATCGCTGCTGTGTGCAAAACTTTGGCTTTCAAGAAGCTGCGGCTCATTTTTTCGTGTAAGACTTTTGCTTTTAACCGCCTCCGGCTTCTTTACGGTCGTTATGGCTTTGAGCGTGTCCTCTCCTCCCATTCTGGCGGTGTGTTCCTCCGTCAGGCCTTGTGCCGTGTGCTCTTCCTGCTTCTTCTTCGCCAACACCGCCGCGTACTCTTCGTCGGTCATCTCGGCGTTGTATTCCACAATCGTTTTGTCGGGATCCACGGCTGAAAAAATGGAAAAAAATTTTTTAAAAATGGTAATTTTTTTCCTTTTTTTCTTCACAAAAGAGCTCACCAAAGAGTTCAGGCTTATACTCCACCTGATTGGCTTTAGCGACGGCTCTTTTTCGAGCCGCTTTCAGTGCTTCGAGCATTCCGCGCGTCAAAACTGTCGGATGCGCTTTTTGTTTGCATTTTTTGGTCTTGACTCGCTCCGTGTATTCCCAGGTCATCATCAGGAAGGTGAGCATCAACATGAAAATGTCGATGAAAATGAAAGTCTGAAAAAAAATTTAACATTTCATTTTTTGGAATTTTTGGGTTAACCGTAAAAATATCGATTCCTGAAAGTTTTTTAAAAATATTTTTAATTCGAAAAATAAAAAAAAGTCAAAACCCCAAAGAAAAACTCAATTTTTTGTCCCAAAAAATCCCTAAACTCACCAAAACCCAAATCTGCAGGGCTCCCATACTATCGGAAAGTCTTTGAATACATCGATTAGTCGAGGTTTTGCGCAAATCCATCAAACTGATTCCGAAATCTGCGGTGTCGCTCATTTTCAGCCAAGTTGAGAGAAGAAAAATGAAATTTCGACCGGTACGAAAACGGAGAGATTTGGAGAAAAATGAAGAAAAATTTAAATGAATTTAATTTTTTTTACGAAGGAGTTACGCTTGATTTTTATCGACCGGATTACAATATGCCTATGTTACAGTAATCTGAGAGACTTAATTTTCAAAAAAAATGAATTCCCAATGGTCGAGAACGTATACACGCAAAATTTTTAGTGATTTGCTCTTTCTATGACGTCACCAGGTCAAAAATTCCAAAAAAGACAAATTTAAGCAAATTTATGCCTTCCGGGCAGAATTGAGAAAAACTGTAGTTCGCTTTTCCTTAGCACATGTCGCATCCGATCGACCATATCCTAGCGATACATCTTTCCCATTTCGTTGAACTTGATTCCGCGTAGGTCGTCGTTGGGAAGATTGAGAATGATATTTATGAATCCGCGAATTTTGACGTCCAAGTTCAGGTGGGCTCTGTCGTTTATAGCATGCATGCAATATTTCAAACCTACCAGTCGATAAAACATCATGGCATATTTCGTGACCTGATCTAGCGTATAGTTTAGCCCCGCATCTTTCACGATGAGGTACAGTTTATCAATTAAGGCATCGGGTTCGACAGTACAAAATGCCCCAAACAATTCCACAAATCAGGTAGACCTTCATCTTCGAAACGCTTCAATTTTAATAACCTTCCTTTATAGCCGCCATTGAACCATGTCAATGTGATTTATTCACGGCTTTGAATTTTTTACTTACTAGCCGTTTGAAGATTTTTGCTTCTCATGGTGATGATGCGGGAACCAGCTGGACTAATGAGGGCTCATTTCGCTAGCATGAATAACGATTTCGTGCAACAGCATGCTGATTGGAAGTGGTAGTCGCTGGAAGAAACCATTCCTGTTTGAAAGCTCCGAGGTATGGCCGCAAAAGAATATGCAGAGTTGCGATATTGCCGACACCTTGACCATTCAGTCCAAAAAATTGTTTGATTTGTACCATGGCTACCACCTTTGCCCTCTCTAGAGATCAGATATTCACTATCACTTCCGAGATAAACCATTCAGTCCAAAAAAATTATTTGTTCATTACAGTCACACCTCATGAGACTTTTGAGGGTTTTACAACGGCTAACACCTTCAAACTCCAGATTTTACTCCATACTTTATCGAAAAAACGCATTAAAGACAACGTGTAAAACATTAAGGTTGTCACTATCAACCCACATACTTCTAGAAATTACTTATTTATTTCTTCGCTTGAATCATTTATAACACAATGTTTAAGGATTTGAGCTGCTGAGTTGAAGCAGCCCGAATTTCTTTTCAAAAAAATCCACGACGCCGACTTTTTCCAGTGGACCAATTTACACCCTTCAAAGAACCCTTTGATGCTGAGAGCGTAAAATTTATATTTTGGAAGAGCGCAAATTGGTCCACTGTGTCAAAAGTTATGGCCCAAAATGTGCGGCAGTGGGCGAAGTGCCGATGCGGGGCGGGAGATTCCTTGGGTTACTGTGCGTTGCCTCTGTGGTCGATGTCGGCAACATTTCCAAAAGATCTTTGTAAAGTGGCGCCGCCCATAAACTGTCGTTGCTATACAACGCCATTATCAACGGGTCGGTCACATAATATGGATTATCTCTGAGGTCCTCCTGAATATACCTGGCGTATATCTCGCAAATCTGTTCTGTCAGCTGATGCTGAGTTATGCCGAAGAACTGCTGGCAATTCGCATCGATAATTCTGTGCGTAGAATTCTAAAGAAAAGGATTTTTAAGACGAATGGTTATTAAAAGCGCACTCGCAAAAGTTCGAACAAGGTGGCTTCGAATCCCAACGCGTTCTTCTCCCATCCTATCGAGGCGTACCCATCTATTGTAAGATACATATCGTAGTGAAACATCGTTCTTGCTTTGTTGAATTTTTGACGTCCAAGTTTAGGTGGGCTCTGTTGTTTATATCATTCATCTAGAAACAGCAGGATACAAGAGAATTTGCAAGGCATATCGCGGTACACTGACTTCTGCAAGTCTCCCCTTCCCTGCCGGCTCTTTCAACCATTTGCAATACTTCAAACTTACCAGTCGATGAAACATCGTGGAATATTTCGCGACCTGATCTCGCGAATACTTTAGCCCCGCATCTTTCGCGATGAGGTACAGTTTATCACTCAATTGGTCGGGTTCGACAGTACAAAATGCCCCAAACAATATTCCCCAAATCAGGTAGACCTTCATTTTCGAAACGCTTCAATTTTAATAAACTTCCTTCATAGCCGCCAATGAACCACGTCAATGTGATTTATTCACGGTTTTTAATTATTCATTTACTAGCTGTCTAAAGATTTTTATTTCATGATGGTGATAATGTGAGAATCCTGGGCTAATGAGGGCTTGTTTCACTAGTGCTAGTGTTATTAGCATCAGTAACGATTGTGCAATTACCTGCCGATTGGAAGTGGAAGTCACTGGAAGAAACCATTTTTGTTGGAATGTTTCGAGATATGGCCCCAAAAGAATACGCATACTGCAACACAGGCTCAGAAAAGCGAGATTTCCATGTTACGCGCGTTCTAAAAAGCAGATACTGTCCATCCTTGCCGATATGGACCTATTGACCATTCAGTCCTAAAAATTATCTGGGTTTTACAATGGCTACCACCTTTGCCCGCATAACTCTCTAGAGAGCAGATATTCACAATCACTTCTGAGATGAACCATTCAGCCCGTAAAAGTACTTGTTCATTACAGGCACACCTCATTGTCAGTAGATCAGTAGACATTAGAGGGTTTTACGATTTTATTAAACCCTGGCAGCGAGCGCTGACCAGATATCCGCACGAAACGTGGATATTATGGCGAGAAGATGGGTGGGTCGCTTAATAGACAGAACAACTGATTGTCACGATTCCGTGAAGAATTAACAGAAATTAGCATAAACCGACGAATATTTATAAATATTTATAAATAACCCATGCTTTGCTTACAGAGGAAGTGCGACGCTCAGATTTTCTTAAAATTTTGCACACACCTCGGGTATGGACTAAATATCGATTCCTGAAAGTTTTAGCTCGCGGTTTGCGGGCGCCGCCGAGATATCGAACGATTTTTGTCCCTGACTAGGGAAGTGTACAAACGAACCCTCACCAAATGGCAAGTGATATACACCATTTGAAAGCCCTTGAAAAATGGTGCAAGATACCATTTTCATTTTTTTCAGAATGCCTTTCCGCGACGACACACTGTAAATTATATTATTTTTAGGTCATTTCGCAACAAAAATCTTTCTTTCTCTTGAGCGGATAAAAATCCTCGGAGAGGGTTGCTTCAATTGTGCAGTATGATAAGCCAAACCAAGCTAGGTTCGATTCCCAGCTTGGGCAAAAACGTTTTGCGTTTTTAGAGTTAGGAAAATATTTGAGTTAAACTTTTACAAACGCTTTAATTTTTCTAGAAAACGGTAGATTACGGTTATAATCATCAAGCTTACATGTTTTTCAAGATTAAAAAAAGTGAAAAGTGTTTTTTCACGTTATGGGTATTTAAAACCAGTAAATAATATCATATGTAAAATGGTTTTACTGGCAAGCGCCAAACTTCATAATAATTCTTAGGCCAACCTAGTAGCAATACGTATCATTTAACGCTTTGAAATAAGATTTATTTTGCCCCACAGCAGATATTGTAACTACTTAAGGGACAAATCAGCCGTTTATAATTTTTTGCCCTAAGGCATTCTGCAAAAAGTGAAAATGGTACCTTTCACCATTTTTCAAGGGCTTTCCAATGGTGTATAACACTTGCCATTTGATGAGGGTTCGTTTGTACACTTCCCTAGTGAGAGAGCACGCTAAACGTGGAGAGCGGTCAGAGAGAAAACACCTTTTTGGCCATAACTTTGGGAGTTTTGCGCGGAAAGATTTGATTTTTTGTAGGAACATTATCCTTTACGGTTGAAATGGGCATGAAACTTTTCTTGCCGCAATTCGGCAAAAAGTCCTAAATTTTGGCCGAATTTTGATCTAAAAAATCTCGGTTGTTTCTGCAGAGCACGAGCTAGGATTCTCACGTATATCTTAGAAAAAATTATTCTAAATTCGTGCCAAGTTTCATAAAAATCTGATCGTCGCACTTGGAGTACTTCCCCTGTTAATTTATTATTTTTTTTATTTTGATTTTTTTCAAAAAAATAAAAAAATTCTAAAAAATCCAATTTTTTACAAAAAAATCTCATCATTTCCCCCAAAACCACAATTTTAAAATCCTTTTTACTACCTCTTGTCGCTGTTTTCTGACATCACAAGCCAATTTTGATCGTTTTTTCCCAAATATTTTCACTTTCTTCGCCGAAAAAAATTTGGAGAAGGAGAAGAGGGAGGTGAAGGTGGTGGCAAGCCGGAATTCCGAGCCAGTTATGGGGGTTTCGCAAAGTCTTATTGGCTTCGGTAAAGAGGAGTCAAAGGGAAAAAGGGCGAAATTTGTTTATGTTTTGCAAAAAGGGAACCTTATTTTATTATTTTTTTATTTTTTACTATTAAAAAGTATTTTTTGCAATGAATCTTGAAAAATTTTTAAAAAACGCCAATGAATTTTGGATTTTTCAAGCCAATGTTTCTAGATTTTTCGCTGAAATCAAGTCGTTCAAGGTCATCAAACGGAAAGGAAGCCGTTGCTTTGTTGGAAATTACACGAAAAACAATAACTTTCTTGAACTTACAGCTTGCACTTTAGTTTCTTTTTTCGTGCTGTGCATCAAATTATCACTTCGTTGTTATCAGTCTGTCGGGAAAATAACGGCATGTCGTCGCAGCAAAATATTTCGCCAAGAAAAGTTTGCAGTCGCGCATCAAATCTCCTGCTGCGGCTAGTCGTCGCATAGCAATGATGGTCGATTCCAAGGCGCGACAAATCCACAATATTTTCCCGACAGACTGATATTAATTTTTTGTCGCGCAAAGACACTTTGCGACACCGAAAAGTGCTGAATTTTGGAAAGTCGTAGCGGAGCGTTCGAAAAAAACCAAACGCACTGTGCGAAATTCTATCGGCATTATGGAATTACTAGCATTTTCGTAGAGTTTTAATTTACAGGGGAAGTACCCCAAGTGCGACGCTCAGATTTCGATGAAACTTGGCACAAATTTAGAATATTTTTTTCTAAGATATATGCGAGAATCCTAGCTCGCGCTTTGCAGAAACAACCGAGATTTTTAGATCGAAAGTCGGCCAAGTTTAGGACTTTTTTCCGAATTTCGGCACGAAAAATTTCATGCCTATTTCTACCATAAAGGGTAATGTTTCCCCAAAAAATCAATCTTTTCCGCACGAAACTGCCAAAGTTATGGCCAAAAAGCGTTTTTCTCTCTGACCGCTCTCCGCGTTAGGCGTACTCTCTCCACACAAAAATCGTCGAATGTCTCGGCGGCGCCTGCAAAGCGCGAGCTAAAACTTTCAGGAATTGATACTTAGATGATGTCCGACATGTGTGCAAAATTTGAATAAAATCTGAGCGTCGCACTTGGGGTACTTCCCGTGTTAGTAGACTTTTGCGCTGTGCTTTTTGTGGTCGTTTTTAGTTCGTTTTTGCATCGTGCAATTGTCCTTAGCGTGCATATTTCAGCGACAATGCAATGAAAAAAGCTTGCGTCGCAGTTGACCTTTCTTTTTTCACAGCGCGATGAAATGTCTTTTATGTAACCTCTCACAACCCTCTTTTCAGCCGCATACAGAACACATATGGATGAGCCCACTGTCTCCGAAATCAGCCAACCCAGCGCGTCCGGCTCCTCTCTCACCTCCAGTATATCCGAAGCCTTGGATGCGCCACAACATGCCGAGAAATCCAAGAAAAGATTCCCGGTTGATGTAGGTCATTGTTTCGGCAATTGCAGATTTGAATGTTTAGAGAGTCGCCCTCTACACGACTGTAACTCTACTCCTCTCCGCGATGATAAACATTATGGTAGCTTTGATGAACGGGAACACTGCCGGGTTTTGGGGCGCGCTGCTGATTACGCTGGCCTACATCCTGATTCTCGTTGGGATAAAGGTGAAGAAGGCCAGTTATTTCTCCTTCTACATGATGGTTCAGGTAAGGGTTTCGTGCGACTTAAAAACTTCAAACATATATTGATGGTAAATCATATTACAATTCTATTGAAATGACTGGGCTGCTTTCCAACTTTTCTCGAAGTGATTAGCATAATATTGCGAATATGAATATTGTTTTTTTCGACACACCTGTTTATTATATTATTTAACTAAATAGAGAAGATTATTTTTATGAAAAAATTCGCAAAGCGCTAATTTTCACTAACAAAAAACGCGGCAATATAAACGCCGGACAGTTATGCATCAGCGCAATAATATAAGCAGTCTGTCTGATAAATTATAAGCACTTTGCCGCATCGGAAATCGTATTGCCGCCGAGAAAATGAATTGTGCTGCGGCAAAAATCAAATTTCTTTTCACTTCAGCGCCGCGATCGCCACAGCGACATTGTGCTCATTATTCTCCTGATGGACTGATATGTCATCCAATTCAGCGCGAAAAACATTTTTTTTTGAAAGAATTTATAGAAAACCACTCAATGATATAAAGAAGCTGAAAATTTTTCATCATTAAACAGTGAATATCAGAAAAAATACTTTTTGGCTTGAATACTTTTATGTCCTTGCAAGAATTCGCCGCGAGACAATCCAGCGATTTCCGATGCAACAGTGTGCTCATTATTTTCCCGACAGACTGATGTGTAGTTGCTTACCGCCAGTTTTCAGACAATGGCCCTTCTGTTTTACATTTTCGCTTCATTCCGCTTGATCCGCCAAGCGTCGGTGGCGGGTTGGGCCAGCTTGTTGACCGGATTCGGCGTGGTGTTGATCATCCCACTGATCTTGGCCTACATTTACTTGCTCATAAGGAAAACACATCGCATTCATCAGAAAAAACGGAAGATCCGCCAGGCCGAAATGACGTTGGACCAGTTCGACGGAATAACGCCCAGAAATTTTTAGAAAACACTGTTAAAAAAGTATTATAATATTATATATCTTATATACATGTAATAAAAAAAAGCTCTAAAGTTTGTAATCAAAAGCTGAAAGGGATTCCATAGAAACAAAGATTTATTCGTTATAAAAAAGTTCCGTTCTCCAGAGATTTTTCTCGGCTAACATTGAATTGTGGGTCCTCTATAAGTCCTCGCTATAGAGAGGTTTTTTTGGTTGGGAGTTTATTGCATGTATTATTAGCATCTTCACAAAGTACATGGCCATTTACACACGGCCATATATAGAGGCTAATATAGAGGTTCTAGAGTACAAGGCATACATTAATTAAGCCTTTCGAGTTGTTTCTTTCCGCAAAATCATCCCTTTCCATCTTCGGAAATGACCGAAAAAACCACTTCAACTCGGAAGTCGCCATCGCTCATTACACGATGGGTATTAGGTAATAGATACATCAAGTAATTACCTAGGATATTGTTGGTTAATTGCTTGTTTTTTGTCACTACCACCATGTTGTTTGGATTTATCTTGCCTTCGAGCGGTTTTTCGGAAAATTTGAATAAAAAAGGCGAGAGAAATGAGATTTTTCCCTCCGCCAACGCGACTCTGACTGTAATCATGACCGTCTTGGGGACTGTTTTCCGGCTCGCTGTTAGTTTGTGCACGCTAAATGCGAATTATGACGTCATCAATGGATTGATGAGGCGAAGTCTGAAGATTCATTATAATATTGTTATGGGACCGACAATGTCGAGTGTGATGTGGGGAGCGTTTTGCAGGTAAGTTCAAGGACATTTGGTTGGTGGAGAGCTTACTGTGCGAAGATGAAATATTGATGTGAATGGGCTCAAATTTAGATTTATCTTTTGTAAGTGATCCCTAGTAGCAAAAACACTTGTTCTTTACAGTAGTATTGCTACGAAAATTTTCATGGCAAACTTCGCAAAAAAGTGTTACGTTTTTACCAACTTTTGATCTAAAAACCTCGGTTGTTTCTGCAAAACCCGAGCTGGACGCCTCGTATACACCTTCAAAAGAAGTGTTCTAAACTTGTATCAAGTTTCATCAAAATCTGAGCGTCGCACTTGGAGTACTTCCATTGCCGACCTAAAAAAAAACCACACTTTTTAGCACCATCTTTATCTTCGCCTTTTTTGGATCACTCTCCTTTTACTGGATATCCAAAGTGGTTAGTCGAAGGAAAGGTATAATCTTCTGTCAGCTGCTGTTTATTTTCTCATCATTTCTGGCCCTGTGGAGTTACTACGACCTATTTGAACTGCTGTTTTTCTCTCATGCCATAACCGGCTTCTCCGTCGGGCTTGGAGTCTCGTTTTTGGTGAGAATTATAAATGTAAGTGTTGCTGCTACTTGTGTTATACATCGCTACACTCTATGTTTAGGAGATCTCGGACTCAACTACCCGAAGATGCCTTGTTAAAGTCGCCGCTGCAACGGCGTGGATTTCCACAGTAATCGGAAGTGTGATGGCGTCGAAATTTGTGTTAGGAAGTGAGCTTACCTGGCCATTTTTGTATCTCTTCCCTGCGGTCTTCAATATGTTTTGGTATGTTTTTCATTGACCTCAATCACTCGCCATTTCTTCCCTAGTTTAGTAAATTTTTAGTCTGACATTTTACCTCGGGGTTTACAAAGAGACCCCGGTTTATTTGCTGTCCTTGGCCGAGACATCTCTTGCAATGGAAAGCATCAAGTTTTATTATGAGAATTCGGAAAATCACGAGGAGAACTTGGAGGAAATGCAGAGACTGCATCGAGAAGTGAGTCCAGCAAAGGAAATGCTGCAAGTGCACACTCAGATTTTGACAAAACATAACACAAATTTAGATGAAGGCTTTCTAAGGCATATGCGAAATTAGTAGCTCGCGCTTTACAGAAACTACCGAGATTTTTAGATCGAAAGTGGTCAGTAATAAGCCATTTTTTGCAAATTTTGGCACTTCTCGGCGGCACTTGCAATTAGCGAGTCAAAATTTTCAGCGGATGATAATTGGCGTAAGCACAAAGCGTGTGCAAACTTTTTTTTCAAAAACCGTATGTCGCACTTGCAAGCCTTTCATTGTAAATGAAGCTAAAACTATTGTCTTCACAACTTTTTGCAGAGCTGCAATCGGCTTGACTTCACTCTGCTAGAGACGTTGCAAGATCATGTTGGACGCAAATACATCATTCTGAGTGGAATCATTGTGATCGCCATTCAATTCTCAATTTTGTGGCCATTTACCTTGTTTGGAACCGAGATTTTCCTGAGATTTGGGCATGTGGATAGAGTAAGAGCCTTTATCATCAAAGTTTCTTACCACTTCGTTGATGAAAAATTTATTTTCAGTCGTCCTCAACGTTCATTGTGGCAATTATCTTCATCATGGCCACTCTTTGTTTGCCCATTGGATTCAGATTGAGTTCAATTTTCAGCCCCAGAAAGCTACTTATTTTCAGCATTGCATGTTTGTCCATGATCAGCATGATCTGTTCAGCCACTATTTTTGTTGCGGTAAGTAGTAGTAGGTGTCCTATCAATCTGTCGGGAAAATAATGTGGATTTGTCGAGCCTTGAAATCGGCCATCAACGCTTTGCGATGGCTAGCCGCGGCTGCAAATTTGGTGTGCGACCGTGACGAGGCGAGACATTTTCCGACAGACTGAAATAGGTCCAACACTTCCAATGACTCCTCATTCCAGGAGACTCAACCTCCGCAATCCTGGCCAGCCCTTCTGCTCATCGTGACCTTCAGTCTGACGCTTATAGTTCACAGTTCACTCGTCGAGCCCCTGCTCTCCAACGGCCTGATTGTGATTGGCGAGCGGCGCTTTCAGCGGGCCATCTTTCATTTCGCCTCAAATTTCACTTTTCTCTCGGCTTTCTTGGCCACTTTGTTGTTCTACCCGCTACAACAAGCCATTGGATATGGGGTTTACATGATTTTCACGGCAATTCAGCTAGTGGCTTTGGGAGTCATCGTAAGATTGCATGCCAAAGGAACTATTGCAGAGAATAACGGAGAAACACAACAGGCGGATGAAGAGAATAGAACTAACTAAAAGAAGTTTGTACAATATATTGTATACGTAATACATATGTAGGTATAAATCGATATTGATTCGGCGGGCGCAAACTTGCAGGCAAACTAATCCCCGTAAAAAACAGCAGAGATTACGGGTATGCTTGGAATTCATCCAACATTTGCATACAACAGGAAATTCAGACGATGGATTTGGCAGTTAGATGTTGCTAATTACATTTCCTGGTGTACAAGTGGCTTGAATAGTTACCATAAGGTTAACCAGACATTTTGAAAGGTTCAGAGACCACTTTTCGAAAACAAACTACCATAACTTTGAAAGAGGTGGATGAATTCAACGGATGCGTGTACCTATCTGAACCATGGAGCTGTCAATGTAAAAATTTCTATCTTAATATGTAAATAGGTTATGGTAGAAAAATCGTCATTCTAAAAAGTAAATGTCGGCTGCTTTTCAAACTTTCTTTACCAAAAAATCCAAAAAATGTGTGTCAAGTCTCCCCATGGCCTACTATGCATGCCATATCTTTGCCAGTGTCTTTTGAGAAATATTGATTGTTTTTGTGAACGTTACACTATGGTAGAAATGGGTACGAAACTTTTCATGTAAAAATTGGTAAAAAGATGTCACATTTTTTCCAACTTTTGACCAAAAATCTTGGTTTTTTCTGCAAAGCGCGAACTGGGAATCTCAAATATACCTTCGAAGCAATTAATATATATTTGATTGATATACATTACATTGGTGCCAAGTTTAGTCAAAATCAGAACTTTGCATTTCCAGCTCTCCACATTCCAATCCCAAACCTTCTTCACCAGCCGTGATGGAAATTTCGCTAATTTACTTTGCACTCTACAAAGATACGCGTGTTTCTGGTTTCAACCGTGATTTTTCGATTGTAGTCGAATAGAAACTTTTCGAAACTAGACGGAATTTGCGCTGACAAAACCGGGGTTCACGTGAAAACGAAAGGAACATGTAAATATGTTTTGAGGCGTCTACAGTGTTTAATTGTCAAAAAAAAGACGTGGTTTGACTCGTTAAGACTGTTAAAAGTTGAAAGGCGCAAAAAAGTTTGAAGTCTTGCAGGAATATAAGTCTGTCGGGAAGATAATGAGCACTCTGTCGCATCGAAAATCGCATCGCCGCCGAGAAAATGGAGGGTGTCGCGGTGAAATCAATTTTCTTTTCACTTTAGCGGCACGATCGGCGCAGAGACTTTGTGCTCATTATTTTCCCGACAGAGTCAAATTAACTTCATATCAATCTGTCGGAAAAATAACGGCGGATTGTCGCATCAAAATGTCTCGCCTCGCCGCTGTCGCGCACCAAATCCCGAGCCGCGGCTTGCAGTCGCAAAGCGATGAGGGGCGATTCGGAGGCGCGACGATCCGCCGTTTTTTTCCCGACAGACCGATAAAGTGCATGTGCACAAAAATCCATATTTTGCCCCTGAATTTCAACGTTTCTTTGTTTCCGCGCAATGGTACAGGCAACCACAATGCGGGCAGCTACTAGTCCGTTCGTAAAGTCGCTGGAATGATTTCGGCGACGTGCACAGTGCAAGAAAACTCAGGGTGCGAGCGACAGCTCGAAAAAGCCTATTGCACTGTGCAAAAAGGCAAAAATTTCACAGTGCAAAGTGAAATTTCGTTTTCGCGGAGTGCATGTCGCCGAAAACATTCCAGCGACTTTACGAACGGACTAGTAGAAGAACCACGGAGACCCTGCGGGCATGTTTCGACATGGGCCAATGTCGAGAGGCCCGGGGACAACCACGCGATAAGACGAGAAGCTCGAGTTCAAGTGATTTATTGAGTGAAAAGCGGCCCTTATATAGGGTAACACCACGTAGGAAAGTACAATCAAATTTGAATAATAAATGATGATTTGCGTGGGAATTCGGGCTCGAAGTTCGGTCGTTCCGCCTCACAGCCAACATTTGCTTACAGCAGGAAATTTAAAAGATGGATTTGGCAGCTAGATGTTGCGAATAGTTACCATAAGGTTAACCAGGCATTTCGGAAGGTTCAGAAATCATTTTTTTTTGAAAACAAACTTCAATAACTTTAAGAGCGATGGATAAGTTCGGCAGATTCGTGTACTTATCAGTACCTGGAAGTTGTCAATGCAAAAATTCGATCATACTACGTAGATTACAGGGGAAAATCGTAATTATAATTGGAAAATGTCGGGGCTCTACAAGGGTTTGTTATGCCGAGATTCCCTCCAAACTTTCCTTGCGGTTGTTGGTTAACAACCTCCTAACACTAACTTAAAAAATTTCTGTTTTCTCAGTTTGTGCTTGGCTTCAAATCAAGAGATCAGCCTTGAGGTGCGCTGCAGAATTGTCATCAGGTGATGTTTTACCGTAGCCTCTAATTCTTCACTCCTCAACTGGCTAAAAATAAGGTTGTTTACGCTCGCCGAGTGCTCCAAACATCGCATGCTACGGCGGAAATCGCCGACTCTCGAACGTGGCTGTAAAAATAGTCGCAATTTTCGAATTAAGTCGGAAAAAAGGTTGGCGTCTGTTCAAGATAACAGCTGGGCCTATTTAAAGCGCGCGAAGACGGCGGCTTGGCAGAGTCACAAGTTTCACGCGAAGCGCAGTAAACAGGGAGTACGGTAAGTCAAAAGGGGAAAAGGGAACGGTGAGTGCAAGGGTGCAAGGAGAGGGAAGCTGGAATAGACAAAGTTTGTAGTCTTGTGTTAAGAATATGTAACGAGAAAATGATGGAGGTGTATCTTGTGAGGAAAGCCCTCCAGATACTAGCCTGGAAGTCGCTGAAGTGATTTCGACGACATGCACTGTGCGGAAACAAAAGTTCACCTTGCACTGTGCAATTTGCCAAGAATGTGTCCACCGACTTTGCGGGCGGACCAGTGCAGGTAGCTCGCTTGGAAAACATCTTTCTCTGATGCAAATTCCTGTCTCATTTTTCCATCGTCTCCAGACACTTCTTGTTGACCATTTGAGGTCATTACAGTCCTTCACAAAATACCTCTTCATTCAGGATATCCCTTTCATCGCAATTACAGAGATTTCGACTTTCCATTTTAGTCACACTCCTCCCAGTAATTGCTGACATAACCGATTACCGGCTTTTCGCATAAAAAATTCAGCAGAAGCCTTGAATTTTTCGAAACGTCGTCGCTCTCTTTGGAATTCGCGCGGTTTATGCAGTAGTAAGGCTTGTTATGACGACCTTAATTCAAGGTGAAGCACTGGCTCTTCCCACTCTTTACGCTTCTTCACAAAAGGTGGATTCGTAACTGGGTGAGAATGCCGCTTTGACGGGAATTTGGAGGTTTTGCGATGTACCTTGAAGGGATTTTTTGACTGATTGGGACAAGACGTGGGGACGGGCAGAGCTATCAAATAATTTCCGACCCCGTCCGCGTATTTTTGGACAGTGGTATAGGGCCTAATTTTTCGGATTTTTAACGCAAAATTAACAGGAAAAGTGCCGCTCAGATTTTTTTTCAAATTTTGCGCACGCATGTGGAATATGCCACATATCAGTTTCTCAAAGGCTTAGCTTGCGCTTTCCAGGAGCAGCCGAGATATTCAACGAAGGATGAGAGAGTATGCGCAACGCGGAGAGCGGCCAAAGAGGAAAATATGTCTGGCCAAATCTTTGCCAGTTTCGTGCAGAAAAAATTATTTTTTGCCCCAACATTGCCCTCTGGCAGTAACAGGTATGAAGCTTTCGATGCCTAAATTTTCTAAATGAGGTATCAAGGTATATTAATTTTTTTCATGGTGACCGGAACTTTTGGTCGGCTACGCCGCTAGAGCCAAGTACGCCTAGTAAGATGCAACCATTCAGCCATGCCGGGCCCAAAGCGATCATTCAGCTACAGTGGGGGACCTGATCCAGTGACAAAAAAACGTATCATTTTGCATCCGGGAAGCATCAAAAAATGTGGCAAAATGCTTCCCTCTCCAAGTGAAAATTGGAATCGAGGTTTTTTCACTTGGAGAGTGAGGCATTTTGCCACATTTTCGAACTTCCCGGACGCAAAATGGTACGTTTTTTGCCACTGGATCAGGCCCCCCACTATATGCCGGCGCAAAGCCACCACTTGCAAAGCCTTGAAAGCGCGGGTCGGCAACCCCTTTCCGAAATTCGATTCCGTTGATCTCGCGTTTCAATCGTGTAAATCAAACAATTCAACGTCCTTCCGGGCCCTCGTTTCCCATCGCCAAAATCCCGTCTGATTAAACCGCCCCCGAGAATCCGGCGCCTCAAAAAGTGGGTCGCTTTAATACATTTGTGAAAAAACTCATTGGAGAAAATTTTACGCACTGGTTTCCTTTTTGTTTCAAACTCCATGGGAATGAATGGGCAAGGGCTGGGTGCCGATTCTTTGATCTACATCCACAAAAGTGACAATGTCGCTGCCTGGGAATGGCGTTTCAATTGCAATTTTCGATTCTCATTGCAATGAGCTGCCCGTTGGCGAAGTCATTTTCGATTTTCCGGAGTAGATTTAACCGTAACTGCATTACTTTGTACGTATTTCTTTTTTCATTAGTCGTGCCAAAAAGTATGACATGTTTTCGCTCGATGCGATAGGCGTCGCTAAGTGGCTTTGCGCGACAAAAAAATTAATATCAGTCTGTCGGGAAGATAATGTGGATTCGTTGCGCCTTGGAATCGCCCATCAACGGCAAGCCACAGCTGGAAATTTGATACGCGATTGAGCTCTTTTTTCGACGACGTGAAACATTTTGCTTCGATAAAAAATAAATCCACATTATTTTCCCGACATACTGATAACAAACAGTCGTCGTGGTTCGAATGAAAAAAAACGCACTGTGTAGTTTTCGCGACATAAGCCTTGATTGTCTTTTTCAGAAAATTTATTTTAGAATTTGCGTGGTCGACGTGCAAGCTGAAGTTTACTCATTGCGGCGCGACAAGTTTTTTGCCTCTTAGTGCACCGTGCCAACATGTCAAGACTTTTTGGCTCGCCTAGTATAATGTAATATTACCTTCCATGAGCAACTCCTGAGAAAAATTATTTTTATTTTTCGAGCGATTTAGATATCAGTCTGTCGGGAAAATAATGAGCACTCTGTCGCAGACTGACATTTCCCCTTACACAACCTATAACTTGTCTTTTTGACACCTTTAACCTATCATTTTACTGGTCCATACGCTAAAATTTTACTATTCTATCGAGTTATTATCTCTTTCCGCAGAGCCCTCGTCACCCTCATTCCATTTTTTCTCTTCCAGAGCTACTCAAAAATTGGAAAATTAGAGTCAAACGCAGATAGACCAGTAAAAATATGCAAAAATGCCTGTCCAAGCGGTAAGACAAAAATTTTGAAAAAATCCCATCATCATAAGGAAAATGGGCCCTCAAAACACTCGTTTTATCTATGAATTTTCAGGACACGACCGCTAATCATGATCCCGACAATGCTCACAACACTGGCGTTGGCGCAGTTCAACAGCAGCAATATTATCGACTTGCCGGTCAGTCGATTCCCCGAGCCGAAATGCACCTACAATGTGCTGCATGACGACAGATACGGCAAGCAGGTGATAGGGTAGGGGTTCTTTTTTCATTTAGAAATTTAATTTTGTTGTTAGTTTCAAGTTTTCGCGGCGAAACCAAAAAAAATGTAAAACTTAGGTCCCACCACGAACACTTGACATACCATTTTTTGTAATAGTGTATAGATAAGACCAATGTATATCAAATTTGCTGGTTTTTAGAGCCATTTTGCACTCTGGTTTGCCAATTTTTACGTCTCTGCCATGTTTTTCCCAAAAATTCCTCAAAAAGTATTCAAAAAATCGGTAAAAAATCATATTTCAAACCGAGAAAAGAAGGGCAATAGCATGTAAATGATATATCCTTCTTTTTAATGCCAAACGCCAACGAATTTCTAATCCCCTGAGGGCATAAAACAACTTTTTCTAATAAAATCCCAATTTTTTCGAAAAAAATCAGTTTTTCCAAAAAAAAAATCGGTGAAAAATTCATTTGCAAAATACGTATAGGCAGCAAGCTTATCTTACATGAAGAACACATTGTTTGCAGAAAAATCAACATTGGCGACCCATTATATCACAAATGGGAGTGTGACTACGGCGAGCGGACAAGCGTGGATATCTACTGCATGATGGTGCACAGTTGCACGGTGACCTCGCAACGACAGCAGCAGCCCATCGAAATTATTGACGAGTTCGGCTGCACGCTGTTTCCGCAAGTCATCAGCAATATTCGGTATGACGCCGACTTGAAAGGAGGGCTCAAAGTTCAAGCCTTTTCGCTCGATGTGGATGAGGTAGGTTGCTCAAAACTAAAAAAGTACCCCAAGTGCGACGCTCAGATTTTCTACAGTGGGGGACCTGATCCAGTGGCAAAAAACGTACCATTTTGCATCCAGGAAGCATCAAAAATGTGGCAAAACACCTCCCTCTACAAGTGAAAAAACTCACAAAAAGCGCGTCCTCTCTTTTTGTGAGGAAAAAGGGCGTGCACTTCAAAACGAAGCGTTTTCACTTGGAGAGGGATTTTGCCACATTTTTGATACTTCCCGGATGCAAAATGACACTGTTTTTGCCACTGGATTAGGTCCCTCACTGCAAATGTGCCAAATATAGTGACGGATCTGATCCTGTGGCAAAAAACGTACCATTTTGCATCCGGAAAGTATCAAAAACACTGAGAATACCTCCCTATAAAAACTCTGCTCGCCCTCACATAAAAAGAGAGGACGCACTTTTGAAACCAGAGTTTTTGTTCGCTTGAAAAGGAGGCACTTCACTACATTTTTGACACTTCCCGGATGCAAAATGATCCGTTTTTCGCCATTGGATCAGGACCGTCCCTATAAGGGGAAATGCTCAAAAAAATCCCAATTTATCTCCCCTTTTCAGCCAGCCATCAGTTTCCGATGCAGCATCAAACTCCTCTTGAAGCTAAATGGCATCTGCCGACGACCGCAATGTGCCGTTCAAGCGGCCGAATGGGTCCGAAAACGACGTTCAATCGGCCGATTTAACCGAGCTAAGTGATTTTTGGAGTTTGTTCGGTAGATACATCTTGTTTCAACGGTTTTCAACACGCTTTACTGTTATTTTTTGTCGAATTGAGGATGATAATGCAATATATTTGTAAATTTATGTTAATAAACTCGATTACTAAAGGGGTTAGTGGACTTCTTTGCGCATTTTTAGGCAAAAATAACCTATTTTAGATATTTTTTGAGCAAGACATACGGGATTTTTTAAACACCTTTACAAGAAAAAATTAAATTTTCTACAAAATAAATGCAATGTCCTGTAATTTCCACAGATTTTATGCTAATGGCGTCCTTTTCAAGCCCCAAAAATGTGATTATTCGGCGTTTGAAACCAAAAAAATATAAAATTTGGTCGATTTTCGGGCAAAATGTTGCGTCTTGGAGCTAAAGCAATGTCTAATTTGGCGAAACAAAGGTAACTTGGGTATTTTCTAACACTATTTATAACTTTGTATGACTTTAAACCACATTTTTGATCACTTCCAGCCTCCATATTACCCTTTCCACCAGGGCTATGAAACACGGCCCTGAGGGCAAGATCTATCGCCTCTGGTTTGATGACGTCAAAAATAATCGAATAGATTTGAAGACCTTCGAACAATGGCATCAAGGGTTGAAAGCGGCTAATGAGGACCCGAACACAGTGATTACTGTCATTTCCGGGCGTGGGAAATTCTATACCGCCGGCTCGGACCTCAACGGATTCCGAGGTGAGAATTTAAAATTTTTTATGCGCAGGTTTCGATAAGGCTTGAGTAAATTTAGCATAGAAAGAGACATTGGTTTTCGGATCAACTAGTATCAGGTTGTAATGGTTAATATAATTTTTGATGAGAAATAAGCTGTTTTTGTCCGAAAAATCACATGGTAGGTGTACGTTGTCAAATACGGTGCCCGTAATGAACTGTGACTAGTTTTACTAGACTAAAATATGCATTTCAATCAAATTTTTCATATATAATGAAAAATTTTTTCGGTAATATAATCCTTTGGCAATTTCAAAAAATTATTGCTTCTTTCGATTCAAAAATACAGTTCCTTGCTTCCACTCTAGGTCGATCCAGAGTCTTACTTCGTCAGCTCTTTTCGGTCCCAACCTCTGATCATCTTTTTGCTTTTCATTACGGTTTGAGGCGGGAAATTCGCGTATCCCTGAACAATCCTCGGCTTCAGCTTGTTAATTGGCTTCCGGCAAAACTTGAGAGATCAAACGGTTATTTTTTTGCAAGCTTCGGTCGCGCTGAATGTCCTGCCGAAAACCAAAAATTCGGACGCCAAGAATAGGATTTTCTAGTTTTTGACAAATCTTAATTTAACCAGGAACTTGCTTACATTTGCGTTTCCCAATGATGGGAAAAGCATCCTTCGGAGAAGTGCGGCCAAGACGAAGAACTTGACAGATTTTGATAAATCTATGGAAAATATACGGCTTTTTAAGTCCAAATACGGGCAGAAAAGTCGAAAACGTCAAGAAAACATTGTTTTTAGGTCTCGAAACAGACGAGCAACGCACCGAGCTGGCCAAGAAAGTCATGTATGGCCCGGTTTCCGGACTGATCAGCGAGTTCATCGACCACAAAAAGCCGATCATCGCGTTGATCAACGGCCCTTGCATTGGGATTGGCGTCACCACTTTGCCGTTTTGCGACTCAGTGATCACGTCGGAATCGGTAAGTACGTATAGTAAATTGGAATCTCAAAATTTTTGTTCGCTAAAGAGGGATTTCATTGTACGGAGTCTAAACTTGCTCCAAGTTTCATCAAAATCTCTCAACTTTTTTATCCCAATTTCTCTCTAATTGTCCCTTTTTTAGGCTTATTTTCTGACCCCATTTGTCCGTCTTGGCTACACTCCCGAAGGATGCTCTTCTCGTCTGTTTGCCAAGACTATGGGATACGCAATTGTAAGCAAATTCCTTGTTAAACTAATTTAAGATCTGTCAAAAATTTAAAAAATCCTCTTCTAGGCGTCCGAATTTTTGGTTTTCGGCCGAAAATTCAGCGCGGCCGAAGCCTACAATTGCCATTTGGTTTCTCAAGTTTTGCCGGAAGCCAATTTCCAATCTCAGGCCGAGAAGATCGTTCAGGAATACGCGAATTTGCCGCCTCAGACCATGATGAAAAACAAAAACATGATCAGAGGTTGGGACCGGGAAGAGTTGAAGAAGGTAAACGAAGAAGAATGCAGGATCGAAGTGGACCAATGGATCGAACCAGAGTGCAAGCAAGGAACTACTGCGTTTTTGAATCGAAAGAGACAATAATTAGGGCGGGTTTTTATGACATTGCTAAAGTTATATTATCCATGAGAAATTTGATCCAAATGCGTCATTTAGTTAAGTAAAACTAGCCACAATTCATTACGGACACTGCATTGGGCAATATACTATATACCACTTCATTTTTCGAACAAAAAACAACGGATTCCTCAAAAAATTTATATTAACCATGACAACCTTAACACTAATTCATCATTACAGAAGCTCAAAAACTCTTCTAACCACCGTATTTTACCTCAATCTATGACTTTCCCTCCCATACAAACAATAAAAATGGACTTTCAACCAAAAATTATATTACACATGGCTTCAAACTGAAATCTCTATTTATTTTACAAGAAAAGTAAGATAACCGTTTAGAATGGGTGCAATGACAATCTATGTTCCTATGTTGAGTCTAAGAAGCTTCTTTCTTGCCGGAGACAATCAGCGGACCAACGTTATCACCAGTGTCTTTGTTGTGCTTGTTATGGGAGCCATCGCAATACGGGAACTGAAAAAAAGTTGTGTTAATCTCAATCAATCCTCACCAAATTTGACGCAAATAAACTAGACATGTTCTACTACAGCCCAAGCGATATTTTACTTACTTTCTCGCTTTTCCAACATCTACAGAAGGCCTTCTTCTCTCCAATGTCTTCAATATCCGTGGAATCCACAACCTTGTCCGTGTCGAGCTTGATTTTCCCGTTACAGCGGGCTTTCCTCGCCGTTAGATACGTACCAACAAAGTAGCCGACGACAGCGCCACCAGCCAAAAGACCTGCGCCAATTGCTACGAGTTTCGCATGGCAGTTAGACGAAGCTGCAAGAATGAAAAATTAATCAAACTTCATGCTCAAAACAGCTCAACATTCAATGAAAAAGTTTCGTAAAGAACCCAGTGGTGTTCCCAGTATTCAAAAACAAAAAAACTCGATATTATACTAGATGAAGAATGTCGAGCAACATCAGTCTCTTTTGCAACTTGATAAATGAACGTTCTGTGCATCTCGTCCATCTCGGTAGCTGACCACCTCACTCAGCGATAAAAATGGAAGAATAAAAATGTCGAGAATGTTGAGAATTTTGGTTTTCCGCACGAAAAATTATGTTATCCATGTACTGCTAAGATTTAAATGAAACTCGGCAAAAACGCAAGAAATAGTCGCCATTTCCCGCTCTAAAAACAAGCAAAAATTCTACATCTAACTCAGGAATCTAAAAACCCCTGAACTCAACACATTTTACTATCATTTCTTTTCGACAATCCAAATCTGACATAGTCCAATATAATTTTGAACAAAAAAGAGAATTTACCAGGAATATCTTTATGAACAGTGCTATGGGTATGTCTAAGAATCTCTGAATGTTCTACTGCACTGAAAAAGAAGCCAGCGTCCATAAACCGACCGCTCACCGAGGAATTTACACAAGATCAATTGTTTTGCATAAAATCAGAGCAATTTGGACAAAATCATGAAAACGAATAAATGTAGAAGCTCAACAAATTATCCTAGCATAATTAGAACTGATAATTGTTAATTTGAAAATAGCTTCAGCCTAGTACAATATCGAGTTTCTTCAATTTTGCCATCTCAGACACATTTTCCGTCCCCTAAAGACCAAAAAAGCAATAACAAAGAAAAAGCTTACCTTGAGAGTGTGGACAGACCATCTCACCGGAACCGGACTGAAAATGACTTGAGGTTAGAGATTCTCCGACCAATTCCTCCACCTCCTCCTCAACTTTGGCCCAAGCGACCCGCGCATTCAACAACAGAAACCCGCACAAACCCATGATCAATGTTATGTTATAACTAGCCATGGTTCGGGTTTTAACCGCGCGTTTGATTAATTGATCGAGTTCTCCTTGATCACGTGGTAAAGAATAAATAGATTTGGACGAAAACAACCTTTATTGGTTGATTTCGGATATCAGCAGCAGCCAGGGAGAGGGCACGTGGGTCGGAATGGGGAGAATAAGAGAATTTGGGGGAATCGGAATCAAACGCGACGCACCTTGTTTTAGATCTACGTCAAGGACGAATTTTGATAAAACAGCGAGTTCTAGGGGGTTCCGGCGGCGGGAATTCACGACAACCAAACAAAACCGCCTTATCTAACTTTTAAGACCTGGTCATCCAATAAGGCCTTCCGGGAGAAAAATTATGTTAACCTTGAGATAAAGGTCTAAAACGGGCTAGAAAGCCAGTTCAAACTAAATTCAGAAATCAAAATCACTGTTTAAAAGGTCAAAAATACGATATACAAGCATTTCTACAGCCCAAAATATTGTTTTCGCCATACTACCTCAATTTATATTCACCTTCCGCCAGCAAGCCTAGTACAACAACAAAACCGCTAATTTACGTAAATTCTTGGCTAAATATTGATCTCATATCCTCATTAGCTCGTCAAAACCCCCTTCGAGCACCTATTGCACTAATAATCAACCTAAATAACCTCTACTAACCTAAAACAATATTCCTTTTTTTCCGAAAGCACCCACAAATTACTCATAAAATCGAAACACAAGGTGTTTTTCTCAAAAAATTGAGCTCATCCCAAGACCAGAAGGTCAAATCAACTTGAGCGGAGTGAAACACGACTCCTCAGAGCACAAAAAGAACCGACAAACATAAATCTAAACATGTTTTTTGATAAAAAAAAATAGAAAATCAGATGGCCTGATAAAAAAAGGAAGTGTCAGTTGTGGAGAAATTGTAAAAAAACAAGAAGGTGTAGATGTAATTCGATGGAGAAGGAGAACGGAAACGTTAGAAATAGGAAAAAATGAGGCTTCTCGAAGAAAAGACATTTTATACGATGAAAGGTGTCTAGAGAGGTAAAGTAAGGTCAAATTTGGGGTTTCTGGACGAAAAAGGCGGGAATTTCTTGTCGAAAAGGAAAGATAGTGCCCCGGTTTTACTATTGCGGTATTAAAAACCAGCATTAACAGCCTTTTTGCATCAAAAATCGCATTTAAACAGCAGAGAGTGACTAAAGTAAGGTAAATTCGTCTGAAACCGTTGAAAAGGGCCGTAAAATTACAGAACATGCTATTTTTATTCCATAAAAAGGAATAATCTAACGTTTCACAAGATAAATTACTGAGATTCTTCAATCTTACAAACTTCCTTTACCGATATTACACTCGAAGATTTTGTGATCTCTAAAGTTTCTGACTAGGTCCGAACTGTAAACTGATGACCAAACAGAGTTCAGCGAGCAGCCTAAACGTGTTTCTCGGAAAAAAGTCTCTAGTTTCAGCGATAACTTAGCCATTACAAAACGCTTAAGTTTTCATCGTATAAAATGTCACTTTTCTTACAAAAACACTTACGCAACGGTCGAATAGGGCAAAAAAATATGTCTCCTAGGACTAATCACTGCCTTCAGTAAACACAGCCATCATCGTATAATCTGATTTGCAGTAATTAAACTCGATTTTTTCTCTATTCTGTAGTCTTCACCGCCCTAGTGTACAAATTATCGAATTAAAGCGTCTGTCTTCCTTTCTCTAAGGTGTTTTCAGGTTGGAATGCGGGGGTTCAGCGTTTTGCTCGTATTCCTGCCAATAATTATTGTGAATGGCTACAAGATCCTACTGTATTCGCCAAACTACAGTAGGAGTCATATCAACTTCATTGGGCAATTGGCCAATCTTTATATTGAAGCCGGCCATGAAGCGGTGAGTCAGCGTTCATTTTACCACAATTTAGAGGAATTTCAAGCAATTTGGAGATGTTTTAAGCCCCTAAATTATCAGTTATGACCTGTTTTAGGTGATAATTCGACCAGAGCTGACCAATAATGACCCTGAAGTGCTGATAAATGGCTCCAAAGCTCGTGTTGTCTGGAGCAGAAAGAGATTCGAGTCCACACTTCAGTCGCAGACCATGAAAGCCAAGGCATGGGAGAGCCAAAGCGGCGGAATTCTCAGCCATATGCTACAAATGGCGACGGTAAGTGAGGAAAATCCGAAAACGCCCGAGGCGGTCAGCTCGGATTTTTTTTTCAAATGTTGCGTACATGATATACCAATTACACATAATGATTTGTAAAGATTGCGTTACAAAATTATTCTCCTTAGGGTAGAAAACCAGTCTGTCGGGAAAATAATGAGCACTCTGTCGCTTCCAAAACTGCCGGCAAAAATACAGCCTAGAGGTGTTTTCTTCTCTGACTGCTCTCCTCGTTTCGCGTTGTCTCTAGTATTATTCTGTCGGAAAAATAATGAGCACTCTGTCGCAACGAAAATCGTATCGCCGCCGAGGAAACGAATTGTGTCGCGACAAAATCAAATTGGTCTTCACTGCAGCGACACGAACGAAATTGCGCTCACTATTTTACCGACAGACTGGTAGTTTAGTCACAAGTCTCCTCGCTAAACTCCCACTTCATTTTTTCAGATGATCGCACAAACCTCTGACGCCATCGGCAAAATGTGCCAACGTAAGTCCCACAGCTTCACAATACGCTCATTTTTAGAGCTACTTTCCGACGAAGACCTTATTGATCAGTTGAGAAAGGAAAAGTTTGACATTGGCCTCCTCCAAGTCATGGACCTCTGTGGCAATGGGCTTTTCGAACGGATCGGAGTGCGAAAATTCATCCTCGCCGCCGCCATGCCATTGCCGATTGACGCAGCGGCGATTCTGGGGATTCCGCATTCCTTGAGCTTTGTGCCGGGTAGGTCCAGAAGTTTTTTTGTAGGCACGCTTTCATAAAGATTTTTTATAATGGTAAACAAACTTTTTGAATGACATAGCCTGCCGGGAAAATAATGTGGAATCGTCTCACCTGGGAACCGCCCAGAACCCTTATGCTACCGATAGCAGGGGTTTGGTTTATGACTGCGACGGTGCCTCGAGACATGTGTTTGCGCTAAAACTACATTATTTTTCCGACAGGCTGTTGTAGTGCATAACCTCAAAAAATTGTTTTTTGCCTCTTTCACGACAAAGAAAACGCGGAAAATCTGCTTTTTCCCCACTGACCACACATGGCTTCGGTGGTTCAAAAAATCGTATTTTACATAAACCACACATAATATTGTGAGATCTGTTTCCAGACATGTTCCCACTCTCCAATGAACACAGTAGCTTTGTGCGACGTGCCGCGAACATTGCCAGCTTCTTGTTCAGCAAGCATTTTACGTTGAGTAGTCTACGTAGAGCGCAAATCGACGCAATCCGAAGGTATTACCCCGATTTTACGATTGAGGTAACGTTTAGCCAGTTAAACGTTTCGTTGAGACAAATTTTTTTATTGTCCATCACTTTTTCAGAGTGCCTTTGGCGATGCGTCGTTGGTCTTTGCCAACAGCGACGAGCATGTGGAATACCCTCGGCCAATCTCGCATAAAATTGTTTATATCGGGGGATTCGCCTTGAGCCGGCCCAAACCCCTGGTTGAGGTGAGTTGATACTTCATCCTTGAACACCATTATTCTTATTTTAGTCTGTCGGGAAAATAATGTGCACTCTGTCGCATCGAAAATCGCAGCGACTCTGAGAAAATGAATTGCTTCGCGAAAAAATCGAATCGCTTTCCATTCAGCGACGTGATCGGCGCAACGACGGTGTGCCCATTATTTTCCCGACAGACTGACAATGCGCGCAGGTCCTGAGAATTTAACACTCCTCGTATTTTGTCGCTTTCTGAAAAAAATAGTTTATCGTTGCGAAAAATGACAATCGCGCAACGCAGGGCAAAAAAAGGACTGGTTTCGTTGCGCTTCAAAATGCTTACATACCTAGCAGTTACTTTGAAAATTTGACTAACGTTCTTCAAATTAGTTCTAGCAGTCTGTCGGGAAAATAATGAGCACTCTGTCTCGCTGCCAAGAAAATGAATTGTGTAGCGGCGAAGTAAAATTGATTTTACATTTTCCCAACGGCGATGCGATTTTCGATGCGAAAAAATGCTCATTATTTCCCCGACAGACATGAAAACACTAATACATAGTAATCCTCGTATTTCAGCCGTACAAATCGCTGTTAGATAAAGCCAAGAACGGAGTTATCCTTGTTTCGTTTGGAAGTATCGCGCATAGCGCGTCCATGCCGAAAGCGACGAAAACCGCTTTCCTCGAGGCCTTTAGGACATTTCCTAATGTTAAGTTCATCTGGAAATATGAAGAGCCGGAAGACGAGGAGGTAAAAGGACTGGACAATGTTTCGTTGGCCAAATGGATACCTCAGACGGATGTGATGAGTAAGTGAAGTTATCCAGTCTACACTTTGCACAACAAATGAAATAGGTCCATGGAATTTACTGGCTATATTTCTGATTCATTATGCAAAATATCTGAAGGCTTTTCGGATATTTCTGTGTCGCAATAAAACGCTAAAAATTCGTGTGATGACCAGAAAAGCGCCTAAAAATCTCCGCCGAATACACTGCTTTCTGCGTTGGCGGAGAAAGCATATTTTTAGGCAAAAAAAACCGCTCATCGTCTTATTTATCCTGCAAAAAGAATTTTTTGGATATCTTGACTGAGCGCAAAGACATCGACAAAAAATTTCCGCGGAATTCCTTGAAACACCCTCATTTTTCCGCAACAAATTCATATTATTTTCCCGACAGACTAATTTGTATTTAGATGTGGCTTCATTTACTTTTTCAGACCACAAAAACGCCATCGGCTTCATCACGCACGGCGGGATGAACAGTGTCTCCGAGGCGTCCCATTTTGGCATCCCGATGGTCTGCATTCCTCTGTTTGCGGATCAATCGCGCAACTGCAAGATGATTCAGGACCGCGGCATCGGCTTGGTCGCTTCAAAGGCCAATTTGACGTCCGAAACTTTGATCTCCGTGTTCTCGGAGTTGATCAACAACAAGAAACTCTACAACAAAGCCAAGGAATTGGCAGCGATGATCAAAGGAAAGCCGATGCAACCGGCGGAAAGGGTGCTGAAATATACGGAATATGCCGTAAAATACGACATTTCGAAGGCATTGGAGCTTGAAGGAAGGCATCTGAGTTTCGTCGAGTTCTACAATATTGATGTGTATGCGGCTGCGGTTTTGAGCAGCCTATTGAGTGTTTATCTGGTTTGTAGAGCAGTTCGATGTTGTGTGTGTAGGAAAAGAGCGGTTAAGGATAAAAAGGAATAAATGGGTCAACTTAATGTTAATATTTTATTACTGGAAGCTTGCAGAAGCAATTAGAACTTTTAGTTCACATTTACATATATGCGATATTCAATTTCAATTCAAATTTATCTCATTTTCACTCAACAATTTGGCGATGAAAACCCCAAACTTAAGTCACTCTAGCGACTTTGCGACGGGGCTAGTGTCGCTAACGGCAACTTGAAAGTTTGCGTTATTGATATGTGGCTTTGTGCAGGCAAAATTAAAGATAATCCTAAGCCTCTTACGATAACCATTTTTGTTTGGAGAGGCATTGTAGGAGTCGTAAATAATCATCTTTTCCTTTTTTATCATTTTTTAATTTTTTGACTACGGTAGACCCTCTGTACAACGAAATCTCGCTCAACGAAGCCTTTCTATCAGTCTGTCGGGAAAATAATGAGCGCATTGTCGCTGCCCCGATCATGTCGCTGAAGCGAAAAGAAATTTGATTTTGCAGCGACACAATTCATTTTCTCGGGGGCGAAGCGATTTTCAATGCGACAGATGCTCGTTATTTCACCGACAGGGCGATTTGAAGGTACAAGCAGTAACATTCTTATTTAGCGATACAAATCGCTGTTAGGCAAGGCCAACAACGGAGCTATCCTTGTGTCGTAAACACAAAGTTCAAAATTCAAAATTAATGTGCTATGCGTCTAAAAATGTGCCCCGCAAACCATACGTGTACACAGATAAAACCCGGAACACGCGGTGCACAGACGAAAAAAGATCATTCACAAAGCGTGGTCCGAAAATTATCAGCAAAACTTTTATCAACACCGCTGATTGCGAAGATTCTTCCTTTTTGGAGGAGAAGGATGAAATTTCTCAAAATTATAGCTGCTCTTTTACTAATAGCGGCCAGTAATGGCTTCAAAATTCTGCTTTACTCGCCCAACTACAGTAGAAGTCACATAAATTTCATTGGCAAATTGGCGGATATTTACCATGACGCCGGGCATGAGGTGGTAAGTCGCTTTTTAACGATTTTTCGACCTTTTTTTGATTGCTTCTGGTAATAGGAAAAAATTAAAATAAGGTTTAGGCCGTTTTCCGCCCACACCTTTTCGATAACGACCCGGATTTCTTGTTGAACGGGACAAAAGCCCGAGTTATTGCGGTGAAGAAGAAGTTCGAAACTCCGTTGTCGCCGGAGATGATGAGATCGAACTCCTGGACGATGGGAAATGATGGAATCGTGCAAACAATAGCTCAGGGATACAAGGTTGGACTTACTATAAATTTTCCACAACAACAAACCTCTGTACAACGAGCCCTGTTTATTCATCTGTTGGGAAATTAATGTGGATTTGTCGAAAAACAATTTAATTTTTTCCGTCACAGTTCATTTTGTTGGCGGCGATTCTACTTGCGATGCGACAGAGAGCTCATTATTTTTCCGGCAGACCGCTAAGACTATTTTTATAGTCTTTTGCGCTTTGTTGGCTTTGTTGTTCAGAGGTTTTGCTGCATGTACTTGAAAAAAAAAATACGAATTTTTCAGATGATGAAACTCTTTGGCGATGGAAACACAAAACTTTGTCGACGTAAGGCTTCCCTTTCAAAATGCATCTAGCCTTGGTTTCAGAAATCCTTGGCGATGACGAAATTATCGAAACTCTAAAGTCGGAAAAATTTGACATCGGCCTAATTCAAATCTTCGATATCTGCGGTGCAGGACTGTTCAAGAAAATCGGGCTGGAAAAATACATTTTGGCCGCGGCGATGCCATTGCCTATTTCTGTGGCCGCTTCACTGGGAGTGCCCTATTCACTGAGCTTTGTGCCAGGTAAATATTATCTGTCTGTCGGGGAAATAATGTGGATTGACTTGTCGCGTCCCGAGAACGCCCAATTACCGCTTTGGCTAGCGGCGGTTGGAGATAATGCAATAACTTGCGACAAATCCACCTCATTTCCCCGGCAGACTACATATTTTGCTTCCGATACAATCTTTTTGTTGAGTTATCTTTGGCCAATTTATCGCTGTATGTTGTCGTATGTTTTGTTCCTTTGCAGACTACATTCCGCTGCCCACAAACTACGGAAGCTTTGTCAAACGGACAACAAATGTCGTGGCATTTTTGGTTGTAAAACATATTATGTCAAGGGCCTTCCAAGGCTACCAAACAGTCATCGTTCAAGAGCACTTCCCGGACTTCACTGTGGATGTAAGTTTCCTTGGCTCGTTGCTTGCTTCTCCAAGGAGCTTAGATGAAAGTTGCCTGCTGTGTTACTCAAGACAACGGGGAAACAACGTATTTTACCCAAAAATTCATACAAATTAACTTCCATGAAATTTTAAAGACATAGACCACGTATGTGTTTACTCCCAAGACCTAAAGCTTTATCGGCGGAAAGACAGCGAAGCCGATCTCAGCCGGCAGAATCCTGGAAAGAAATTTGTAGCTCTGTGAGCCTCAGCCAGGGGCGTATTCTCACCTAGCTTAAAAATGGTTAGCTTTGTCGAAAAAAGAGTCTAGTTTTTTGCCAAGTCCGTCAAGCAGCAGGTCAACAAAGATTTTTCGAAGACCCTACTGTAACCAGAGGTCAACATGAATAGTTCCCTCTCTCTTGCTTTTTTTATTTATTAGATGCGACGCAGCTCTTATAGCTTCTATCGGTTGAGATTTCGATCCGATACGGCAACAGGGCGGCTTATTTTTCTCTGTGTGGGCAATAATGCCTTGGAAAACGCCGGCTGGAAGATAAAACGCCCTATACTTGTACCATAAACTAATAGTAGGTCATCCTTCGTCGGAAAGCGTTTACAATTATAAAACAATTAATACTACTCATGCCGCAACAAAAGAAACTTTTCAGGGCGCCTTCGCCAACGCGTCATTGGTGTTTGTCAACAGCGATGAGCATGTGGAATTTCCCCGTCCAATCTCCCATAAAATTGTTTATATCGGGGGATTTGCGTTGAGCCAGCCGAAGCCACTGATTGAGGTCAGTTACCTCTTTTTTAGGTTACAATCTTTATACTTTTTCAAGCAAATCACCTTTTCACTTTAGCCATACAAATCATATCTGGACGATTCAAAAGATGGCGCTGTATTGGTTTCTTTTGGGAGCATTGCCCAAAGTTCTTCGATGCCAGACGAGACAAAGCAAGCGTTTCTGGATGCCTTCAAAGCCTTTCCAAATGTGAGGTTCATTTGGAAGTATGAGACGCCAGAAGATGATATTGCAAAAGGGCTGGAAAATGTTTTGGTGGCTAAATGGGTGCCTCAAACGGACATATTGAGTAAGTAATGTGATAACATAGAGTGTGTACCACGATTTACATAGGGCTAAAAGTTTCTTCACTATCAGTCTGTCGGGAAAATAATGTGGATTTGTGGCAGCAGAATGTCTCGCTTTGTCGCAGTCGCGCACCAAATCTGCAGTCCTCGCAAAGCGATAATGGGCAATTCTAAGGCACATCGAATCCATATTATTTTCCCGACAGACTGACATGTATGTAGATGAGGCTTCATTTGCATAAAACCTTTTTTCAGACCACAAAAACCTGATCGGCTTTGTGACTCATGGCGGGATGAACAGTGTCTCCGAGGCCTCGCATTTTGGCATCCCGATGGTCTGCATCTTCTTGTTTGGGGATCAGCTGCGGAATTGTCGTATGGTCGAGGACCGAGGCCTTGGAATCTCCGCGCATAAAGCCGAACTGACTTCCGAAAATTTGATCAAAACCTTTTCGGAGTTGATCAACGACAAGAAGTACTACAAGAAAGCCAAATCCATCGCTCGAATGATCAAGGGGAAGCCGTTGCAGCCGGTCGACAGGGTCCTACAATATACAGAATATGCGGCGGATTATGATATCGCCGAAGTTCTGGAGTTGGAGGGAAGACATCTGAATATTGTTCAGTTCTACAACATTGATGTGTACGCGTTTCTAATTTTTCTTTGTCTCTTGATTCCCTATTTGGTCTATAGGGTTGTTCGGTGTTGTTGTCGCTGTTGTTGCGGAAAGAGGACTGCAGCGAAATCGAAAAAAGAATAAACTCACAGGGGAAGTACTTCAAGTGTGACGCTCAGATTTTCTTTAAAATTTGCACACACGTCGGGTATGGACTAAATATCAATTCCTGAAAGTTTTAGCTCGCGCTTTGCGGGCGCCGCCGAGATATCGAACGATTTTTGCCGCCGAGAGAGCACGCTCAACGTGGAGAGCGGTCAGAGAGAAAACCGTTTTTTGGCCATAACTTTGGCAGTTTCGTGCGGAAAAATTTGATTTTTTGTAGAAACATTATCCTTTACAGTTGAAATAGGCATGAAACTTTTCGTGCCGAAATTCGGCAAAAAGTCCTAAAATTTCGCCGACTTTCGATCTAAAAATCTCGGTTGTTTCTGCAAAGCGCGAGCTAGGATTCCCGCATATATCTTAGAAAAAATTATTCTAAATTTGTGCCAAGTTTCATCAAAATCTGAGCGTCACACTTCAAGTACTTCCCTTGTCAATCTTTTTTATACCGAACATTGGGAAGAGTAGCGTCGAATGTATCCAAAGGCCGGTGAACATTGGTTTTTTTACAGTTATTTCTGTTTCTAGATTAGACATGGCTGGGGGGCCGGGCCGGGCCGAAAATCGCGGCCCGGCCCGGGGGCCGGAAGAGGTCGGCCCGGCCTCGGCCCCCTTCAAATTTTCTCGGCCCGGCCCGGCCCGGCCCCTGGGGGCCGGGCCGGGCCGGAGTCGACAGGGGGCCGAACTGTAAATATAAATACTGCATTGATTGCGAGATATAACACATTTTTTTGGGGCTTTGGTAGTTCAGCTCCCCACGAAAGGTAGTTCAAACCCCCACTGTTTTGCCCATTTCACACCCACCGCGGTGTGACCGTAATTAAAAAATTAGAATTATACAAAAAATGCAAATTAGAGTAAAATGACCCCAGGCGTTTTGTTTCAAACCCCCAGTTACCGTCCAAATTCGTTTTTGTGGTTCAGGCAACGATGATCGTAGCCGAGAGAACCCAATCCCGAGTAGGCGGGATTGGGTGAGGTGGTTTATACTGGGTCCAGGGGGGCTGAACTGGGCTGGCGAGTTGTACTACCTTAGTCCCCATTTTTTTGTTATAACAATCGACAATAAATTTTTGAAACAAAAAATTACCAACCATTGCCCAAAGTACTTCAAAAAACCCAATCGGTTCTTGGCTCTGCGTTTTATTTTTATTGGCAACCCTAATTTTCGCTTTGAGACTGGGAATTTTAGTCATTGGGGGCCGATTGGGGGCCTGGCGGGGGCCCCGGTCGGCCCGGCCCGGGGGCCGGAAGAGGTCGGCCCGGCCCCGGGGCCTTTAAAACTCGTTCGGCCCGGCCCACTAGCCATGTCTATTCTAGATAGCTACGGAACACCGTATTTATCCATTTATACGATGATAGAAAAAAATTTGGTCATAAGGAGTTAGACTTGGGGAGGCTTTTGTTTCCATGGGCCGGCTCGGGCCGGGCCAAAGCAAATTTGAAACGGGCCGGGCCGATAGAAAATTTGAAACGGGCCGGGCCGGCCGACGAGCCATGTCTACCTACGAATAGTAGATTTCTTCAACAAATATATACAACCACAGAAGCGGGAAGAGGCACAAAAGAATAATTGCACACTGGGGCCAATGCCCTATCTGAATGTTCTGAAAGTTAGCTGAAAATGGTAGGGCGTAGCTCGGAAAACAAGCTTTTGCAGCTCGCCGGAGCCAAATTTCAGCTTTTTTTTCGAGCTGCGCCCAAGACGCGAGCTGCGCCCATGCAAGTTCTCCGAGCTGCGTCCTATAATTTTCATTAAACTAGAAAAGGTAAGATTTCTCTTTTTGCATCCGGTTTAGGAACAAGGTAGCCAATCCTTTTGTGTGAAACATCCTAACGGACGTTTTAAAGAAGAAATCTGGAAATTTGACAATGAACAAAGGGCACTTGTCAATACATTAGCGTTGGCTTTGAGCTCGCCAGGAAGAGGAAGGAGATAGACGAGCTAGGCGTGAAACAGAAGGCTGAAAGAACCGCCATATTGGAAAAGCACATTGGAGAATCCATGGAAATACGACCGAAGACTCCTGAAAATGACGTCGAAGTGGCACTCTTCATAAAGAACGCCTACCGGTTCACCGAATTTTAGTACAAGGGGCTACAGAAATTCAGATGGAAGAAGACTGGTGAAGAGCTTACGATTAGCTGAAAACGGCAACCCACAATTTGCCATTTTCAGCGACGTTTATTCGTCTTTGGAGAGGATTTATGGATGGGCAACAGTTGATGTCCATGGTCAAGATGATCTCACGAAGGCTAGCATTGAACGGGACATTCTTCTGTTGTCAATGGAGACACAGTGGACTTCGTGCGATAAACAAGTTGCACCTCCTTGAAGCCCACCTTGCCGACTTCGTCGCATCCCATGGCTCATGGCGGCCGGTGCTCCTCCAGGTGCCTCTGAATCTTAACTTTGACTTGTGTAGCCACCGTCTGCAGGAATATCCTCGTTTCGATTATCTCTCTTAAATAAGCAATATCTTCGTTACCACCGCTTTCTGATCCTCAATAACGCGGCCTGTTCTTGGCTGAGATAGTCGTCGCAATTCCCTGCGGATTGGGAATACCAACCAATCCAGATACTCGTCCGGTGGTACCTCTTCGTGCTTTTGATTTGACCATTCAGACAATAAACGTACCCAAAGACATGGACATTTCATCCCACGAGTAACGAAATATGAGAAGGGCTTTAACTTCCCTGATAAAAGGTTATCAAAGCCTCCAAACAATTGGAGTGCAGTGCAGTTGCTGACATTGCTGTTGTCGCTACCATTACGACATTTTCATCTGGTGCGTGTTGTCATGTTATGGCTTTTACGATTCTGCCTTCTGTTTTGTTGGATCCGTGAAAATTACGTTTCGTTAGACCTGTCCAGATCTTATAGCGTCGACCACTTGCGCAAATGTAGAGGTCTTGTCACTGCGGGCGCTCTGACTGCGACTGTTGTGCCTGCTGGCATGGCCCATAATGGATTTCTCTTCAATCTGAAAATAAAGACTTTCTGCTCCGTGGACCCACAAGACATCGGAAGGGCTGTTGTCTGTCGGATCGTACCTGATGAAAAGTACGTGATTTTTTTTTGAGTGATGAGAACGTCTCTGTTTGTCGGGAAATCTCCTCCCGATTCGCAGGGAATCTTAAAGATCGTTCCCTTATTTACGCCAAGTGCGAAAATGCCGTTCAAGTAACATACGCCATACCCGGCGTTTATCGTACGTTCTTTTTACGTACCCTCAGTTCCTCAGATGAAAAGCTGTTTACGACTATTGTCTCATCAGATGATAAGCTATCATTCTCTTGAATTTGGGAACACCGGCATGTCGTTTGGGTAGTCCGGAGTCGTGGTTCTGGTTTTCGACACTGCGGCGTCACCATCGGTCCTTATGGCACCACAAAAATATGAACAGAATCTGGCAAATCTAAACAAAATAACATTAATTATAATATTCTCTTTCTTACCACTTTACGTTTTCCATTAGAACAACAAATGCTACCAGTAATCTTACGAATATTTTTTTCGGATCCACGAGATAAAACGCCTCCTTATCTCCAGTGAGGAAAACGAGATCTGGGTAACATCGAAGTAGGATAATTTTGCGTTTACGCACACTCTGACCGGCATGACGACATTTGCAGCACCAAGTTGTTGTTTGGATTGGTGGATCAGATGGAAGTCCGCACTCAGTTGCAAATGCTGTAGTCTTGGAGGGACTAATGCCAGGAGGTGATTATCCGAAGTTAAGGCGAGTGACATCTCTGGCTGAATCTGGATTGTTTCCACTTTGGCCGGGGTTCCAACTTCAGATGTGAGCTGGATGCGAGGCCACGAAACCGTTTTGGATGGTGATTGTCTTGGCCGGATTCGGAATCACGAACTGAAGTGGCTTACGCTTCAGTTTCCGTTGTCCCTTGGAGGATGCGGATGTCGAGTGGCCGGGGACCTCTGACAGAAGACCCAGAAGGGTCTTGACTTGGCGGTCTTGTTTGATGAGTTCGTACCTCCCAGCCACATAGGCGTACGAGATGGTGGAGGCGAACAATTTGATTTCTTCACCAAGGGAGGTTTGCGGGCGGTTTGGCTGCTTGGAGATGCTGTATATCCGAATATTCGCCAGCAAGTTACGTACATTCCGTTGGTGTGTTTCTGAGTACAATGGGACCCGGCAGGCTCTGCTTGTCGTGGACGGCCCTGATATCTACGACAGCCACTGCCATCGTGGAAGTTGACTGGATTACGACCATGACGAGCGGTGGATTGAATTCCAGCGTGTCGTTGTTCCTCTTGGTTTTTGGAGAATCTAAGGATAATTCGGAAAGTGTGCGCTCGAGCGGTTTTTCGGCTTCAACACTTGGCGTCTGGGCAGATGGCGCGGCGACTTGCGAGTAAAGTCGTTTCGGCTTGTTGTTCACTGTCTTGGTCGCTTGATCCAATAACAATTACGAGAGCGAACGCTCTATGGGCTTTTCAGCTTCAGCACTCGACTTCTGGGCGGGTGGCGCGGCGACTTCCGAGATTGCACTAATCCTGCGATAATAGCTGGCAGACACCTGATTTTCTGATCTGTCCGTTTGTGTAACGTACTCCATATCAGCCGTTTATCGTACCTTCTTTTGCGACTATTGTCTCCTCAGATGACAAGCTATTTACGACTATCATCTCCTCAGATGACAAGCTTTCATTCTCTTGACTTGGGGAAGACAGGCATGTAGTTTGGGTAGTCATCGGAGTCGCTGTTCTGTTTTTCGGCACCTGCGGCGTCACGATCGGTCTTCACGGCACCACAAAAATATGAACAGAGTCTGGCAAATCTAAACACAAACAGAAATAACATTAACTGCCTTCTTTCTTACCACTTTACGTTTTCCATTAGAACAACAAATGCTGCCAGCTATCTCATCAATATTTCGGATCCACGAGATAAAAACGCCTCCTCATCTCCCGTAACGAAAACGCCCGATCTCCAACCGAAAGCTCTGCGATAATGGCTGACACCTGATTTTCTGATCTGTCCTGGACGCTTCTTTCGTTTTTCTCTGCCATCAAGGGTTTTCCTTTTTTTCAATGCCTTCGAGAAACGTCTTTTGTAATTACGCTTTGGTTTTGTTGCCCTTGCCATTTCCAGCCCTTTGCGAATTTCTCACAGCCCAGAAAATAAGAATAACGCGCAATGTAGTCCAAAAAAATGAAGTTGCACTGTGCAAACTCGCTTTTCGGGCCGGATCCACTGTGCAAAACGAGTTTTTCGAACCGTGACGCAATTACCGCACAAAATACACCATGCAGACGGGCTTCGTTGGATTTCGTGAAAATTACAGTACGTTTGGTCAGTCCAGATCTTACGATCATTAGCCCAATCATAAACGTTTTGTCACCATCGTCTCCTCAGATGACAAGCTTTCATTCTCGTGATTCGGGGAACACAGGCATGTTTTGTGATCGTCGGAGTCGTCGTTCTGATTTTCGCCACCTGCGGCGTCATCATCGGTCAGAATCACAAAAATATGAACAGAGTATGGCAAATCTAAACAAAAATAGAAGCAACATTAGCTATTTTATTTCTTACCACTTTACTTTTTCCGTCTGCTCCGTGGGCCCGTAAGGCATCGGAAGGCCGTTGTCTGGAAATATCGTTGTTTGTTCAGGAAATTCTTGCAGCAATGCCTCTGTTTGTCGCATTTTTTGTTCCCCATGTTCGACTGGATGATTCCTTTGGCGGATTTGTGGTAAATGTACTCCGTGCAAAAGAAGAAATCGTCCGACGCCGCCTCGCCGTCCACCCAGTTCTCCACGTAGAGCGGGGCGATGCCTTTGGACAGGTTGATCAGGTTCATTTCCGTCTCCCATTTCATGCAGCGACGTTGGAACAACAAATTGGCTTCGGGATTCCCGTAGAGAGGGACGTAGGGATGTTGATAGCGATGAAAGACGTCCTCGACAATTCGTGGATCCAGATGAATCTGCTTTCGGGCCATGAATTGGGCGCGTTCTCTGTGTTCGTCAAAGATGAGTGATTTGATTCGGGCCGCCCTGATGAAATTACGACAATCTGGGCCATTAGTTATTCTTTCGTTCCTCGATAAAGAGCCAGTCGACCGGCCACTTCTGCTTCACAGTGCTGTAGGAGGGATGCTCAACCTTCTTCCGATTTGCAGGAAATCTTGGCCACATAGTTCTCTTACTTACGCCGAGCGCGAATACTCCGTTGGTGTAACATACTCCGTATCAGGCGTTTATCGTACCTTCTTTTGCGACTATTGTCTCCTCAGATGACAAGCTATTTACGACTATCGTCTCCTCAGATGACAAGCTATCATTCTCTTGACTTGGGGAAGACGGACATGTAGTTTGGGTAGTCATCGGAGTCGCTGTTCTGTTTTTCGGCGCCTGCGACGTCAACATCGGTCTTCACGGCACCACAAAAATATGAACAGAGTCTGGCAAATCTAAAAAAAATAAAAATAACATTAACTATCTTCTTTCTTACCACTTTACGGTTTCCTTTAGAACAACAAATACCCAGCAATCTCATGAATATTTCGGATTCACGAGATAAAAACGCTTCCTCATCTCCGGTAAGGAAGATGTCCGATCTCCAACCGAAAGCTCTACGATAATGGCTGACACTTGATTTTCTGATCTGTCCTGGACGCTTCTTTCGTTTTTCTCTGCCATCGAGGGTTTTTCTGTCTTCTGATTTGGCCTCTGTCGGTAAGATGCCCCCGAGAAACATCGGAGGTGTTTCTCCCGACAAACTTATAATATTTTTTCCGTTCACTCCTTCAAAATTCCTTCCCCACAATCCTCGCATGCAGCATAATGTCAGAATCCAAAAGGAGGGGGCCGCCGATATAAAAGAAGCCATATTACAATGCGATAAATAAAATGAAATAATCGAGATGAGGGGGTTGAATCACTTCCCAGTATTCCACCACTTACACAACCACTGGCGTTTACGAAACATGCTCAAGTTTCGGCTCAAACTCTGCGTTATTTTCTTGATTTTTGTGCCAATTGCCAAAGCGGGTGATGTGAACACCACAAAGTTGTTGGCGGATGTTTTGGACCATTGCTATGCACGTCATAAGTCGCCAATTCCGACGGAGAACATGGCAAAATTGCTGGTGAAACGGTCGATTCAAGCGATGCGGAATACTGTAGCAACGGATGGAGTTGCGAATACTGTAACGGAGCGTCCAAATTTAGAAAATTTGATGGCTAATGCAACGAAGAAAATGATGGATCATACAGATAGACCCATCACGAGATACGTTCCTTCGCCTCAAGTCTCGGCGAAATGTAATTTGGCCCTGGTGATGGTGACAATGGAGATTGCACTAAATTTTACAAATGTGGCGCCTGTAATTTGTCCGAGTAAGTTGTCATACATGGCATACTACTATATTATGTGCCAGTCTGTCGGGAAAATAATGAGTATACTATGTCGCAACGTTGATCTCGTCGCTGAAGTGAAATGCAATTTGATTTTGCCGCTGCGTAATTAATTTTCTGGGCGGCGATGCGATTTTCGATGCGACATAGTGCTTGTTATTTTCCCGACAGAAGCATAGGCCCCGAGAGCGACGTCTTGATTTTTATTAAATTTTGTGAACTCATTAATTCCGGGAAGGTTTATCTTGCGCTATACATAGAATGCATGCTATAACGTCTAAATAATGACCACCGTGATGCGTAGAAAACTGCATCGCCACCGAAAAAACAATAAAAAAAAACAAAAATGTGTCGCGGCAAAATCAAATTGTTTTCACTTCGGCGATTGGCACAGCGACTTTTTGGTCATTATTTTCCCGACAGACTGATAAGCACCCAATAAAAGTTACGAAGAATTATACTTTTCAGTCGTTGAGTCAACCGGTCGGCCCGGTCCGGATCTTTTGAAAGGCAACACAATATGGAAGGGGGCTCGGACAACATGTGAGAGCGTTCAAAATTACAAAGTCAATGCGGCTGTGAATGTGACTCTGGGCCTTCATCGGTAGGTGACTTACTTATGATTCCATGTAATAGCTGAAGCTGTAAAATAATATATTTCCTGGTAGTAGTCGTATTTTAAAATTTGTCAGAGGTCTCTTGAAATTTTTTCTTTTCAGCGCAACTCTAAATCCCAAGAAGCTCTCTCCCAATGGAAGTTGCGAATGTCATGGCCCAACCAGTATCGACTGGGAGTTCTGTTTCTTCGACATTTGCAGCCCAGAGGATATACGATTGATCTTGGGTGAGAGAGCGCCCAAACAAGTTAATGAGGTCGTTTGCGACATTGTGAAATATACTCCATACAAGTTTGAGTTCACTCTTGGACGGATTGTTTTTCTGTGAGTCTGATACTTTTGTTTTGAGATACCTTTGGAACACAGGATTTAACTACATATTTTGCACCATAATAGTAATAAAAATATGGTTGTAAGGAATCAACGATGCGATTTTCGAGGAGACAGAGTGCTCACTATTTTCCCGACATGGTGCATTTTACAACCTTATCATTATAAAAGACGTCCAGTTTACCTCATTGCTCATCAAAAATTTTAAAACCACTCGACTTTTTCAGCTCCATAATTGCGTTGTACCTTCTCATCTCTCTTGGTATTTCCATCTTTACCGTGATTTCCTTTCCTCCCGGAAGCACAGTCGATGATGTCAGAGACAATTCCAGTAAGATTTTTACAGCTTTTTGCATCACTTTCCCTCCAAATTTCATCCAAAAAATCGTTTAATTTCAGCGAACTTCATGCGAATCTTGGTCGCATTCTCTATTCCCTTTAATTTATTCAAGTTTTTCTCAACTCCCCTCAGGGCATTTGACTCAAATTCTCTAAATATTTTGGCCGCATTGAGCTTGATTTGGCTGATTTTGGGCGAGGCCTCCAACTTGTACACGAATTACGGACGAAATCCGCTGGATGTCAGCGCTACGTTGAAGACGATTACAAGTCAGGCGAAGACGCAGTTCCGGATCACTTTTGAGACCTTTATCTTTATACTGGCTGCCAAAATCGGACTTTATTTTTACAAAAATGTGAGGGAGAGACAGTACGAAGGGGAGAAAAGGAGACCAAATGTTCGACAATTCGCCCTCAGGGCATGGAAAGGGTTTTTACCGTGAGTTGATTTTTTGGTCGCTTTATGTGGTTCTATAAGGTATTTCTGTATAACTTCTTGCAGATTTGCTCTGGTTTATTTTTTGATCATCCTCGCCTATGTGATGATTATTCGAGAGTATTTGACGACTGAAATGCCCCTACTTCACCGAACGATGGGGGAAGAAGACAAGTGCCGGGATTTCTATTTCAATTTCTTGTTTATCAACAATTTTGTGGGAAAAGTAAGTCAATTAAAATCAAAACAGTCGAAATATTCAACAATCTTTACCGCCAAGAGAGCACGCAAAATGAGGAGAGTCGGTCAGAGAAAAACAATTTTTTTGGCCGTAAGCTTACCGGTTTCGCGGGGAAAAAACAGTTTTTTTTGTGGAAAGTTTAGCCTCTACGGTTGTCATGAGTATGAGTTCCAAGGTTCGATAAATCCACATTATTTCCCCGACAGAATGACAACACACATAAGGTTTTTGGGCCCTTCCTGATCCATTGTACAGAGATTTCAATGTTCTGTTTCAACAAAAACAAACTTTTTCAGTGCCTTCCCAACACTTTCATCATCCCGTTGGGCCTTCAGTTGGCCCTGTTCCTAACGCTCCTGTACGTCGGACTCTCCAAAGTCCACAAGATGGCTGCATTTGGAGCACTCGCTTCGCTGGTAGTGCTCTCAGCCGTAACTCGAGGATTACTCGTCTATTTCTATGACCTGCCGCCCACTTACATTGCTGGCTACGATATTGTCGACAAGGAGAAATTCGACTTCTTCAAGAACAACATCTACAAGCTCCCCTGGAACTACATTGCGGCATTTGCTTGTGGATTAATTTATGGGTGTTACAAGACAAGTGATGTCTTTTCGAGGTTCAGAAATGTGCCGTGCGTAAGTTGGTGGGGTTGAAATACGGTTTCCTTGCCGTCGTTGAGCCGCTACGGCCAGACAAAAAAAATCGGGTAAGACAAAAAAATCGGGCCGGGCATATGTTTAATCGGGCTGAACAAGTAGGCCCGGCCCCTTTCCTAAAATTTTTAAGGTGGCTCTGCCAACAAAAAAATTGTCTTGCTTGGCAACCGGGGTTCAGGCCGAAACCCTAATTTCGAGCTTGAATTCCGGCCCGAGTAGCAGACATGAGGCCGGGCTTCGGGACCCAAAAATTTGTAAATTTTAGGCCCGGTCCATTTCAGGTCTTGAAACGAAAAATTCGGATGCCAATTTTGGGTTTTTGGCCATAGGTCCCCACGGACCGGGCCGAGATTTGAAAAATTCAAAAAGCCTGGGCCGGGCCGACTTTGATGGCGCGGAGCCGGCTGCCAGGAAAGCCAAAAGTCCGCTCCAGTAGCCATGTTTGGCGAGTAGCACCGTTCTGTCGGGAAAATAATGAGCACAATGCCGGTGGCATCGCTAAACTAAAAAAAATTGATTTAGCCGCGACACAATTCATTTTCTCGGCGGCGATGCGATTTTCGCCGCAACAGAATGCTCATTATTTTCCCTACAGACCGATATTTTCACCCTCGTTCCAGCCCGTCAACTTGTCGCCGCTCCTCATCACGCCCGGCATCCTCGTTCTCCTCGCATTCTCCGTCAGTCGGTTCTACAATGAGTTCAAGCTGATGAGCCAACCGTATCGTTTCGTCTTCTCCGCTCTGATGCCGGTTATTTGGGCACTCACTCTTCTGTGGTTCGTCCTACTTTTTCGCTCAAAGAATCCGCTATTCAAGCTGCTTGTGGAGTGGCCTGGTTGGCAGAGGGTCGCTGTGCTCACACCGGTCGCATTAGCATTGCGAGAAATTGTTTATCACCTGGTGGCCGGGTTTGGATTGCCGATGTTTGAATTCTTTGACTCGAATCAACTGGTAGGTGAATCGCTATGTGTAGTATTTGTCTTTTTATGAAATTTTCAGACCGTTCTCCTTGGAATTCCGAGTTTGGTGATCATTATTTTAATATCTACACTACTCCATGTCACGTTCGTCATGCCTCTTCATCAAGTCTTCAACGCATTTATCGAAGAATGACGGATTTTTTGGGCCGTAAATTGATAATAAAAATCAAGGAGGAATTTTTTATTGCTCATTATTTATCCCCGACAGACTGATAGTATACTATAAATATCATATAATGTATGTGTTGCAAACCAAAAAAACGCATAACTCCAAATAGTGAATATAATCTTCTGTGTTCAAAAAAAGCCGCAAAAACTCATTTCCAGTCTCGTTTTGGAACGACAAACAAAAGCGAAAATGGAAACATTCCGTAAAAAGTGCATTCTTTTACTATTTTCCTTTTAGTGGAAGTAGTAGACAGCCAAATTTACTGACAGTTTTGAGCGAGGAATACGATGAATCATCAAATGAACTTTTATTATTTTCAAAAGGAGTTTTGAAAATGCCGAAATTTTTTGAAAAATGGGAAAAAAGAGTTCTTTGGAGGGTATCAAATTTCTTAAAAAGTATAAGAGTAGTAGTTTTTTTGTCGTGTCGTCAAATTTTCCCCCTGTTATTGAATGTTTTAAATGCCCGTTGTATACGTAGATATAAAAAGGATGTTGGTTATTGAAGGGATTTGTTTTAGCGAGCTTAATTTTGGCCTAAACTTGGCCAGTCTGTCGGGAAAATAATGTGGATTTATGGAAATCACCCATCATCGTTTTGCGACGTCTAGCCACGGCTGAAAATTGTTGCGCCACTTCGGTGCGGCAAGAAATTTTGCTGCGACAAAGCCACATTATTTTCCCGACAGACATTTTTTTTTGGTTTTTATTGGACCATGCCACAAAATTTCGTAAAATAAACAACTGTAACAACGTCGTATTTTACTCTAACACAAAATTTTTGCAGCGTAGATGCCCAAGATCTACTTCTCCATTCACCATATCAAATATAATGGAGAAACGACGTTGTTGAATAACCCGTTAAAAGTTGAGATTCCTCACGATTTTGACCTCTTGCAATCGCTGAAACATTGCCTGTTTTCGCATAAAATTCTGCCTGATTGTGATCTGCAATCAGTAACGTTTACGAAAAATGGGCATTTCCTGATGAATGATGACATTCCGAGCAACGGTGCCACATACGAAGTTGAGGTCCGGGATGAGAAGGATGTTTGTTTGGTAGGTCAGAAAGAGCTGGTAAATGTACTGAGTCCAATAGATTTACGGCTAGTAGAGTCAAGAGCTGGAAAAAAATGTGAAACTTTTTTCGCAACAAATTTGTTGTTTCTGCAGGAAACGAGCGAGGATAGTGCCAAAAATATTTTTTTTCTGACCGCTCTCTACGTTTCGCATGCTCTCTTTCACTAAAAATCTTTGAATATTTTGGCTCTCCGTGTAAAGCGTGGGCTAGAACTGTCAGGAATTGATACAGCGGGTGGCCTGATTCAGTGGCAAAAAGCGTACCATTTTGCACCCGGCAAGTATCAAAAATGTGGCAAAATGCTTCCCTCTCCAAGTGAAAAAACTCCGGTTTCAAAAGCGTGTCGGCTCTTTTTGTGAGGCCCTTCAGAACGAAGTTTTTTCGCTTAGAGAGTGAAGCATTTTGCCACATTTTTGATGCTTCCCGGATGCAGAATGGTACTTTTTGGACACTGGATGGGGTCCGTGACTGTATAAGGGCAATCCGGCTTTTTTTAGGACTGCCTTGTCGTTTTGAACATCGAAGACCCTGTTAATCATGGCTATAGGTTTCAAAAAGTGACCCTATCGCGCAACTCGACCTTTCACGACCTCTTGCAAACCCTGACAACTCAAAAAATACTAAAATCCGTCAAGCACGTCAGCATCTTCCAAAACGACAACGAAAAAATCTTCAATTTGAGCGAGAAATGCAAGGATCGAGGGTTCTACAGTGTTTCTTCGAAGAATATTTGTTCTGTAAGTTTGGAAATTGCACTGTAATTCTGTTTTTTACCTCGACATTAAACCTTCATCACGTATTTTACCCCCGAAAATGAATAAAAATCAAAATTCAGGTCATGTTCAACATTGTTTTTGACAAGAATCAACGCTTCTCACTTCTCTACGACTCGCCCTCGACCTCAAACGCAGTTGGGCAGGCGTTGGATAGCACTGTGGAGAAGTATCTTCCGAATATTGGGGTTTACAATGTGGAGAAGTTGGTGAAAAGGAAGAATAATAATACTACACAGTGCAGTGTGGTGGATAAAGTGGCGCACGAAGCTGTTTATGAGGTGTGGATGGTAAAAGTGAGTGCTTCGATTAACGACTTCCTTTTATGATGTTCTGTCTGTCTGTCGGGAAAATAATGTGGATTTGCGCGACGGACCCACATTATTTTCCCGACACAATGATATCAGTCTGTCGGAAAAATAGTGGTCGATCTGTCGCTGCGCATGAATTTATTTTCCCGGAGGCGGCGCTATTAAGCCTAGAAGTATGACTTTGTCGTTTTTTGCGGCTGGTAATTTCAACCGAAACAAAAATTCCCGACAGATTTTTTTACACAAGTCACGATTAACGTAAGCTGCAATGAGCGTTAGATACATCTTCGGCGTTTTTTCTCACATTACACGTGCGGAATAAAGTTCCCCGCAAACGACATTGTCGTAAGACGAAGTTGGTCATATTGGAAGCTTTATAAAAGCGATTATATATATCCTTACTATATGAAACTTAGATCAGTAAATAGATAGCATTTTCAGCGTTCTTTCAGACTCTCTAAACAGAAGTTGCGAAATTTTATTTCAGGTGAAAAATGAAAAACAAAAAAAACGCAAAGTCATACTTCTAGACCCAATATTTTCGATACCACAAGCACTCATTATTTTCTCGACAGACTCATCTTAACCAGCGATAGGCTGGTTGTGAGTCGCAATGAGTTTTCTTGTTGCAAAGTTTGAAGGGAGGATGTACGGTGCAAATCTGCGCCTCTTTCCGATGACCAGAAGTCCTTGTGCAGCAACTGCTGCTTGCAAAGTGCATGGTGGAAAACTGTCCAAAGACTGATAATAATATTTTATGCATTGGCCATCGATTTGTCTTCTATTTGACTCTCTTCTTCAGTCTGTAATTAGCATGCATATAACACTGCTTTCAGGCCAAAGTCACTTGTCACTGCCAAATCTGGCTAAACGATCGATTTCACAAGGAAATAAGTGTGACGTTGGATCAGAATACAAGTCTTTCACAACTTCCAGCTCACATCCCAATGGATGGGAATGTAAAGATCTCAAAAATCCAATACTACTCCGAAATTTTCGACGAATTTGTCGACTACTTTCCTCAAGTCGACGAATTATTCGTCTACAACAATGGAAGGTATTGTTTACAATTTACTGGAGCGGTGGAAAGCTTGCATGATGTATCCTGAGCATCTTCTTAAACGTTAAATTTCTTCAAGAACAACACTGGTATATCTGACAAAGATTATAAATCATAAGAAATGTAATTATCAGTCTGTCGGGAAATAATGTGGATTGTTCGCGGCAGAATATCTCGCCTCGTCACGGTCAAATCTTCAGCAGCAGTCGTTGCAAAGCGATGATGTAGGATTCCACATTATTTTCCCGACAGACTGATACTTCAAATATCGGATATTTGTATATCTTTTGATGATAATGTACGTATTGTGTATCTGACTTTCACACCAGTTCCTCAATCTTCTGGCCTTCATGAACAAGATAAGAAGAGTCTCTGTTGATCGTCCGGCTCATCGATTGTCCCAAGTTAATCGGATCGATGCGGATGATGTTCTGTAGCGCCGCGAGTTGCTGATATCTCCGTTGCTCCGATTTCTGGACGTCGAAGAATTCGCAGCGGAGTTGCATCTCCTGAAAAACTTTTTTTTTGAAGCGATAACTTTTGATAGTCTCTTCACGAAGTAGATTTTAATAATCCCATAATAATCCCAATAGCTAGTGATCATAGCCATTGAACTTTGATTGCAATTAAAATACTAGTTCGTTCGCAAACAGTGCAAAGTAAGCCTTGGTTTTCGAATTCAAGGCGTTGCGACAAAAAGTCTACGCACTTTTGAAAAAGCGTATTACTTTCAAGCAAAATCACTTTACAGTTTCCGCTCTTCTGCACTTTGCATGAGCTAAAAAAAACGCTTAGTCCCCGTGCAGAAGACCGTATGTAAATTCTGAGGATTTTCCCACGAGAAACTGTCTTCATTTATGCAAGTTTGATTGTCCTTTTCTACGTGGGGTTTCCCTATAAAAGGCCTTCTTTCCAGTCAACAAATCACTTGACTCTTGGACGACTTAGCTCTCATCTTTATCGGTTACTGGGTTGTCGGGCCTTTCGACAGCTTTAACGCACTTACCTTCATGATATCGTACAAATCGTCAACCGGTCCTCCATTGTCCATGTAGCCAGCCAAATCGTGGAGCCATTTTTGGAGATGATAGTATTCGCTCTGCCGAATCCCTTGCACTTTGTGCTTCGAGCAAAAGATTGGCCAAGCGTCGGCGTAGGTGATGAATTCGTTGTCGCATTCGAACAACTTGTACATGTCCCTTATGTTTTGGGAGGTCAGTAAAATGGAACTCGAGCCATTCACATGCATCATCTCTTCAACGTATTGCTCTATCTGACAATTGCGAAACAAGGGTTTTTAGGGAAAAAGAGGCCTACCAAATTCTCTCTGCGCCAATACAGAAAGAAGAGGAAGAAGAAGGACTTGGCCAATAGGGTAAAATATAAGCCAACGTCCTTGAAGTAGCCGGGCCATAGGATGGTAGACGTGATCGCGACAAGAGTCAAGAGTAGGGCAAAGAAGCCACCTAAAAAAGGGTTCATTAGTCTGTAATGAGCACTCCTTCGCGTCGAAACCGCCCCCGAGAAAATGAATTGTGCCGCGGGAAAAACATATTTCTTTTGACTTCACCGGCACGGTCGGTGCAGTTACATTGCCCTCCCTACTGTTTAAAATTTTTCCAGTCAGACTGATAATGCCTAACCGCGCTACCCGGACGAAATTATCAAGACATTTGGTCTCGGGTAGTACCAGGAAGGACAAAAACTCTTGACATGTCCGGCGGCGTGCGAAATTCGCAGTGCGCGCCGACAGTGCAAAATCCTTTATTTTGAAAGAGCTAAACTTACAGACATGATGACGAAACCGGTTCCTCCATGATCTTCCATAGCCGTAAGAGCGAAGCCATGAGCGTTTGAAAAATAAGGAAAACGTAAATATCGAAAATATGAGGACCACGTACTGCAGCCAATGGAGAATTGGGCCCTGCAAACGAAGAGTAATTTACTTCTGTACTATCACTCTGTCATGAAAATAATGAGCACCTTTTCAGTGCGCCGATCGCGTCGCTGAAGTGAAAGCAATCTGAGTTTGACGCGACACAATTTTTTCTCTCTGCGACGAGGCAATTTTTGATGCGACAGAGTACTCATTATTTTCCCGACAGACTGTACACTGTACTGCTTACCCAATTTCCAAACTCCGGAGTAATCCTGGCCAACGACGGGTCATGCAAAAGCGCATTCAGACTGTAGATCATGGTGACAAATTCGATGGTGGTGATGAACCATAATGGATGGTTCATCGGGCGCTTTCGCACAATCGGAACAGCCATTGTACTGAAAATATCAACTATCGTTCTGTCGATAAAATATTGTGAATTCGTCGCGCCTTGGACTCGCAAATCATCGATTTGCAACGTCTAGCCATGGCTGGAGATTTGGTGCGCGACTGCGACGGAAAAGACATTTTGCTGCTACAAATCCACATTATTTCCCCGACAGGGCGATTTTATTAGTAAAAAAATCATCCAAATGGCTAACCAAGGGTTGGATAGGCTGCTGAGTCTTAAAAGTTAACCAAAAAAGTAATTTCAGTGTTTCGGCAGGCTATTTGGACTAGACATGGCTCTGGAGCCGGCTCTGGCTCCCTTGGAAATCTATGAAAAAGGATATTATTCCCGGTCAATAAGAGGGCACAAAGCGATGCAACATATTGCAACTGAGACTCCATTAGCTGCGTTTTTTGCCACATGGTCCTGTCCGGGACCGTTGATGACATTGTATAATAATATCATCCACCAAAAAGCCCAAAAAGCAATAAAAATCACGATTTTTCCCGCTATAAACAGAGCCGGCTCGATTATAAGGACCGGCAAATTTGCTTCCAAAAGTCATTAAACCGGACACGTTTCCACGTGCCAACGTCCATCGGGCGTTTGTCTCAAAAAAAAAACATGTAATCAAAGGCCGGGGATTTCAACACAAACAAAAAAAGACTGATTGACAAAACGTTTTTACTTTTTTTTGTTTTGATTGCCATAGGGCCAAAAGTGATTGATAGGGATTGGGGAGTAGTAGACCGAGTGCAATAAAGTTCGGAGTGGCACTTGGACTATTAATAGAGGGTTTTTTTGCAAAATTAAGTACATACTATGTGGATAGAAAAAATATTGACATGTCTGCACTGTGCGGAGAGCCGGCCTCGACACGTCGCGTCTCCGCAAACGGCGGCGGAGTAAATTGCCCCGAATATGTACTATCAGTTTGTCGGGAAAATAATGAGTACTCTGTCGCATCAAAAATCGCATTGCCGCCGGGAAAATAAATTGCGCCGAGGCAAAAATAAGTTGTTTTTAAAAGAAGTCTAATATGACAAGGCAATTTTCAGCGACAAATACACATTATTTTCCAGACAGATGATAGTCTCTGTCTCATCAAAAATCGCACGGCCGTAAAGAAAATGAATTGCGCCGCGGCAAAATCACGTTGTATTCAACTTCAGCGACGTGTGGCGCACTACATTGTGCCCATTATTTTCCCGACAGACTAATAATTCGTTCGCGAATTTTGGGCAACAATTACACAGTGCAAAAAGAACAAAAATGCACTCTGTGCCGCGAAGAAGTGTCTACGCACTGTTGAGAAGGCATAGTAAGAGTAGTAAAACGTACTACATCATATGTCTGCATAGGTTTAAGTCAATTTTGTCGTCATTTTTGTTTTTTCCGCTAAAAGATGTAATCAAATCTCAGCCGGCAGTATAATAATAACCCATAAACGCTAAGAATCGAATTAAAATTTCGTTAACCGTAAAAACAATATTTTTTGTTCCTGACACGGAGCTGTTCCAAAATCCGAAAATTGCGGCAAACGTAAATTTTCCTCAAATTTTTAAAATTGAATTACCGACAAAACCTTTTCCGGGAACCCGAAAATAGGCAACAGAAGGGTCGGAGAGGTAAACAGACCCATAATTTGGCTGCTAAAGAGGCGCTGTGGAAACTGAACAGCAAAAAAAGTTAACAAATCGTTGTACAAAAGCCACCAAAGGTTTATTCAGCAAAGAAACAGTTAGTCAAACTTTGTAAATATTATACGTATGTACAACGAGCCTGACGGACTGCACAATTAAAAAATATGTACTTTTGTCACAGTTATGTTATTCACAGGGGAAATGCTCCAAGTGCGGCGCTCAGATTTTGACGAAACTTGGTAAAGATTTTGATCTCGACGGCAAAGACTGTTGAATATCTTGGCTGGGCATGCAAAGCGAGAGCTAAAACATTCAGGAATTGATATGGTTTATATCGGAGTATGCGCAAAATTTAACGAAGTTTTGTATGTCGCACTTGGTGTACGAAAATCTGTTTTATCGTACATCCCTTCTTATTAGGGTAAATTGAAGTTGGACAAGAAGAAAAGAAGAAAATGCTCTGTTTTGTGACAAATGACGTTGCAAACCTTCTTGCCGAACCAATTTCTGGGAATTGAGTTAAACAAGACGCCAGCTGCAGGTAGGATCGTATGGCAACTACCAATAGCCCCGTCGCAGCCCTCAGGAAACGTCGTGACTCTTGCAAGAGCGAGGATGACCGTTGGCGTCCGACTTTTGGCTTATAACTGAGCCGGAGCCGCTCAGAGCCGGAGAAAAGAGCCGGAGCCAAGAGCCGGAGCCAAGAGCCGGCTCCGGAGCCGCGACAATCTCTGGTGAGAACCCAAGACATCCTGGGTGCAAAAAATTGAAAACTGCATATTCCCTTTTAAGGAAGAGTGTTTCAATTGGATTTTCTTTAATGTTAAACTTCATTTACCATGTTAGGTTCGTATCGCTAATAAATTTACTACCGGCACCACAAGCTCCTCATAATTGTCTTAGCTTGTAAAGGAAAGCAATTTTCAGTATTGTTTTTCCTTTCCTACCGTCGTAAATGAAAAGAAAATATTATTTTTTCTGGTATGATTATATTGCAATCTAGACAAGAGGAAAGCAATATCTCATCCTGCTTTTGTTATTTATTTGTGGGACTTGCCATACCGGAGCTACTTGCAGCTCAAAATTGAAGGCTAGCGACATGCTGTAATGGTCGGTTTGTCGGGAAAATAATGAGCACTCTGCCGCTTCGAAAATCGCATCGCCACAGAGGAAATGAATTGTGTTGGTGTGAAAATCAAATTGCTTTTCATTTCAGCGACGGGATTGGCGCAACGACATTGTGCTCATTGTTTTCCCGACCGACTGATAGAGAGTCTCGTTGTATGGAAGTTTGTGAAGCAGTGGTTTCACTATTTTACATTTACTCACACCAATAATGTGTAGATAAAAGTTACGGAATTTCATTTTTTGCCGCAAATTTTGTTGTTTTATATTTTAAAATAACTCAGGGTAAAGAATGCTAACGTTAATAATAGCTAAAATTAGAAAAAGCGGACATGTTGCAAGTCTTCGCTAAGTCTCCGCCGCGCCTTCGCCCAGCGTCCGCCGACTAACCAACGGCTTTGACAGGCCTCTTTGTGTTGGCCCGAGAGACGGGACGCGGATTATCTCACAGAGTTTTGATCTTATGCATGCTATGATGTGTGACGCGCAACGACATTGTGCTCATTATTTTCCCGACATCTAATACTTCCCCTGTAAACTAAAAAAACTAATCTTATCGAATCTCCCATTCGTGCTGATCGCCGTGCCACGCGAACACGACGTATCTTCCGTTCCACAAACCAAAGCCCAATTTCAGTTAACGCGATTAAATTTCCATGTGTATGATGTGCAATCTATAGCCTATGACCAGCCAACCTTTGTTTGTAATCGAATTGGCCTTGGGCTATTGTTAGCTCCTTCAACTTGAGGAAAAGCGTGTCTACGCCTCTTCTACCGTCGTTTTCAAAGTGCACTATAGTCGCCCATTTTCATCTTTTAATTCATATTTAGCCATTGAGTTCACTATGAACGCACAATTTTACTATCAGATTTATACTACGGTAATCACGGTCATATCGGTGATCGCTTGTTTATGGGTGATGAGAGTTTCGTATCTTATTCATAAGCGGACAAGGAAGGAGTACCCGTGGATTTTGGGGTTCAACACTTTCATGGACTTGTTGTATGCGCTGGCCACGGGGATCTCGATGAGCGTAGGTTTCTTTTATTTATAAACTTACTTTGTTGCCGTAAATAGAGAGGCAAAAAGCCTTGCCACGACTTTGCATTGTGGGGTCGCTATCGCAAAGTGAATATTCATAGTAAAAAAGCAATTCATTACTTCGGCTTTCCGTTCGTAAAAACTTATCTTTTTTCGATTTCTACACACGCCAAAAAGCCGAAAAACGACCGAAAAAATTAACCCAAAAAAGGCCAATAACGATGAACTAGACCCCTGTATATTTAACATATTTGGTTTTAAACAAAATAGGAACGCCTGGGGATAGATAAAAAAGGATTTTAAGATTTGGCCAAAAACTAAAAAGTTATAGCCAATTCAAATTGTGCCACAAAGATGCCCCACCCTGTACTACATATTAGTCTGTCGGGATTTCCTAAGCGCCTAAGCAAGCACAGATGCGTTGCCGAGGCAAAGAAAAGCAGTAAACCTTTATTATGAAATTGCATTGCTCTTTTCAGACAGTAATGATAACCTCCACGCACACATACCTCTTCACTCACAACCCTCTCTTGCAAAATGCACCCAACACCGTAATCGACTTTGTCATCATTTCCAACACCTACTTTATGTCATTAGTGCCTCCGAACACGGCGATTCATTTCTGGTATCGCTACAACATACTGTGCAGAGGGGTTATTTGGTCGAGGACACGCTATTGCCTCACGTACTTGGCCTCGGTGGTCTTCCTGACCTGCTTCAGCTCGATGTTCTTTTGGCTGAAGATGCCAATGTCCGCAGATAGTGTGAAAGAGCTGCGAGACAATGGATTTTTCGTTGGTCAACCGGTCCCTCGACATGATATCACCAAGTCGAGCGAGCTGATCAATATGGTTGGAACGGCAATGTACATATCAAACAACACGATTTACTACCTGATAATGTTTTATTTCGGCTACAAGATTATGATGAAGATGAGGGAGTACTCGAAACGGGCGATAAATACGACGGAAAAGGCGCAGCAAAAAGTGGTTCGTGTCATGGTTTTGCAGGTAAGACTGTTTCTTTACACCATTTGCTTTCTATTGTTGCAGTTACTTAACCTTATGTTATCATTCCTTCAGGCAATTTACCCACTGATCCTCTTCCTGTTGCCCAACTTTGTGATCGGAATCTTTGTCCTTTTTGGCTTCAACTTCGAAGACTTGTCGTATGTGGCTGGCGCCACCGTGGAATTAATGCCGATTCTGAGCACGTTGACCGTCATTCTACTAGTCCCGTCGTATAAACGACAAATTTGGGCACGAACGCCGACTATGGTCTCGTCCAACACTTCCATGGATGCGAACAGATCGAGATCTGGAAGCAATTTTGGCACGTGATTTATTGCGACAAACCGTCGAAATCTTGTGTTAGTACGTTCAGCAAATCGTATATCGCCGTTTTCGAGCGGCGGTATTTCAACCAGTAAAGCGCAATATTGACAACAACTTGGTCTTGAAGCTCCCTCATCGGGCTGCCTTGTCTCAGATTTGAATGAAACAGTCGGTATTACTAAATAAACTGTTTGCTGACAACAGCAAATTCTAACGATAAAATTGGCAGTTGGATGTTTTGAGTTGAGCTTCTAAGTGTGTAAAAGTGGCTTGAATAGTCACCATAAGATTAACCTCCAAACGGCCGAAGCATTAATCTTGACGGGTGCCAAGAGCTGGCACAATGCCATCTGAAATCATAACTACAATGTGTAAAAATCATCCTGCATAATTTGGTACCAGCCCTACATACCTATGACTCACATATAGGTCAGTCAAAGATATGTTGGGCGTAACTAAAACTACAGCGCTGGCCCACCCACAAAACAAGTTTCGAATATTTCTCCGTCTGTTATTGCACGTATATCGCAATTACAAACATTTCTAGGAAAATTTACATTCTTAATGAACTCCTTTTTTTTATTCATGAGGTTTTGCTTCTCCTAACAAGTGCTTGAATCCGCTTATTAAAAAGTTTGGCGTTAATTTCAGTGGTTCCGCATTGTGTGGGCGGAATTTTTGCGGCTGCCAGAACCACTTTATAATCTTTAACAATTCTACATCCCTGTTCTTGTTATATTTTACAGTATTCTATATAGCATTTATATATGAACATCCAGTTCTGCTATCAAGTTTTTTCAACAATAGTTGCCATCATTTCGATAGTCGCTTGCTTGGTTGTGATGGGAGTTTCATATCTTCTGCATCGAAGGACAGGCAAAGAATACCCGTGGATTCTGGGGTTCAACACTTTCATCGACTTGCTGTACACACTGGCCAACGGGGTCTCAATGAACGTAAGTTTCTTAAGATTTGTTTTTGTTCTGATAAATTGTGAACACACCCAAGGCATAGGGCGTTTTTTCAATTCCTGAAAGTTTTAGCTTGCGCTCTGCGGGCACAGATGAAGTTTTAAGCAATATCTGCAACCTAGAGAGTACTCAGAATTCGGAGAGCGGTTAGATTTGGGAAATTTATGGGGCCTTCCTCCGGATGATTCCAGGGTCGCCTAGGCTCCTCAAAGATACCAATGGAATAACGTCTCTTCGTCTCACTGTAAATGCTACATAATTGCAACAATCCAAGGACATGTAGGGGAAAATTTCTCGCAAATGAATTTTTTCTGACAATGCCACGGATCGTTGGGACCATTCCCTTGTGAGACGAAAGTTGGTCATCTTTGAAGCATTGCAAAAACCGCTATGATAAGCCTGACCACGCAAGGCATACATCAGTACATGGCGTTTTCAACGTACTTTCAGGTGATACTAACATTAATAACAAAACTTTAATTCTACCTGTAAAAAATGCACAACTAAGATAACGGCACGGTCATACTTCTACGCCATAAAAAGCTGCTACGGCATGTCGCAAGTCATTCCTTCGAAATTTTAGCTCTTCTCGGCAGCAGTCGAGATAATATTATTCAAAGACCTTGTATATGAGAGAGCACGCGACATAAGGAGTGTGACTATAACAACTTGAAGAGTCCCCGTTGCCCAAAAGCCGGAGTCTTCACCTTCTTTAACTTCCCGGTGCAGAATTGCTACAGCATTACTCTTTTCAGACAGTAATGATAACCTCTACGCACACCTACCTCTTCACCCACAACCCTCTTTTGCAAAATGCTCCAGACATTGTGGTCGACTGGGCCATCATATCCAACACCTACTTTATGTCACTAGTGCCTCCGAATACGGCGACCCACTTTTGGTATCGCTACAACATCCTGTGTAAAGGCGTGTTTTGGTCGAGGCGACGCTATTGCCTCACGTACCTGTTTACGGTGGCCTTACAGATACTTTACAGTTCTCCGTTCTTCGTGCTGAAGATGCCAATGTCAGCAGAAAGTGTCAAAGAGCTGCGAGAGAATGGATTTTTCGTTGGTCAAGATATCCCTCGACATGATCTGACCAAAACGGATGAGGCTATAAATATGGTTGGAACGTCCATGTACATAGTCAGCAACGCTTCTTATTACCTCATAATGTTTTACTTCGGCTACAAGATTGTAATGAAAATGAAGGAGTATTCGAAACGGACGATAAATACGACGGAAAAGCTGCAGCAAAAAGTGGTTCGTGTCATGGTTTTGCAGGTAAGACTGTTTCGATTTTTGCGGCCGGAAGCTTAGAACACCCCAAGCCCAGCAGATACACAATACATACATTATCATCAAAAGATATGCAAATATCCGATATATGCAGTATTAGTCTGTCGGGAAAATAATGTGGATTTGACGCAGCAAAATGTCTCGCCTCGTTGCTGCCGCACGTCAAATTTCCAAGCTCGGCTTGTCACAAAACCTCGATGGATGATTTCAACGCGAGACTAGGCCACATTATTTTCCCGACAGACTGAATAAATCCCGAAACGCTGAAGTGAAAAACAATGTGATTTTTTTGCGATAAAATTCATTTTCTCGGCCGCGATTTTCGATGCGACAGAGTGCTCATTATTTTCCCGACAGACTGATAAATTCAAGATTTAATTTAATTTTTTTTTCTTTTTTTAATCCCGCAATTTTACGTATTTATGCCTTTCTTTGCAGGCAATTTATCCACTGATCCTCTTCCTGTTGCCCAGCTTTGCGATCGGAATCTGTGTTCTTTTCGGCGTCAACTTCGAAGACTTGACCTACTTGGCCAGCGCCGCCATAGAATTAATGCCGCTTTTGAGCACGTTGACCGTAATCCTTCTGGTCCCATCGTACAAACGCCAAATCTGCGGTAAATCGCGGACAGTCGTCTCGTCCAACACCTCCATGGATGTGAACAGATCGAGATCGGGAAGCAATTTTGGATCAAGATGACGAGTTTATAATTAAATAAATCAAATGGGAAGTGCTCCAAGTGCGACGCTCAGGTTTTGATGAAACTTGGCAAAAAATTTGAAATAATGGTTCATAGGGCATACCCGAGATTTCTACCTTGCGCTTTGCATAAACGACTGACATTTTTTGGTTGGAAGTTGGAAAAAATATGCAAATTTTTACGAATTTTGGTATCGAAAGTTTTATGTCGATTTCTACCGTAGAGGGTAAGGTTTCCACAAAAAATCGGTTTTTTGTGGAAAAGAATGACAAAGATATAGCTTTTTTTCACTCTGAACGCTCTGCGTCTTTGGCGTGCTCTCTCGGTCGTAAAAATCGTTGAATATCTCGGCAGCTACTACAAAGCGCAGGCAAAAATTTTCAGGGTTTTTCATCCCCGCCATGTGTGCAAATTTAAGCAAAGTCTGACAATGAGCGTCGCACTCTGAGTGTCACTCTGTCGGGAAAATAATGAGCACACTGTCGCATCGGAAACTTCATCGCCGCCGAAGAAATGAAATGTGTCGCGGCAACATCAAATTTCTTTTCACTTCAGCGACTCAATCGTTGCAGCGACATTGTGCTCACTATTTTCCCGACAGACTGATATAAGCTTGTTTCATTTACATATTTAGTGTCAGTCTGTCGGGAAAATAATGTGGACTTATCGCGCTTTTAAATCGATCGCATTTCTGGCCGCGGCTGAAGATTTGGTGCGCGACAGCGACGAGGCGAGAGATTTTGCTGCGACAAAGTCCACATTATTTTCCCGACAGACTGATACGTATTATCTTTGCACAATGTTTTTTGCCATAACTTATAAACGTATAACCATAAGAACCTGTAATTTCGCAGTCTTTATTTCCAAATGTAATGCTTGGTAATGCAAGGAAGCGGGACTTGTGACAGCCACACAAAAACATAGCTGCCCTTCACAAACATTACCACTGCCATATATGGCTTCTTCCCCCTTCCTTCCCGCATTGTGTTACGAAATTCTCCAGCCTTTTCTCATGGCGTATCCATGGGACAAACAAGGCCCAAATTTATTTGTAATTCCAGGTATAACCGAGGGCATTCCTTATGCGGTATTATGTTTTTGTTTTGTTGCATTTGCTTTTTATACATGTTTGTGGTTTTTTATAAATTGTATATAACTCAGATTTTTGTCAATCTCGATATAAATATAATAAATACTGGAATTCTCACTTCAAAAAGTAAGTAGACTTTTCGTCGCTTGCCGAAAAAGCATTTTGCACGGTGCACTTCACGTTTTTGCAAAAAACGGCAAAATTTGCGTTCGCAATAAAATACAACAAAAATAATGCGTATTATGCATTTGCGAAAGCGCATAGACTTTTTGTCACAACCGTTCTGCACTTTGCCAATGAAAAGCCGTCGAACATTGCACAGTGCAAACAAGGAAAAATGCGGTGTGCGAAAAGCTGGAAAATAACTACTACTCAACACAAAAAGTCCTGAGAATTTGCACTTGGCCGTTGTTACAAAAATTGCGGAAAAAGTATATTGCAAAACGCGTTTGAATTTTGGCCTGTGTGCGATTATTTTCATCGCTGAAAAAAAAGAATCAGTTTTTTCAGTGTGTGTCAGAATTATCAGGATTTATACAAACCGGTGCTGACAACGTGGGCTCTAACAAAGCTCTGCAAAACCTACTCCAATTTGTATAATATTTCCTCAAATCTTTCCTGCACATTACTACAATTTTCAAATATTATCTCATTTTTTTTCTTCTCAAGAATTCCCTGTATTTTTATATCCACTCTTCTTCGTCCATCCACCTTCTCTCCCTGAGGCGCCGCACCTGCGAGATTTTATTATTATTTTTGCGCGGATTTTCCCTTCTTTTATTTGTTTGCGAATGGACACGACGCAAGAGCGGCGGACCGAGGTCGTCGCGACGACTGAGTCACGGAAAGCGAACGGATCTTAATTATCCGTTCGTTTGGCTACCTCGTTTCGCATATGCCGAGTAATAAACGAGGGCGTGTTTCGGGCTTGTTGCGAGTTTGTTTCGGGTCGTAAAAGGTGATGTGTTATTTGTGGAACAAGGTAGATTTTTCGAGGGTTTACAAGGTAGGTACTAAAAGTCCGACGCTCAGATTTTCTTTAAATTTAGCATACGCGCTCTACAGGGACTGCCGAGATATTCAAGAGAGAGCGGTCAGAGAAGAAACGCTTTTTTGGCCACGTCTTTGCCAGTTTTGCTCGGAAAAAATTGATTTGTTGTGGAAACATCATCCTCTACTGTAGCAATATTACGAATACTTTTGATAGCAAAATTCGCAGAAAAAAATCTAGATTTCAGCCAACTTTCAAACTGAAAAATCTCGGCCGTTATGCTAAGCGCATGCTCGAAGGCTCGTAGATGTCTTACAGTGGCAAAAAACATACCATTTTGCCTTCGGGAAGTATCAAAAACGCAGCAAAATGCCTCCATGTCCAAGTGAAAGAGAAAAATAATTATTCTAAATTTGTGCCAAATTTCATCAAACTCTGAGCGTCGCACTTGGAGCATCACCTTAATCTCACCTGTAAAACCATGACCCGAGCATTAACCATTTGTCCCTAAAAACCGATTTTTTTTTATCAAAAAGGCATTGAAAAATGTCACCATTCCTGACAATTTGAACCCTACACACTCCGTTTAAATATTCTATTTTCCTTGTTCTTCATTTTTGTTTGTAGTATTTCCGCACTCTTTCCGTCCGAAAGGCTCAGAGATCCACGTTTCCTTGACAATTATTGTTCCGCCTGCCCAGACTTGTGTCACTTCCCACTTTAGGCTCCTTGTAAGGCGCTTATATCGTATTATCTTTTTGATGAGTCAAAAAAAAAATTGTTTTTTTTGCACTTACACGGGAAGTACCCCAAGTGCGACGCTCAGATTTTCTTTATATTTTGCACACACGTCGGGCATCAACTAAATATCAATTCCTGAAAAGTTTTAGCTCGCGCTTTGCAAGCGCCACCGAGATATCGGACCATTTTTGCCTCGGAGAGAGTACGCCTACGCCTAACGCGGAGAGCGGTCAGGGAGAAAAAAGCTTTCTGGCCATAACTTTGGCAGTATCGTGCTGAAAAAATTGATTTTTTGTGGAAACATTACCTTTTACAGTAGAAATAGGTATGCAACTTTTCGTGTCGAAATTCGGCAAAAAGTCCTAGATTTTCGCCGACTTTTGTTCTAAAAACCTTGGCTGCTTCTGCAAAGCGCGAGCTAGCATTCTCGCATATATTTTAGAAAAAAATACTCTAAATCTGTGCCAAGTTTCATCAAAATCTGAGCGTCGCACTTTGGGGTCCCCTGTCAGTCAAAAATTTTTACAACGGAGGAATAAAGAAATACACATGCTATAAAGAGGCTGTGTTGTATCGACGTTTAAATAAGCACAAAATTAAGCTTATTTTTCCTCTACAATTGATGGCTACAGAGAGGTTTTGTTACTACTACGCGTGTTTAAAAGTACCTAAACTTTTTGTCGCAAGTTTTCCGCACTATACAGTTGGCCTTTTGCAATTGAAATATCAATGTGGCGCAGGCTTTTTTTCTAAAATTGTTGCGATTTTTCTGAATTTTACAATGTGTTTTTTCATAAATATCTTTTCTTATCGGGCAATTCGATACTATTGTTTGTCCAGATGCGTCATATGAGCGAATAATAATACGCATTTTAGCTGTTTGAAAAGAGGATTGAGCGGGTTTGACGCAATTTTTAGGAAGCCTTACAGGAGCTTTCAAAAAATTGAAAGACTTTTTTACATAATTTTGGACTTTTCCCAGACATTTTCGGATGTTACAGCTGGTCGTTTAGACGCTTCGCTGAGACAAATCCACATTATTTTCCCGACAGACCAACAATATTTCGCTTTTTCAAAAGTGCGTAACGTTTGGCACAGTGAAAAACGTTCCGAAAACCATAGCGTCGCGCGTCGGTGCGATACAAAAAAACGGCCCAAAAAAAAAGCATATGCACTTTTGAAAAAGCGTAATACTACTTTATTTATTTCTTATGCGAAGAATGTTTGCCTTGCAGCTCATCCCACATCCTCCTATAAAGTAAACGTTCTGTGAGATTATCTATGTCACTGGAGACGCGAAACAATACATTGAAGCCCTGGAACTCCACCAACTTCCACACAAAAAACCTCTCCATCAGTCTGTCGGGAAAATAATAAGCACAAGCGACACAATTAAATTTCTCGGCGATGATGCGATTTTCGAAACGACAGAATGCTCATTATTTTCCCGACAGACTGATAAGTGCTCCTAGTCGCGCCATAAATCCCTGACACTTTTTCACATTGCGCCCGTCGCAGCGATTCCCCGTTTTTGTATGCACTGGGCCAAAATGAGGCTCCGAACAACAAAATCTTTCTATAACGAACAAATTTTTTGGTTTTTTTCGTGATTTGCTGTACAGCTTTTCTTACTTTTTTAATTTTTTTTTCAAAATTTCTCCCCAAAATTCTTTTTTGTTTACTCCGCAATTCCCCCCAAACCACAGCGAATATGCCCCAGGGCACATTCGCTGTGTGGATGCGGGAGACCGAAGCCAGGTGGAAATTTTGACGGGTCTGCAAATCGGATTATGTTTGTTAAGTCAGTGCAAACGTCACCTCAAACACTTGACGAGTGGAAGCGTATGCAAAATTCCCGAACATTCAGCGCTCAAGAGCGCGCTTCGCCGGCGATTTATTTTTGTCTTTTTCGCTGCGACCCGGAGGATTTTTACTTTTTCATTTTTGGTCGGAAAGTTTGATTTTGCAGAAAGTTGGGAGAAAATCGGTTTAGAGTGGTCTCCGTGGAATAAAGTTCTATTTATAATAGACATAAAAAGCTATATTATTTTATAGCGGTTGCTTTATGCTTACTAATCGTTCCAGAAAGTGCATAGACTTTTTGGCCTCTTTTTGCACCGCACAGTGCATGTTGCCCGGCGTTATCCTTTTCGAAACATCTTTTACTGTAAATTTTATTCTCGTGTGCCGAAACTCCGCGGCGGTCCTGTTAAGAAAATCTTGCGTCTTAGCGGAGTACAAGTCATGTCGGAGAGCCGCCGGACTGATTTTGGCGTTTCACTGTGAGAAAGAGTCACGTTAGCACGAAAAATAAAAAGCTTCGTTATACAGAGTTTTCGTTGTACAGTAACCTCACCCTAAGTAAAACTTTGTTTTCCGGCCTAAAAGTTTCGAAACACATGCTAATGATTCTTAAAAATTCAATTAAACCCCCTCTTGTTCCTTCTTTATTTCCTCAAAGCTCACCCCCCCCCCTTCCTAAACCAACAAACCCTGCGGGCCCCAACGTTCGAAACGGCTGAATCAGAGTCAAATTTAAATCTCCATTCAAGGAAATTCCCGTTTCTTTCCGGTTTCCGCTGTTTCGTAGGGTTTTGATAAGACCTTTGGCGCTTCGAAAAATTCATCTTCTTATCAGCGGCGGCCTGCAATTTTTCGTCATTTGCACAGTGTTGGCGCAGAAATTGGTCACAAATTCGGTGAAGTTGAATTTTTCATGCGGATTCTTTGCTAATTTTTGTTTTTGGATCCTCATATACCAGGGTATGGTCAACTTTGAGCTCTTTTTATACTATACTTCACATTAATAGAATTTTTTTTGATTTTTTCTAAAAATTTGTCAAATTCCCTTAGGTAATGAATCTGAAAATAGACGTATTGTTTTCTCTGTATTCTTTGTCCATTTTTCATTTGAAATTTTGAGTTTTTTTTTTATTTACATTTATGTCATTTCGCCCTAATTTTTTCAATGACAAGCTAAATATTGCTCGAAAATTTTGCCTGCTGCTAACTAACAAGGGAAGTACTCCAAGTGCGACGCTCAGATTTTCTTTAAATTTTGCACACACGTCGGGTATGGACTAAATATCAATTCCTGAAAGTTTTAGCTCGCGCTTTGCGGGCACCGCCGAGATATCGAACGATTTTTGCCGCCGAGAGAGCACGCTAAACGTGGAGAGCGGTCAGAGAGAAAAGCGCTTTTTGGCCATAACTTTGGCAGTTTCGTGCGAAAAAATTTGATTTTTTGTAGAAACATTATCCTTTACGGTAGAAATAGGCATGAAAGTTTTCGTGCCGAAATTCGGCAAGAAGTCCTAAATTTTCGCCGACTTTTGATCTAAAAATCTCGGTTGTTTCTGCAAAGCGCGAGCTAGGATTTTCGCATATGCCTTAGATAAAATTATTCTAAATTTGTGCCAAGTTTCATCAAAATCTGAGCGTCGCACTTGGAGTACTTCCCCTGTAAGTTTATTAATTTAGTCGGAACTCCTTTGATCTTAAATTTGTAAAACGATAAGGTGCCTACCGACAAACTTTTTAACATTTTTTTGTCCTTTTTTATATCATACTTGGCATTAGATGCAAAGCTTTGACTTTTGGCCCACTTTTTGATAACCTCAGGGCGTTTCGAAGAGTTTAAGATGATCCCAGCGACTTTCTCCTGCTGTTTACAAAACCTCTTAACTCCACTTCCGTTTGAATTGCCCCTATGACATCGGAATATTATCCATGACCTTTCGTTCAAAAAAATTGAAAATTCTCAAAGTAATATGAATAATCCGATGAATAAACGGTGTTAGTAACGCCATTAGAATTTTTCTTCAGGCATGCGAAAGTTTCTTTAGTTTTGGAAACAATCTTTGGTCTTGACACGAAAACTGGACTTTTTTGGCATTCTGTTTTAAATATATAAATCAGATGTTTGGGGGCTGTATATGTTTATACCGACGTCAAAAATCGTATTTTACATTTTTATTCGTGTTTCTGCGCGTTCTTCGAAATTTACGACTGCACTGTGCGGATTTCATAATTTCTCAAAAATTCGGGGAAAAAATCGATTTTTCAATTTCACCTTTTTTAGCCCGGCTGTTTATCGACCAGATTCTCCGCTGAGCCAAAATTTTTTGCCCATCCGCAGCCCTCACTTGCCACGCCGCATTTCCCGTCGCACTGTGCGCCACCGGAAACGATTCGGCCGCGCAGCCACCACTCGGACTCGGCCCCGGCCATCCTCACACCGACGTCGAGTGGGTCGAGCGCCGCCTCCGAGGCCGCGGAGCCGCACGCCACGTTGGTGCGACGCAGCGCGTCGTGGAATGCGCAACGCCGCACCGTGCGCCTCGCCAACCAGCCGCTGCCCTCGCCGCTGGGCTCGCCCGGCGATCGGATTGGGCAGGATGTGAATGGGAGAGGCATGCCCGATGGACAAAGTGAGTTTTTGGGCACTATTTGATATCTTCGAAATCTCAGTGAAGCTCGAAAAAATAAAAAATGGCATAAAACGTCATTTTTTAATTTTAAAAAAATTTTTTGAAGGTTTTTTTTTCGATTTTTTTTTGTTTTTTTCGACAGCACCTCCCCTTCTGGCGACGTATTTTACACTCCGTATTCTAAATTCAACGAAAAGTATATTTAAAAATTAAAATCCCCAATTTTCCCCTATCTTCTGCAAAAACCCGTAATTTTCGCTATGTTACAGTAGACTTTTCAATATATCATAGTAAGAGAATATGTTTTTTATAATCTCTAGCCCATCCACAACAAATTTCAGGGCTATATCATTGCTTATAACAAAGTTACCGCTGATTTTTTACCTTCAACGGCCTAGAAAAATTTCTTTCAAATAACGCCATTTTTGACAAAATGTTTTAAATTCTTTATGATACTAAATTTCTACATAGTTTGTAAAGTATAACAACCTTTCCTTAGCCATCAATGAGTCGCCGCGGACATCTCCGGACCCTCTTCCATACGCTGATGGCTTGCAGCAAGACGATGACACCATTTACAACACTGTTCAAAAGAAATTATTTGAAAATTATCACTCCATTGCGTATCTGCTGATCATCACTACGGTAGGTTTTGCGAGCTTTTCGGATCGTTCTAGGACCTTTTTTGGGGCAAAATTTATATTGTAGTAGGTAGTGGATGGAAAAACCGAAGATATTTCGAAGAATTCGAGCTCGGTACGCTGTGTATAAACTTTAATCGCTGTATATTGCTATTAGAAGTATTTTAAGTCATCTTAGTCCTCTCGTTACGCCGTATTTTACACTTAAACATCCATTTTTTCCGAAATTTCTCGATTTTTTCCCATTTTCCTTGATTTTCTTTTAAAATGTCGTATTTTCAGTATCTCATCGCTTTCACTGAGTATATATATCTTCGACTGGTGTCGTTGGTAATGCCCGACTACTATATTTATCATCGGAATTGCGAGAAGCATCAAAATGAGACGATAATTCGAACGGAGTTCCATTATGTCTCAATTACCGTCGTCTTTCTGACCATTGGGGCTTTCCAAGTCTGTGTAGGTGGCGTGTGATACGATCAGAAAATAACTCGACGTTTTGCAGTGTTTCTTTTTGTTGACCATCTCCGGCCGTTGGCTGACCGTCCGCCGAACTTTCAAACATTTTATCAGCATGGAGGAGAAGCTGCGCAATGAGGTCGTCTTCTCCATCAAACGGGTCATGTATCATACTGTGTTTCCAACCTTTCGTAAGTCCTTTTTGATGGGCATTTCCTTTTTTTTTGAGGTTTTTTGTGGTTGTAAAATAGTTTCGGGTCTCAACACGAAAACGTTAAAAGTCTTGGGATTGGTGGGAATGAGATAATGTAAGGTCCAAGCGTTTGATAGTTGTAATATTCACCCAATTTGCTATATGACTTTTCAATTACGAAATGAAACAGTCCAAAATCACTCCATTTTTTTAATGCCTAATATGACCTTTTTTCAGTAGTCTACACTCTCTGTTCGGCGGTGATTCTGAACGCAATCTTCTACATGGTGGGGATGCGAGATCCCATCGACTCCACCGTCTCTCAAGTCGTAATTTATCTCTTCGACGCCTGTGTTTTCATCTACTTGGCCGCTTTTCCCATTGTCTGTCTACTGTACCATCCACGAATTCGATGTCGTCTCCGGTTGAAGGGCGCAGTTCGAGCCTCTCGCGCCTCCTCGGAGCCGCTGCCCAACAACGCGACAGCGCATTTGGTGGCGTTCCGCAAGGCTGACGGCGACATCAGCGATCCGCGAAACCTGCAGGTCTGCATTGCACCTATTCAGACCAGTGTTTAGCTGATTTTTTTTTTGGCCGATTTCTTCGAAACTTTGAAATTGGAGTTTATTGTTGTAAATTTGAGTATTTTAGGTTATTATCGGAATAAAAAAAAAGAAAAATTGTGAATTTCATGTGTTTTGGAGCTTTTATGAAGCAGGAGACTCATTTAGTCATTTTCACAAAATTTTCAAATTTTTGGTCCCGCCACGAAAACTTGATTATGTTCAATTTCATCGTAAAATGCATTATGACAGCAAAGAATTGTCCTTCTTTTTCAGATTTAAATATTTTTGAGTGAAAAAATGAACAAATTTCTAAATTTTGGGTCCCACCACGAAAACTTGAATTGTTCCAAAATCCCTGCAAACCGATTAAATCAGCAAAATTAGGCTTTGTTATAGGAAAATTGAACTGTCATTGCATTTTTTAAAGCAAAAATCACCCGATTTTAGAGCATTTGGTCTCGCCACGAAAACCTGAAAATCGAGAAAAACATAAATTTTCGGCATTTTCTGCATCCTACAGCTTTCCAAAGCAATATTTAATCAATCCAAGCATGATTCGAGTCAAGTTTATTCTTCAAATCGTTCCAGTTACTCGAATTTCAATCCTTATTACTCTTTGCGTTCCGCTGAAAAAATAAAAAATTTATTACCAGCCTTATTTATCAACAGTCAAGTCCCAAAATTCAATTTTAATCCAAAAAACTTACTGTTTTTCGATCGTCACTGGCGGATTTCTTTCGCAGAGTGCGCCGGCGAGCAGCGACCCTCGAGGGCGCGGTGGAGCGAGAGCCCTCAGCCACGGATTTGGCTCGCGACACCACAAGTGACTGATTACGAGCGGTCCGGGCGGTTCGTGTTTCACTGCCACTGATCTGAAAGAATATTTTTTTTCTTTCACAGTGCAGAATTCAGAAAAAAATTTGCACCGTGCAACAGGGAAAAATATTTTAAAAAATTGCACTGTGCAAAATAGTAAAAATCAAGAGAAATTTTTTTGCGCTGTGCAAAATATAATATTTAAAAATTTGCACCGTGCAAAAACAAGAAAGAAAAATTTTGCACCGTGCAAAAAAATTTGCACTGTGCAAAAGGCCCAAACATCAAAGATTGCAAAAATCTGCACAGTGCGGCGGATCTTTCGCCATTTTTGTTGCACCGTGCAAAAAACATAACAAAATTTTTTTGCACAGTGCAAAAATAAAAAAAATTGCACCGTGCAAAAGGCCCAAGCATAAAAAATTGCAAAAATCTGCACAGTGCGGCGAATATTTCTCCATTTTTTTGCACTGTGCAAAATTTTTTGTTTCTATTTTTTGCACAGTGCAAACTCAAAGAAAAATAAAAAATTGCACAGTGCAAAAAAAAATTTTTTTTTATTTTTTTTTTTATTTTGAAACAAAAAACGAAAACTTACCACATTTTTCTTAACCGAGTTTATCTTCTTTTGGCCGTGTTGTATATCGATGGAATTGTCGTCACGATCTTTGACAAAGACATGTGGCAATTTGGCCACACATCTGCTTACTGGGGGCGGCGGTCGGTAAACGTCGCGGATTAGGCCATGGAAGAATCGACAGGTAACGTCAAAGTCGGCTCTCTCCGTCGAAGGCTTTATCCAGCATTTTAGGGAGACAAATTCAACCACTTCTGGAGGGGCAGTAGCTGAAAAAAAAATTTTTTGAAAAAAAAAATATTTTTTGGGGAAATTTATTTTCAAAAAGTCTTTTTAAAAAAACAATATTTTTTTTTTTTTTTTTTTGAATTTTCGGATTTTTTTTATATTTTTTGTAATTTTGCTGATTAAAAAAAATTATATTCCAATTTTTATCAGACCTTATGGTGATACAAAAATTTGTTGATTTTTTTGCGATACAGTTTGAGATTTCTAGCCCTTCTTAAAGCATTTTAAAACAAAAGTTTTGCAAAAAATCAAAAAAAAATAAATCTCAGATTTTTATTTAAAAAATCTTTTTTTTGATTTTATATACAAAAAATCTAAAAAAAATATTTTCAAAAATTTTACGTGGAAAAACCGGCATTTCCAGCGCCTTAATGAAATGAGCAATGGCTTTCGGAGGGTCGTCCGGCCAGGCGACGTCTCCATTGGTAAAGATCTCCCATAATAGCATTCCAAATGCCCTGAAAATAAAAAAAGAACTATAAAATTAAAAATTTCTTTATTATTTTTATTATTTTCCTCTAAAACCTCACCAAACATCGCTTCGATTCGAGAATTTTGGATGTTTTCCGATGGTTTCTGGGGCCATTAGTCGGATTGGAGCGCGGAATCGGCCTTTGATCACCTCTGGATCGGTCTGTTTCCGGCTGAGGCCAAAATCCGCTATCTGAAAATGTAAAATACGTTATGTCAACGGCTTCAATTAAAAACTTTTTTTTTTAAATAAAAAATTTTTTTCCGAAATTTTTCGAAAAGATTTAAAAAAAAAAAAAATAAAAAAAAAAATTTTGTTTTTATTTGATTTTATAAAAATAAAAAAAATCATAAAAAATGTTAAAAAATAAAAAAAAATCCCACTTTAATCATGCCATTCCGCCCGATCAAGCAATTCCTCGCCGCCAAATCCCTGTGAATCACTCCAACACTCTCCACATATCGCATTCCTCTGGACACTTCGAACCCAAACTGAACCTTTTCCCGATTATCGATATTGTCCTTATAGGTTTGGAGGAAATTCAAAAGTGCGCCGCCGGTGCAAAGCTCCATTATCAGCTGTAAAAAATGTCTGTCTTTAGAAGTGAAGTTAAAGACGCGTCAGCGTATTTTAAAAAAATGCTTTTTTGCTTTGAAAAAAAACCGCACGGTGCAAAAAAATAATTGCACAGTGCGGAAAAATAAAAAAAAAAATTTTGCACTGTGCGACAAAATCAAAAGATTGCACAGTGCAAAAACAAAAAAATTGCACAGTGCGAAAAATTTTTGATGAATTGCACGGTGCAAAGAGGAAAAAAATTGCACTGTGCGATAAATCAAAGAAAATTGCACAGTGCAAGGAAAAAATTGCACGGTGCGTAAAAAAATACTGCACAGTGCAAAAATCAAAAAAAAAATTTTTGAAAAAATCTGCACTGTGCAGAAACTTTTTAAAAAATTGCAGTGCAAAAAAAATTTTTACAACAAAGCATAAAAAATCGCACTGTGCGGCATACCCAAGAAAATTGCACAGTGCAAAAACATAAAAAAAATTTTTGCACAGTGCAAAATCCAAGAAACCCCCAAATCAAAAAATCACCTTTATATTCGGAGTATCCGCCGCCACACCATAGAACATGATGATGTTTGGGTGCTTCATGATTCTCATAGTCGACGCTTCTCTTCGCATCTCGATAATCTCTTTTTGCCTCTCACTTTTGGACACGTCCGTCTCCTTGAACTCTTTTATCGCGCATTCCGTGTAGGTGTCGCGGGTTCCGTGCGTGTACGAGCCTTTGGAGACAACGCAAAAATGGCCTGGAAATGAGAAGCTTCGAAAAATTTTTTAATTTCCAAAAAATTTCAAATTCGAAAAAAATTTTAGAATTTGAATTTCTCGAGGGCAAAACATTGCTCATCGGCAACAACCTTTAAAATCGTCAAAAACATTTTAAAGAATTCCAAAAATTTTCAAAAATTCCAAATTTTTTTTTCATTTTTCTCCCGTAAAACTTAATGCCCCTTGTATTTTAGCCCCTGAAGGTTTATTTGACCCCCTACTCACCCTCTCCAATCTGTTTCTTGATGCGAATGTCGCGATCTCGTATCAAAAAGTCCGGTCGGTTTGCGGGTAGTCCCAATTTTCTATACATTACAAAGTGCTCGATGACGTCGTTGATGGCCTGGAAGGTCTTGTCCGTCTCGAGATAACTGTTCTTCTCGACTTTCCAGCCACTTTTGCGACCAAACATCTTGGATGGGGGTCCGGCCCGGGGGGCCGTCGGTTCTTCGCCCACGTGGTAGATCGAGACGTGGAAAACTTGCAGGGTCTGAAACTAAAAAATTGAAAACGTCCTTTTTGGAGATAATAATGCACAGAAAACCAGGTAAAGTCAACGGGTTTTTTGAAAATGAGAATTTTTGGGTCCCGCCGCGAAAACCCTGAATTTCAGGGAAGTCATCAAAAAAGGTCAGATATTGGTCGCATTTGACGTATTTGGGTTAAAAAAAGGTATTTTAAGGCCCTGATCATATCCAAGAAGCCTATATTGCACTAGATCTCCAATTTCTGAGTCCCACCACGGAAACCCTGAATTTCAGGGAAGTTGCAAAAAACACCGTTTTTGGTGGTTACGAGAAAAAGTAAGGCAAAAATAAACGCTTTGTAAACTTACACCTTCCACAACTTGGCCAAATGAGAGTATGAACTCGATTTTTTCTTTAGAATCGTCTCCTGAGACAGCGTATTGGCCCTTTTCTCTGATGGATAGGGCAACTTCCGAGCTGGAAAAAACATATTCTTATTGAAAAAATCATTTAGCTACTTTTGAAAAAATGCAAGACAGAAAAAAATTCTTTATCGAGTTTTGAAGCGTGTAAAAAAATTTTTGTACCGTGCAAACTAAAACCCATTTTTTGCACAGTGCAAAAAAATGACGGAAAAAGTTCCTTATTCTGGCCACAACATACTCTGCGAACTGCGCCCAATTAATTTTTTTTTGCAAACCAAAAAAAATTTTTTTCAGCGCAAAAAATATTGTCCAATCCTTCCGCCACGCCCCCAACTTACGTATCCGCGAAGCCAAAATAATAGAGTTTGGTGAAGAGCTCGGTGGGGACCTCGTTGAACGTACGGTTGCGATGCGGCAGAGCGTGCTCACTCTCCACGCTCTCGTTGCTGTAGCCAGCGTCGCTGCTCTTCTTCTGCGCTTCGCGACTTCCTCGTTTCCATTTAGTCGTCAGAAATGACATTTTCCGTCAGTTTAGCTGGAAGCGGAAGTGCGAAAAATTGGTTTGAAATCTTTTCGGGCTATTTTGTAAGGCGGAGAAAAATATATGAAACTTACGACGATTTAGGGAGAAGGCGGCAAACACACAACCGCACGGTGCAACGGTTTCATGAAAGGATTGAGGAGAAGTAGGAAATCATGCGAATTTTTTGATTTAGGCTTTGAAATTTGCATATTTAAACTTTTTTTCCGAGTTGTCTCTCTTCCATGGCCATGCATGGTGCACAAGAAACTCTTATTTTTTTCTGTTTATTCAGCTATTTTTGAATTTTGCAAATTTTTTTGACGTTCAAAATATGCACTGTGCAAAACAAAAAAAAGTCTATGCACTTTATGAAAATACTATTCGCGTTTCCATAAAGTGAGATTTTTTATTATTTTTCGTTTTCGCACAGTGCAATTTTCATCGTCAACGCACTGCGAATTTTCGCAAACTCCAAAAAAGCTCTTTGCACAGTGCAAATTTTTGAGGAAGACCGCGGCGACGCAGTTGAGAGAAACCTATGTCGCGGCGATATCTCAAATCATAGTGCAACCCAAACAAAGATGAACGCACGGTGCACAAAATCAGGCGGTTTTTTGTGCATGGTGCGGGCCGCGACAAATGTCCATGCACTATATGAAAATCCAGAGTGGGGCATCTCCGTGGGCCGACTTGAATCGGCCATAACTTTTTTAGCTTTTGGCCAAATCTTAAAATTCTTTTTTCCCTGAATCTTCAGACGTCCCCATTTTGCTTAATACCAAATCTGTTATGTGTGGATTCACGAGAAAAAGAACTTTAAGATTTGTTCAAAAACTGAAATAGTTATAGCCATGTTATTAATAAATCGGGCCACAAAGATGACCGACACCGTACTATCAATCTGTCTTGAAAATAATGAGCAATCGAAAATCGCATCGCCGCAAAAAAGATTGATTGTTTCGCGACAAAATCAAATTGTTTTCACTTCAGCGACGCCATTCGCGCAACGAAAATGTGCCATTATTTTCCCGACAGACTGATGGAATATTTCTGACATTATTTCCTCCCATTGCACTATATGCATAATGTGCACATTATAAGCTATTCTTCCGGACAGCTGCTTTTCTTTTCATGAAATCACACATTGCAAGTTAGTTATGTAATTAGCAGCGTTTCTTGGCCTCAAGTCACGAACAACTCCCGTTGGAAAGCACAATTTGTAATGGAAAACTTCCCGGTGTTGATTTTATTACTTTTTTATGTAAAAAAAGTTGTGTAGTAGTAATGTAGTAACGCATTTAACTGCATTACATACATGTCGAATGGTTGATGCAACATTTTTTGGGGTGGGAATGAAGTATTCAATTATTTTCATTGTAGGCTTAGCGGACAGGCGAAGTGTTGGTCGTGCAACGCAAAGTTTTTTTTGAAGATTTAGCGCACACGTCGCGGATAAACCACATATCAATTACCGAAAATTTTAGCTCACGCTTTGCAGTTGCAGCCGAAATATTCAACAAAACTTTGCCGAAGAGAGTATGTGAAACGCGGAGAGCGGCGAAATTGGCGGAGCTGTGGGCATAAATTTGTTTGAAGTTGTTATAAACTTCAGGAAATTGATTCTAAACCATGGGAAAGGTTAGTAGTATGTTGAGGCGCATAATAGCTCTGTCGGGAAAATAGTGTGCACCCTGTCGTATTGGCGAAACTTTAAATGTGAAATCGGCATAGGCCACAAAACAAATGTAAAATACCTTGTCTGTCGGGAAAACAATGAACAGCCTGTCGCGTGAAAAATCGCATCGCCGCGAGAAAATTTGTGTCGCAGCAAAATCAATTTCCTTTACGCTTTAGCGACGCAATTGGCGCAGCGACATTGTACTCATTACTTTCCCGACAGACTGATTTCCAAATCGTCAGCTATGTCAGGCGACTTTCGTTAGCATGTTGGCTTGGTTTGTTCCTATTCTACTTATACGTGTATCTTCGAGTCTAGACAGAAAAATGACAAGGTAGACACATTAAATTCGAATTCCAATAAATGACTAATTTTTCAACATAATACATAAGCTCGTATTATGTCGCCCAATTAACCGGAGATTATAGCCTGCACTTCCGAAACGAATTTCAATTATTATTGGATGTCACAAGACTGTCTATCCGGTGGTATTTGTGCTTTATTGTAAAGCGACTGTAACTCAATTTCGATATTTTTTCCATGTTCGTGTTTTTCGACTGGCCGAATTATTTATTCGCCGTAAACATGTTTTTTATACGAAGGCCAAAATTAGGCTTTTCGGGTCAACGACCGTTCGGGTCGACGATATTTTGGAAGGGCCTCAATTTGTCATAGTATACATGTCCAAGGCTTGGAGAAGGTTTAGTGGATAATAGAAATAATTAGATGGATGTCCTAATCCATCGATTTTGTCTTGTTCCGAACTGACAGAAGTCGGGACGAAAAATTGACTGTTTGTACCCTCCATATTGTTCGTAATAGACAGGTTCCGTTACACAAAAATTTATTAGCTGCAGGGGTTGAGAGCAGGTTGAGTCAAAACCGGATCAAAAACTCGCGAATTCGCATGCAAAACCCAAAGCCTGGGACACCCAAAATCTTTAAAAATCGCCAAAAAAAGTCCGAGGACTAAATCTAAATCGGACGAAACTTTGCATTGCTTATTCTTAAAGCCTGGTTAGCACTTGTGTAAAATTTCATGATATTTTCAAATTCTTAAGGGACGTGGAGGTCGGCTAGGAGGGTCACTATGCAAAAAACTTTGCCTTGGTCCCCCCTCACCGTTTTTTTCCTTTCACCCTTCCTCAACCCTTCCTCAATCCTGCCCCCCCCCTCCCTAGCTGTGCTCCTGAATAGCTGTAAATATCCTGTCAACCTACACATTACCTTTTTTTAATTTTTTTTGCCTATTTGGCCATTTTATTACATTATTTATAACACCTGATACCCGGACGAAAATATCGCCGTTTACAGTCAAAACATTGGGTTCTTAATCCAAAACTTTACGTGGGGGTGAAACTATAATATTCCCAGGCGATTTCCACAATTATTTTTGGGTATTGTTGAATTGTATGTATAATATCACCTAAAAATTTTGTTTCTTCCAGTTATGTTCCAAAAACTTTTGTATTCTTCGGCCTCATTAGCTTTTTCGTTGGCCCTTTTTTTTACATTGAATGCTAGGCAGGAAAAAGTATTGACATGTTTTCGCAATATGCGGACGCATGTATTCGGCGTTGCGACTAGGCGTTGCGCGATGAAAATTCGGCGTGGTGCGAAAAAAGAGCGCACGGTGATTACGCTTTTCAGACCACTTTTTTTGCTGTGCAGGGTTGCAGTGCACCGTGAATTTGTCGGACCCACGGGCAACCACTTTCGGGGCGGCTATAAGAAGCATGGAGATTCTGCGGGCATGTTTGGAAATCGGTAAACATTTACTTACAACAGGAAGTTCTAACGATGGATTTGTCAGTTGGATGTTGCGTACTAAATTTTTTAAGTAACTTGAACAGTTATCATAAGGCTAACCAGGCATTTTTGAGGGTTCAAATCATGGCATTTTTTGAAAACAAGACGCCATAGCTTTCAAAACAGTGGGTTAATTCAAGAGATTCGTGTGCTTAACGGTACCAGGAAGTCGTCAATGCAAAATTTATATCATATTGCATACACTGCGGGAGGAAAATCGTAACCCCGTGAATTTTACTCGTTGCAACGCCAAATTTATGCCCCCGCAAGGTGCAAAAACATTTCATGACTTGTTAGACCGCCTAGCAGTATACAATGATAGTATACTCCCGGACATAAATTTCTGACCACCCATATCTCAAGTCAATATAATGCAATCGCTTTGAAACTTGGCATGTATACTAGTCATGACAAACAGAATGTGCCACATAAAATTGTTTTTCGTGTCTCTGTCCTTAGGCGAGTTATGCAGGTTTTTTCAAAAATTGGTGGACAAAACTTTCTGATCACCTAAAATAATTAAAGTTTTCTCAGTCTCCTTAAGTAAGCGACATGGTTCAGTTATCTTCGAACATTATTAAGGGACCTACAAGGACGATGGGTATGCTTTTTACCACCAAATTCGGCGTGTGCCCTCAAGCAACTCGTATTCTTGCAGCGCTCTTTTTCTCGTTAAAATCACGCCCTATGCGGCAAGGACGACTTTTTTGTTTCAGAAAAAGTCATAAGGAACTTATTGGAGGTAGTGATACAAGATCTTACTACCCAGCAATGTGAAATATGCCATTAACGCCGTAAGCAAATCACCTAGGAGTAGCCCATCTCTGAATAATTGATCATAACCGCAGGCATTTTTATTAAATCCGTCTAGAAATCCCCTACAGTACTCTTTGGTGTATACTGAAGAACGTGGGATAGCAATCTCCCGTTATCTTCGCATTTCGTGCGCGCACTAACGCAAAAGTCCAAAAAAACGCAACTATTCCGATTTTGTAATTATAAAATGGTCAGAATTTGCCAAAAAATCCTCAAGTTTGCGTTATCGCGTAATTTCAGTCCGAAATTTCATGAGGCCGGGTCAGCACTAATATAACTTTATTCTTCATTGTGTAGGGCTAAGCCATGTTTTATTTCAGCCAGTTTGTGCTAATTCTGGAAAAGTTACAAGCCGCTAAAGTCCGGCCGGCTGGTTAGTTTTGCAATGATTTTGCACATGCTTGATGAAATTCTTAACATCCCTCGGTATAACGGACGGAAATTGATTACGTGTGATCAATTACATAATCTTGTACGTTTTTTATCCTTCTAGCCCAACTAGAGCCGTGGTATACTAACAAAATCGCGTAATGCGCAGAATGCACAACCCCTTGTGACGTATGTTACTACTCCCCGATTTTTTGCCATAAATATATGCGGTACGTCTGTGCTATGCAGTATAAGCAGTTTTAGCCCCGTGGCAAACATTTTTCGGCAGTTGCGAACAATTTATCCAAGTGATCAGAAAATTTTGTCCACCCTTTTTTTGAAAATGTCGAAAAAACTGCCCTTAAAGTGCAAGGATGGAAAATTCCGTTTTACGAAATGTTTTGCACCTCTTCTTGATAGGGCAGTTAAAATTTGGAACATGTAGCTCAATTAACAGCCCAGCTAAAGGGTGGTCAGAGAGATATGTCCGGGAGTATATCTCTGATCTCTATGCTTTGGCCAACTACAAAATTCATTCAAAAACATCTTTTGTGTAATTTTGGAGTCATTCCTTATTGCTTGTCGGAAATTCGTAGTTATTTTTAATTCAATCCATTTAGAGTGGCGTGCAATGGGCACTAACGCCGTAAACACCTAAAAGGAAGTGTAATTGGGAGTCATTTATTACTGAACTGTATTTGAGTTGGCTGCTATTTGGAACTGGCTCTACGTAGTCTTGTTTTGGGCGATGCAAATTTATACAAATTATGCTAATTTCCAAGAATTATCCTAATGAAATAACGCCATGGAAATAGAAGACTGTCCTACGAAATTTCTACAATACTACAGCTACTTTTTGGACGTCAATTTTGTCATCACACTACTGCTATATCCATTAGTGGTCTTCGCTGTGGTCCGCAAAACCCCTGTGGAGGTTCGCTTCGAAAAGGATTTATTGATGGTCTCTGCGACGTTCGCATTGTTGATGAATGTGGTTTTGGTGAGTTTCGTCATCACAGAATTCAAAAGCCAAGTTTGAGTCTGACAATTTTTGAAAGCCACATGTTAAAGACTAAAGACGATATCAGTCTGTCGGGAAAATAATGTGGATTTGTCGCAGAAAAGTGTCTCGTTTCTTCGCAATCGTGCATCAAACCCCGGCCTCGGCTAGCCGTCGCAAAGCGATCATGGGAGATTCCGAGGCGCGACGAATCCACATTATTTTCCCGATAGCCTGACAATAAATCAATTTACTTTTCTACAGATTTTTTTCTATATTTTTTAAATTTATTCCCCAAAAACTTCCTTCTTTTTAGTTCTTCGCTCAGCCAACTTATTACAGCTTTTATTACGGCGGTTATAGCCTGGGGCCGATTCAGGGCCACAGAGAGTTCACTCAGTTCGCCACCTCCCAAATCCCCGTCCTCTTCACTTACTTTTGTCTCTCCTTCTCCATCGGATTCTCCTACCAGAGCCACAAGATTCGCGTCTACATCGGAGAGCAGCAACAGAATTTTTTCACGTTTTTGGAACGTGGCAATAATTGGCTCATCTTTACGTTTTTACTTTATCTTCTTTGTGCCGCAACGAACACAACTCTCGTCTATTTGCTGTATTATTTTTATTCGGTGGACCCGGCTACTTCTCCAGACCTAATGAGGGTCTATCAGATGCATCCGGATGCTCAGTTCGTTGATATGAGCAGCGCCACCTCGTCGAAGGCGCTGTTCTGCGGATTCTTGTTCATGGGATTGGCCGCGATTCTACACGCACTGAAATGCAATTTACAGGTGGGAAATCGCTTTTTGTGCGGAAAAAATAATTTCTATTGAAACATTGCTCTCTGCTGTAGAAATAGAGATGAAACTTTTTATGCCAGACCTCCAGAAAATGTCATATTTTTTATCAAAATCTAAGCGTCGCATTTCAAATACTTCTCTCGTAAACCAAGATGACGAAAGTTACGGCAATTTGACGTCAATTTAACAACCCTACATTCAAGTAATGGCAAAACGAAAGAGAACAACAAAAACGCAAGAGATCTTTGTCGAAGAGGATCTCGAGATTTGAGGTTTCGCAAAAACCCCGTCTCATGTATGGCCAAACAAAATATTGGTTGGCTATAAGTGCTCAAAAATACAAAAATGTATTTTTTTGCCATTTTTTTAGCTGAATTTTTGTCAGTTCGGCGGAGAAAACCCCGATTTTTTGTAAATAGAAATATGCTGCGCTGATCGTGTCGCTGAAGTGAAAAGCAATGCGATTTTCGATCCGACACAGTGCTCCTTATTTTCCCGACAGATTAAACACGCCATCTTAGCCTTTGTAAATCCAAATTTCAGATTCTCCGCACCATCAAGTCCACACAATCCATCGTCAGCCAGAAAACCTTTCGTTTGCAATGGAGTTTCTATCGGCATTACGCCGTCGAATCCGTGATCGCCATGCTCCTAATGCACCTTCCAATTGTCCTCTTCTCCCTCAATTTTTCCGGCCTTCTACACTTGGTATGTGGCTGTGAAATTGGACTGGCCGCTATGAGTTTACACTCGAATTTGGTCATGTGCGGAAGCTTGGTGTGTGTGACGCCGTACCGTCGATGGATCCTGTCGATGGTTGGGATCCGGGAGACGAGTCGGATTGATGCGACCAGCAGAGCCAGTGGGATAGAGGCGCAACGTAACACAACAACTGCTCGTGCGGATTCAGGGTTGAGGAGTTTGCCAGCGTGAATACGAGTAATGTAAATACATGTTATATGTAATACATGTATATAAATGTAATAAAAAATTACTCTTTTTGTAATTGGATTTTTTTTTTTGTTTGAAAGAGATTAGACCCCTGGAAAAATCCTTTCTTTTTTATCAGTCTGTCGGGAAAATAATGAGCACTTCATCATGACAACTAACAATGTATTTTTTGTGGCCAAAAACTGCCAGTCATCGGCTCTCTTTGCGATAGAAATGGGCGGAAAACTATTCAAACCCACATTTCTAAAAAAAAACTTACATGTTTTTACCAACTTTTTGGCCTAAAAATATGTCTAAGATTTCAAATTTCACTCAAACAATTCGTGATTTATTATTCCCCCACTCCTTCTGTCATCCACATTACATTCTCTCTCTCTGTCCTTGTTTCCCTCCTCTTTCCAGTGTGTTTGCCATTCCAAACCATTCATTCTCATGCTGAACCTGGCACTCCAAAAGGACACAAATCAAAGAGAAAGGCCGGAGAGAGCGCCGCCAACGAAGAGACGGGCAGAGAAGAATGGGAAAGGACCTCGGTTAAAAGCGATGGCCTTCTTTGGAGGTCGGCGTCCACTCCTCAACTCAATGAAGGGGAGGGTAGCCTGGACCTTTTTGCTTGGAGTGGCCTTGAAAATGGAGACTTGATTTGGAGTTGTTTGTAAAGTGAAGTTGATTGCTGTTTGTGGAGGGGTTTATCGGATAAATTGGGTGGGTTTTGCCCAGAATTGAGACAAATTTGGAACAGCAGGTTCTTGGAAGTTTTTGAAGGAGGTCTTTGAAGGGAGGCCAACAGAATTGGACTAAATTCAGCTTCAATTTGCAAGGGAATTACTGTAAATTCGACGCTCATATTTTGATGGAACTTGGCAAAATTTTTGAAGAATTTTTTGAAAGACATAAACCCACATTATTTTCCCGACTGACTGATATGTATTGCGGTGGGCGTAGGTCACTTATCAATACCTCAAAAAATAATTTTAGCTCGATCATTGCGGGGACAGCCAAAATATTCAACGATGTTTATGGCCGAGAGAGTACACAAATGAAGAGAATGACCAGACAGAAAACCCCTTTTTGCCATATCTTTGCCAGCTTTGCGCGAAAAATTTTGATGTTTTGTGAAAAGATTATACTCGGCGGTAGAAATAGCCATAATTTTTTCGTGCAAGGATTCGCAAAAAAACATCAAATCTTTTCCAACTTTCAACATAAGATTTCTCGGCTGTTTTTAAAGTACCAGCTATAGGGATCTCACATATCTAACAATAAAACATATCCTAATTTCGGTATGTCTTGAAAGTAATGTGAGTTTTTCGCAACAAAATGTCTCGCCTCGTTACATTCCAAAATCTCCAGCTGCGGCTAGCCGTCGCAAAGCGATGATGGGCGATTCCAAGGCGCGATGAGTCCGCATTATTTTCCCTGCACACTGATAAAATATTATTCTGCCGTAAAAGGGTTTGCTTTCACGTTGAAGCGCAAAGGCCTTTCAGGAACTTGCCACAGACGAATCAAAAACTTTTTCTGACAAACAATCTCTAAATTATTTTCCCGACAGACTGATACTAGTCTATCTACTCGCAAGGTCGCTGGGGTGATTTTTTGCGGCATGCATTGTGAGAAAACAAAAGTGCACCCTGCACTGTGCAATTACTTGCTTTTTGCACCGTGCAATAGGCTTTTTTCGTTTGTCGCTCGCTTCGGACAGTTTTTGAACAGTGCAAACGCCAAAAATCACTGCAGCGATGTTGCGAACGGACTCTCAGTCTGTCGCTAAAATAATGTGAAAAAAAATTTCAAAAATTACACATTTTTCACTGCTATGTGGCATACGCCAAGGCCTGTGCGTTTCAACATCAAAACGAACCTTACTTTTTTGCCGACGGACAGATAGTATGGACATCGCATTTGGCGTACTAGTCGCGTCAAAAAGTCCGTGGAATTTTGCACAGTGCGTTTCCCTTTTCCTTTTGACTTCCATGTTTTGCACTACCGCCGAAAAGATTCGACGGACTTTATGGCGCAGCTAGTACCCCTTCTGTCAACAAAATATTTTCTAAATTTCAATCTATCGTAAAAATAATGTGAATTTTCCGCAACAAAATGTCTCGCCTCGTGGCAGTCCAACATCTCCAGCTGTGGCTAATCATCAACGCAATAAAAGGCGATTCCAAGGCGCGGCGAATCCACATTATTTTCCCGACAGACTGATACACCAAATAAGTTTAATTTTCAAAATTTTCGATGAAAATTTTGATTTTTTTTTTTAATTTTCAAAAAATTGTATTTTTTTTTTTTTTTTTGACTTTCCAAAATTTCCGTTTTTTTTTACTTTTTGATTTCCCGTTCCATTGGATCGTTGCGCTTTTATATCGAATGTCCTTTGTGACCGGACAGATTCTCCTTATTTTTCTTGTTTCTTTCACTCAAGGAATCAGACGCTGTCTCTCTTTCTCTCTCATTTCTCTCTTTTTTTTATTTGTGTGAGAGCCCACTTATTTCGTTTCGAGCCAGCCGGTGCAATGCACTTTTTCACAAATAAAGTTCATCCTTCTTTCACAAAGAACATTTTGGTATTCACTTCGCTCTTCATCTACTCTGCCCGTTGCCTTGATCTCAATCTTTGCGTGAGGCGTTGTGCTGGGCCCCGGGGGAACGGGGGAGGGAAAGAAATTTAGGGAAATGAATTGAAAATGAAAAAAATGTTGTTTTTCAGAGGGGATTTTGAAAGTTAAAAAAAGTTTTTTTAATTTGTGAAGTGCTCAAAGCCCGAATTTTGATGAAATTTCCTCACAAATTTGCAAGGGGGATTTGTTTTCAGTTAGAGGTTAGTATGTTGTATTTTAGAGCTGTGTCCAATTTCGAGCGACGCTACGACTTTTCGGGTCAGTTACAGTTCGGATCAACGATATTATGGATCGCTTTGATTCGTCGCTGTAAGCATGGGGAGGCTAGGAGAAGGCTTTGTTAGCAGAAATAATTTTGAGGTATTTTACATGCATTCACATGAATAATATCAAAAAAAAGTAACGGATCTTCATTTTTTGCCGCATATTTTAGTCTTTCATATGTTATAACAACTCAGGGTAAAGAAAATTGTCGCTACTAACAGCTAAGTTAGAGGAAATATTCATATTGTCAGTCTCCGCCAAGTCTCCGCCAAGCCTTGTCCGAGCGTCCGGCGAGCATCCAACAGCTTTGTCAAGCCTCCTAGGCATTTCGTACAGCCATTTTTTGGGTGTCCACCGGCCCCATACCTCGCATCGGTCGACTCGCGCTTTGCACAAACGACCGAGATTTTAGAAAAAAAGAAGAAGAAAGTTTTTAGAAATTTTGCGCCTATTTCTACCGTAGAGGATAATGCTTCCACAAAAAAATCAAATTTTTCCGCGCAAAACCGGAAAATATATAGCTAAAAAAACGTTTTTCTCTCTGACCGCTCTCCACTTTTCGATACTCTCTCGGTCGCAAAGACCATTGACTTTGGAAGACACGTTTTGTTTTGCTTGGTAAGATCAGTATTTTTTGGGGTAGAACGGTTTTTAAAACCCTTCAAAAAACGTAATAAACTACCCCATGTTGTTATCATGCTATCACTTTTTAGTCAAGTCTGAACAAAAAAACAAGTTCCGTTTCTAAATATAATATTTTACGCACTTTTGCTTCATTTGTTTTCTTGTGACTTTTGTGACGGTCTCTACCACCCAGATAGACCTTCTTTTCATGGTTACCCCCAATAGATTCCCTTTAGTTCGTCCACTTGTCCCTTCTTTTTTCAGAAGAGACATGTACCGTAATGAAGGGCGTAGATTTTCTTTAAATTTTGCACATGCATTGGGCATATGCCATACATTATTAGCTCCTGAAAATTTTCACCCGCCCTTTGTAAGCGTAGCCGAGATATTCAACGATCTTTGAGGCGAAGAGAGCACGCAGAATGCGGAGAGCGGTCCCAGAGAAATCTTTTTAGCCATGTCTTTGCCAATTTTGCTCTGAAACAATTGATTTTTTGGGAAAACATTGTCCTCGACTGTAAAAATAGCCATGAACATTTTTGTGCCTAAATTTACAAAAGAAAAGGCCACATCTCTGCCAACTTTCGATCCAAAAATCACGGCCGTTTCTGCAAAGCGCGAGCTGGACTCTCGCATGTGACTTACAAAGAATTATTCTAAATTTGCGCCAATTTTCATCAAAATCTAAGCGTCGCACTTGAAGTCCCCTATATATTATTATTGGGAGTTTTTGAAGAGCTTTATCGACACTAATAGTACGGCAAAAGAACATTTCTTGGAGCTTTACTATTAATAAATAGTAAAATTATAAAGCGACAGCCTCCCACCACTTCCCTCATCACAACCAAATCGGCTTTCAAATCGGCTTTTCGGGGAGAAAAAAGCGTTGGCCCGTCGTTTGTCGAACGGAATTAACGTTCTTTTGACAAGGGAGGGTCGCAAACCCGGCGTTCGGATTTTGAATAAATTTTACACACTCTTCAGAGATTGATCACATATCAATTTCAGAAAGTTTTAAGTCGCACTTGCCGAGATATTGAACAAGTTTTATGGCCGAGAGAGGACGCGAAATTCAAAGAGTGGCCAGGGAAAAAATACTTTTTAGCCTATCGTTGGCTGTCTTGCGTGGAAAGTTTTGATTTTTTGTGACAAAATTGTTCTCTTCTGTTTGCATTTGATAAAACTTGGCACAAATTTGAGTCACTTTTCTATAAATCACATGCATGGTTTCTAGCCCCCGCTCTGCAGTAACAATCGAGATTTTTAGGTGAAAATTGGGCAAAAAATTGGCATTTTTTCGATTTTTTGCTCGGAAAATTTCGCACTTATTTTTAACGTAATGAATAATAATTTTTTCAAAATTTATTTTTATAAATTCGAAACTGGCAAGGATATAGTCGATTTTCCATAATTTATGATGACCTATGCCCGAAATGTGTGCAAGATTTGATCTTTCCTTGTCAGTTATGGGCCAAAAAACGAACTAATATTTGGCCAAAAATTGCATCTTGAGAGCTTTCCAAATTTTTCCCATTCCCCTCAAAATACTATTTATTTACCCCGGGGCAGTTAGATTTGTCACCGGTGTTTGATCGTCCATCTCCCTCTGCGGCTGGTACAAAACGTTCGAGAATTTGGACAAGACTGGACTCTTCGTTATTAACAAAGACTTCGAATTTATTTGCTGAAAATCTTAGGAAATAGCGTGCAAAATTGGAGAGTAGGGTGAGAAGGAAAGATTTGTGTTGTTGCGCACTGAATGGACAGGTTTTCCAAGACGAATTACTCGGTCTTTTCAGTTCTCTGACCTCGAGGGTGGGATTAGAGGGAAAATATTTGCAAAGGAAGCTGCAAACTTTGTAAGGGGCAGGTCAAGGAATGAGCCTGTTGATAATGTAGGAAAAGATTCGTAATACGACCTGCAAGCAACGAAAAGAAGAAAATGTCCATATATTTTTTTGTTATTCTAGTCCGTTCACAAAGTCGCAGGAGTGATTTTTGCACTGTGCAAAAATCAAAGTTTTTGCACCGTGCAATAGGCTTTTTTTAAGCTGTCACTCGCACCCTGACTTTTTTAAACATTGCAAATTGATTTTTCGTTGAAACATTACCCACGGTTGAAATAGACGCAAAATTTCAGATGCCAA